AGTGCTGCTATGTAAAGCACTGCACTTCCAGAAAATCCAGTCACTGGAGGCGCTTTCTAGATTTTAACTGACTTTTGGTCCAGTAATTGACACTGGACTTCCTCACACTCTATTTCCCTGTAGTAAAGCAGTGATTCAATGCTTTTGTAAGGAGAGGCTTTAGCGCATGTACAGCAATTGCTGCGCATTAGTGTCTGCTCATCACCAACCCTTTATGGCAACTTAATGTGCATGCTCTGCGAGCTCCGTAATCGCATTAGGACTTCCCTGTTGGAAAGCATTGAATCAATGCTTTCCTATGGGGTTTTAGCTGACGGATGTATTCCTGCAAAATGTGAGGACATCCAGCATCATTTTAGAGGAGCAAAGTCCGCTAAGGACCCGCAAGCGCCTCTGGTAGATGGCCACTAACCCCTGCAAGGTAATTATTGCAGTTTCTCAATAACTGAAAGAATTACAATTGCAGTGTTAAGGAGACAGGGGCATTGCACCCAGACCACTTTAATGAGATGGATACCTATAGTGTCCCTGTAATATGTTAAGGATTGTTTGTTACCAACATAAAATGTGTTCCAATTCTCTTAGCCTTGAAAGTCACAATGTAAATAATCTGTACGTATTGTATATGCACAGTAACTATCTAAGCAGTCTGTTAGCTTCACTAGGCAGAGAAGTTTTCTAATTTTAAATTTTCTGATTTAAATATATATAATATATTTTAACTTGGCACTCACCCTTTAATACAGTAGATTCTGGAATTCTTGCCCAGGTGTATCCCTAGAGTTCAATATATAAACAAGGAGTAGTGGGAGCACTCAGAAAAAGACCCTCTAGGGGTCGAAACGTTGATCGATGCTTTTTGCACTTAGATAATACCACAATAAAAGAAAATATTGTCAAGAAGTCCTCTGAGTGCTTCCACTACTCCGTGTGTGTATATATTTAATTTATTTCATTGGCTTGATTTATTGTGTGCTAATATCAGATTATGAAAGAATGGACTGGAATAACTCGTATTTTCTATTTATTTTTAACTTTTTATTTTAACAGGTTGGTCATGGGGAGGAAGAAGAGGAAAGTGATCTTTTCACTATTCGGGAGGTGAGCTTCCAGCCCACAGGTGAAACAGACTGGAAGGAAAACAGCTACACCCTAAGCACAGATTCTCTTGACTGGGTCAGTGCCATTTAAATCTTACACAATATTTGTGCATCTAAGCAAAGTTAATACTATTGTATTGATGATACTTACAGTTGTCCGTCTTCTCGACCTGAGCACCTACATCTTTGCTCTCACTCAATTCTTGTCTTAAATGTGCCTTTTTCTGCCATTGAACATGGCAGGAGGGGAGAAAACCAGTGTTTCTCTTCTCCATGTTTGCATTGTGTGCACTGACTGTGCTGGACATAACTGTGATTGTCTTTTAAAAGGACATTCAAGGTACCCAGATCACTTCATTTCAATGAAGTGCCATGTTCGTGCCTAACACTGCAATCTAAAACATATCTGTTCTGCAGGAATGGCAATGTTGACATTGCAGGATTTAAATGCCTCTAGTGCCTGTCACTCTGACAGCCAATAGAGGAGCTTTGTCTGAAGTAGAAATAGTTTCTCTATCAGATGGTCTCCTGTCAGTGCTATAAATGTAAAAGTGTGTGTCCCTTTAATATTGTATATATTGTCTGTGGAGAGCAGGAGTCTTAATGTGTCTAATTTTTCTGAATATTCTAGAAATGGAGGGGAAGCACTGTTCATTGGATACTCTTGCTATGTAACGTTTATTGATTATTATTGGAAACTTTATACTCTTGCTATTCCTTCCAGAACCTTCAGAAGGAGTAAAAAACTACAATAGTGTCCATAATAACTGAAAAACAGTACATATTGGCAGAAAAATACATTTTAGGGAGAGCGTTTTTTTTTTTAAACACTTTCCATTCTCCATTACCTTGTATCCAAATGTTTCCCAATACTAAATGAAAGAAATTCAAGGAGTGTAATTGACACTGACTTAGTTTGGTGTGGGGTAGGAGTGGTAACCGTTTTGTGTATATTTTACCAAAGTCTTCTGTGGGCTATTTGTTTACTGTTGCACTTATCTATGGTGGCAGAGGGAGCTCAAGGCCATTTCATTAAATAAATCCATTTTTTTTTTTTCTCTCCTCAGGCTCTATATGATCACTTGATGGATTTTCTGGCTGATCGTGGAGTGGATAATACATTTGCTGATGAGCTTGTGGAACTTAGCACTGCATTGGAACATCAAGAATACATCCGCTTCTTAGAAAATCTGAAAAACTTTGTTAAATGCTAAGGTGTTGTTCAGGATAGGAATCTTTTATTTACCCATAGAGTGGACCACACTTTCAGTTCTGCGTTATACCATTTTTGGTTCTTTAATCTATTGATGGAACTACAGCAAAGATATGGAAACACTTTTTTGTGTGTTTCTTTAACTTGGCAAAAATGGTAAGGCAAAAAAATGTGTTCACATAAACACAAGAGCTGAGTTGTGGTTACTGCATATAAGACATGTTTAATGTTTTATTTCATACAGTTTAGCAATTTAAAATCTTGTAATATCTGGATATTGCAACTACCCTTATTTAATCATGCAGTATGTGCTTCATTGGACAATCTTGTTTCAAACAAATATTGTATTGTCTGCCATTGTTGTATTGTTTACAATATTGTTTTCTACAGATCCCTAAACAAATTAAAGTCAGATTCTGTTAATTGTTTTTACTTTATTTCATTTTGGTCTTTCCACTGACCGCAGCATTAACACAAGAGTAGATTAATTTTAGAATAGACCAATATTCCATAGTTAGGCTAAGATTATGTGGGAAATCAAATGTTTACATGCATTTAAACTGGAGTTTGATGACAAGTTGCCTACTTACTAACACTTGTGTTAATCTGTATAAACATACATTTCCTTGACATATCTAGAAAAACTTCTTACATTTTAAGAACTTATTCCATTCAGCAATTTTTTTATTTTTCCTAAAGTGTTTTGACTAACGCTTGTACATTTTAAAGACAAATGCCACACCTCATCTTGCTGGTTTTTATACAAAAATAAACATACTTTTGATTCCTACTAAGGACAATAGTTTGTTTATGCAAGGCATTCTTAAAGGGATCCTACAGTACCTCCCTCTACTCCCTCCCCACCCCCCCCGTGGCACTGAAACGTTAAAACCCTCTTAGTCACTTACCTGAATCCAGTGCCGCTGGGTCAAGTGCTGCCCATGCTGTTGACAGGGGAGACCTAATGCTCATGCGCGGCCATTGTTTGCGCTCGCATTAGGATTTCCCCATAGGAAAGCATTAATCAATGGGGTTTTTTTTTTTTTTTTTTTTTCTATGGGTGATAAAGCTGACGCTGGAGGAAATTATGCAGGTCCGTTTCCATTCCGGAAGCCCTCTAGTGGCTGTCTGGTAGACAGCCACTGTGGGCTGAAGTGTTCTGGGTGCCTACAGTGTCCCTTTAAACTCTCTTCAATGTATTTATCTCTAAAACTTCCAATGCTGGGCTATTCTCAAAATCAACAAAACTCTAAATAAGGCTCTCTTTACAGGAAGTGTTTATGGAAGGCTGTGCAAGTCACATGCAGGGAGGTGTGACTAGGGTTCATAAACAAAGGGATTTAACTCCTAAATGGCAGAGGATTGAGCAGTGAGGCTGCAGGGGCATGTTCAATACACTAAAACTGCTTCATTAAGCTAAAGTTGTTCAGGTGACTCTAGTGTCCCTTTAATAAAAGAAATGGAACATTTTCGCTATAAACAAAATGTTAAACTTAAAGGACCACTCTAGGCACCCAGACCACTTCAGCTTAATGAAGTGGTCTGGGTGCCAGGTCCTTCTAGGGTTAACCCATTTTTTTTTATAAACATAGCAGTTTCTCTGAAACTGCTATGTTTATGAATGGGTTAAGCCTTCCCCCTAATCCTCTAGTGGCTGTCTCATTGACAGCCACTAGAGGTGCTTGCGTGCTTCTCACTGTGATTTTCACAGTGAGAGCACGCCAGCGTCCATAGGAAAGCATTGATAATGCTTTCCTATGCGACCGGCTGAATGTGCGCGTAGCTCTTGCCGCGCGTGCGCATTCAGCCGACGGGGAGGAACGAAGGAGGAGAGCTCCCCGCCCAGCGCTGGAAAAAGGTAAGTTTTCCCCCTTCCAGAGCCGGGCAGGAGGGGGTCCCTGAGGGTGGGGGCACCCTCAGGGCACTATAGTGCCAGGAAAATGAGTGTTTTCCTGGCACTATAGTGGTCCTTTAAGTCTCTTTAGTTTAGAAAAACAGCACCTCACAGTGGATATGTTTGCTTTATACAAGTAGATTTGGGGCCAACACAAACCATTGTCTGGAAATAGATTCACAAACAGGACAGTACATAGGACTCAAGATCACATGTTTTATACTGGAAGAAAGGAGATTTAATCAAAGGAAAAGTTTTTATTTAATTTTTTTTGCTTGTGTTTTTTTCTTCTTTCTTTCTTTTTCTTCTATTGTAAGAACAAGGATGCTTAAGCCCTTAAAGGACCACTCTAGGCACCCAGACCACTTCAGCTTAATGAAGTGGTCTGGGTGCCAGGTCCTTCTAGGCTTAACCCATTTTTTCATAATTATAGCAGTTTCAGAGAAACTGCTATAATTATGAATGGGTTAAGCTTTCCCCCTAATCCTCTAGTGGCTGTCTCATTGACAGCCACTAGAGGCGCTTGCGTGCTTCTCACTGTGATTTTCACGGTGAGAGCCATAGCGTCAAAACATTGTAAATGCTATAAACGGAGAAAGCTGGACTCTTTGTGGCCTTGGCTCTTGCAGCGTCTTTGGCATTCAACCCGGTAGGCCGGTCGGGCCAGGAGAGGAGGAGGAGAGCTCTCCGCCCAGCGCTGGAAAAAGGTAAGTTATTACCCCTTTCCCCCTTCCAGAGCCGGGCGGGAGGGGGTCCCTGAGGGTGGGGGCACCCTCAGGGCACTATAGTGGTCCTTTAAGGACTGAGCCAAATGTACACGTTTTGATCAAAATAAAATGTAAACAAAACTTGGAATTTGACCATGTCTGTTCAACTGTAATTGGGAAGTTACAGGGTCAAATATAGCCTGTTTCTCAAAATTATTTACGTTGCCTTTGAGACTGTATGGTGGCCCAGGAATGAGAATTACCCCCATGATGGCATACCATCTGCAATAGTAAACAACACAAGGTATTGCAAATGGGGTATGTCCAGTATTTTTAAGTAACCACTTAGTCACAAACACTGGCCAAAGTTAGCGTTCAGATTTGTTTGTGAAAAATGCAAAAAAACGAATTTGAACGCCAATTTTGGCCAGTGTTGGTGACTAAGTGGCTACTAAAAAAGACTGGACATACCCCATTTGCAATAACTTGTCTACTTTTGCAAATGGTATGCCAGTGATGGCGAACCTATGGCACGCGTGCCACAGGTGGCACGCGGGGCCCTTTCTGTGGGCACGCGGCCACAGGTTATACATCAATGCAGAGTGACCTGCCGAAGCGGCGGGCGCCTGCTCTCTTTCGTGTCGAGGAGGCAGGGAGGCTCCAGGAAGCAGCTCCCCTGTCACTCCCTCTTGTGATACTGTGTGGAGGCGTTGCGGCAGCGTTACCATGGCAGCGCTCACGCTGATGCCTTCCTGGAAACCTGCGGACCACCAGGGATGTGTGTGTCCCCCACTTCATTAAAGGTACTTAAGGAGGGGGGTTTCTCTGACACCACAGCACCCTTACCCCAGCAGGTACCCTACCCCAGCAGGTACCCTACCCCCAGCAGTAACCCTACCCTGCTCAGCGAGTAGCCGCCCCTACCCTGCCCAGCAGTAGCCCCTACCCACCTTGTGGAACCCTACCCCCAGCAGTAACCCCTACCACTGCCCAGCAGTAGCCTACCCCCAGCAGTAGCCCCTACCCCTGCCCAGCAGAACCTAACCCCCAACGGTACCCCTACCCCCCAGCAGTAACCCTACCCTCCCAGCAGTACCCCTACCCTCCCAGCAGTACCCCTACCCCCCACACACAGTACCCCTACCCTCCCAGCAGTACCCCTACCCCCCACACACAGTACCCCACACGCAGCACCCTTACACATATAGCACACACACAGCACCCCCCCCACACACACAGCACCCCTCACATACAACACTCACACACACGCACCCCCCACCTCAATGCAGTATGTGTGTATTCAGCCGTCTGTGTGTGTTTGCGTGTATTCAGCGGACTGTGTGTGTGTACTGAGCAGTCTGTGTGTATTCAGTCTGTCTGTGTGTACTCGGCAGTCTGTGTGTGTGTATTCAGCAGTGTGTGTACTCAGCAATCTGTGTGTGTGTCTACTCAGCAATCTGTGTATGTGTGTACTCAGCAGTCTATGTATTCAGCAGTCTTGTGTGTGTATGTATTGCATTTGTTGGAGATACTAATAAATATAAGCTTAATTTTATCTATTTATATCATTATTTAAAATTTGTATCATTGAACTCTGTGTTCTTTTAAAACAAAAGTTATTAGTTCGGACAACAGTACGAGTTGTTTTTTTCTAAACTTAAACCTCAGTATTTGGGTTTAATTGCCGTGTTGGCACTTTGAGGAGAAAAAATGTTGGCATGTATTGCGGTTTGGGCACTCGGGCTCAAAAAGGTTCGCCATCACTGTGGTATGCCATCATAGTCACTTGGAAAGTTACAGGGTTAAATATAGTGCTAGCAAAATACATTCTCTCTGTTCTTTCTGCCTGGGTTATCAGACAGGTCCCGCAACTTGTAATTAATAAAATGACTTAATTATGTAAATATATTACATATATACATCGAATTAAAATATATATATATATATATATATATATATATATATATATATATAGTGTGTGTGTGTGTATATATATATTTATAATTTTTTTTAAAATTATTTTTATTTATATATAGGTGTGTGTGTGTGTGTGTATGTGTATATATATATATATATATATATAAAATTTTGTTCTACGTATATTGATATCAATATATAGTGATAAACCACACAAGTAATGTTATGGCGTACACTTGATCACTTTAGTTGCACAGTATTGCACAAATTATTTTCACTGTTTATAAATATTTTGAGTCTTAATGGCACAGCGCACTTTATTCTTACATTGATATCAATATATATCAATATCAAAATACGGTTATAACGAAATTACACATATTTTTCATTTTGAATGTATATATTTTATATATATATATATATATATATATATAATTTCATTCTACGTGTATTTTGATTATATATATTAAAATAAACTTAGTGTATGTAAATGTGTGTGTGTGTGTATATATATATATATATATATATATATATATATATGATCTAAGTATATATTATTTAATTATTATTTTCCTTTATTTCATGCAGCAGGGGCCCTGTCTGTCATTCCAGGCACTCCCCCTGCTGGCACTGCTATGGATGGCTATTCCGTGCATGTGATCGTGTGGTCCACATGGCCCAGGAGGGCCAGATTAGCAGCAGGGGGACTTCCTGGGATATGTGTGTGTGTGTATTTTTTTTGTTCTAAGTATTTTGATATCAATATGTATATATATATGTCAAAATACAGTTAGAAGAAAATTAAACACATATATTCGTAAAATATTTTTTTATTCATTTTTAACGTATTTATTTTATATAGTTATATTTGATATCATTCTACATGTATATTGATATTAATATATATTAAAATACACTTAGACAGTGTAAGTGTGTGTGTATACATATATACACACACACAACCTCAGCCTAACCCCCCCCCTCAGCTCAGTAGGAATCTAAGTTACATAAACCTACAGTAGCTGTCAGCTGATATCAATTCCCAATTATTATCCATTCCTGCTTACTCATGTCCCTCACTGGCTATCTCCTCATATAACTGTACCCTCACCTGAGCCCTGGACGCTGCAGCCCCTCTCCAAGTACGCACCCAGAATACGCCCCCAATCGTGGCACACTAAATCAACACGCTACCTGCAAAGATGCTCCCGTTCTGAACGCTGCTGGAGGAAGTCTTACACCGAGTCAGACTTTCTGCACTACAAATTCATATTGTGCTCATACACCACAGCCCTTGCCCTTGCCAAACAGTCATACTTTTTTTCTCTTATTCGCTCATGCTCTCGCAATCCCAGGCATCTCTTTGATATATTTAACTCTCTTCTTTGCCCTGCTGCGGCCACCCCCCAAACTAACCTTACAGCCGATAGTTTTGCATGCTACTTTACTGACAATATTGAACAGCTAAGGAAAGAATTCTCACCACCTTGCCCCTCACTTTCTCAACCTCACCTGTATCCTTCCGACCTTCTCCCAGGCTACTGAACAAGAGGTGGCTGCACTTATCCTTTCCTCTCGCCCCACCACTTGCCCGCTTGAGTCTCTGTGACTCTGTCCTCTCACTTTTCCTGCTATCTCACCCAACGCTCATTCAGTGTCTCCTTTTCTAATGATACCTCCACCATTCGTCCTGTCTCAGTTGGAGTCCCCCAAGGCTCTGTCCTTGGTCCCCTTCTATTTTCTCTTTACACTGCCTCTCTAGGCAAACTTATTACCTCTTTTGGATTCCAATACCACCTGTACGCTGATGACACCCAGATATATATCTCCTCCCTGGACCTCTCCCCTGATGTCCTGCAACGTGTCACCTCTTGCCTTTCTTCTGTCTCTGATGGGATGTCCTCTCGCTTTCTGAAACATAATCTTTCCAAAACAGAACTTCTTGTCTTTCCTCCTCCTATTATTAATCCTCCTCTCTCGCTCTCCCTTCAGATTGGTGGTATCCATATCAGCCCATCCTTATAAACACGTTGTCTTGGTGTTACTTTTGATTCTGGCCTCACCTTTGAGCCTCACATCCGGTCTGTTGTCAAAGCATGCCAATTCCACCTCAAAAACATCGCCCGCATCCGCCCCTTACTTACACAAGATGCTACAAAAGAGCTTGTCTATAGTAATCTCTCGCATGGACTATTGTAAATCTCTCCTAATTGGACTTCCCAATAGCAGTATTGCCCCGCTACAGTCTGTAATGAATGCTGCCGCCAAACTGATTTTCCTCTCTAGTCGGTCCTCTCACTCCTCACCCCTCTGTCAGTCCTTACATTGGCTTCCTGTATACTATAGGAGTCAATTCAAAGTGCTAACCCATACCTATAAAGTACTGAATAATCTTAGCCCCTCTTATATCTCTTCACAGATCCATAGGTATGCCCCTTCTCGCTCTCTCCGCTCTGCCCGTGACCTTCTTCTGTCCGCTGCTCGCACCTGTACGGCCAAATCGCTCTTGCAGGACTTCTCGCGGACAGCTCCCTTCCTATGGAATAGCCTGCCTACCGCCATCAGACTCTCCCCTAGTCTTCAATCATTTAAGAAGTGCCTTAAAACCCATTTCTTTAGGAAAGCCTATGGCCTCCCAGACTAACCTCACATACCTGTCTCTTGCTCTCTCCTAAAGGGCAGCACTCCACTCTCTCCTCCAGCTCTGCTTCACTCCCACCTAATTTGACTGCAATTTCCTGTCCTAATGTGTTTTATACCCCACCTCCTACAGACTGTAAGCTCGTTTGAGCAAGGCCCTCTTCAACCCATCGTTTCTGTAAGTTTTCTTGTAATTGTCCTATTTATATTTAAATCCCCCCTCTAATAATATTGTAAAGCGCTACGGAATCTGTTGGCGCTATATAAATGGCAATAATAATATATATACTTGGATCATATATATGTGATCTTAGTATTTATTATTTAATTTTAAACTGTGTTTAAACTTAATTTCATGTAGCAGGAGGACTTCCTGTCATTCCAGGCGATCCCTCTGTTGGCACTGCTATGGATGGCTATTCCATGCATGTGATCGTGAGGTCCACATGGCCCAGGAGGGCCAGATCAGCAGCAGGGGGACTTCCTAGGATGTTCACGTAAGTCCCCCCATCGCGATCGCCAGCGAGCAGGTAAGTGAATAGGAGGGCGTAGACGTGCTATGCCGCCCGCCAGCGTTTAGAGCCGTGTCCCCAAGGACCACATGGCACGCCCACCGTCCTTAAGGGGTTATTTCTCTGCCTGAAAAAGTGACTTTATCAGAGTCTGTACGGATGTTTAAACAGCAACTAGATGCATACTTGCAAACACATAATATTAAAGGATATAATTTAATCAATTGTAAGGTAATAGCTTCTACTCAAAAATGTAGATACTTCCAATAGTGTAATGTCACTTATCAAGTACCACCACCGATATCACCCTAATTGGTGCTCTCACTTTTGTTAGGGGTATTAGATATAGTCCCTGATATACTTTGTATATATGCAGTACTGTATATATACACAATATATCAGTTCTGTGGGAATTCCAGTAAACTATAAGACTATTATCACTGCATACAACAGATTGCCACTATCTTAAGCAACAAAGCTTGGTTGTGTATGTAATCTATATGTTATATATCTATTTTTTTAGTGCATCATTTTAGAAATGTATACAGTGATATACATACAGTTATTCACTAAGTCCAAAGTACCGAATAGGCCAAAATCATCCTGTTCAAAATGGAACAGAAAAATGTCAGGATTTCAGCCTCTCCAAGAGGCTGAAATCTGTCCCAAATGCCTAAAATTTGAGCCCATATTTTAAATGTCCAAACAAAGTAAAAAATATCCATATCAGTACAAGGGTTAAAAAGGGACACTCCAGACTCCTGAAGTACTTTAGCTTGCTGAAGTGCATGTTCTTTTTCATTTTACAAAAAGGGCAAATTTCAATAGAAATTGGATTTTTTTTTTATAAATTAACCTTGTTACACCCCTTGGGTGTCAATTAGGCAACCAGCCCTGCTACTTCTTGGTTTGTTTAACTCAGTTAAGCTAAACTCAAGAGGCAGCAATTGCTCAGAGAACCTGCCTTGCAAAGACTTCTCATTGAGCTGCATTGTAAATGCATGTGTGTTGGGAACACTAAAGAGAAAACAAAAATAAATAATTCTGCCAGGTGGGTCACAGCTCCCAAAGTGTATGCAGCAATCTCAGTAAAGGGGAGGCAGGTTGCTCATGGGGACAAGTGGTTGAACACAAGTTGCAAACATTTTCAAGAGGTTCCTCCAAGGACCTTCTTCCGCTTGAGCTTTCCAGAGGATAGACAAAAATAGGAAGTGCTTCTGGAATTTATGGACTCTTCTACTCCAAGGTGTGATCTGTCCAGTGCAGGGAGAGGACTTGTTTCTGGGGTTCTATTTGAGGCTGTTCTTGGCTCTCAAGGGTAAAAAGTATTGAAGACAAATCCTGAATACCTTCTTGCGGATAAGACAATCATGATGGAATCCTTAAATTCCATAGTGAAAGTAGTCTCATGTCGGTAGATCAAGGCCATCTTCCTTTCATATACCCACAGCCAGAGAACAAAAGGTTCCTGAAATTATACTTGAACAACAGACACGCAAGCTGTAGTGGAGATGGTTCATGGAGTGTTCATATATTTTAAGATCTGTACTGTTTACTCAATTTGTGTATTTTTTTTGTGCTCCCTTTAGGATTTGTAATATGCCTGTTAATTGTTAACCTAGTTGAAACTTGGCTGGTTAGGATTTGAGCAATGACTTGATTTTGGCTTTTGAGTAAAAGGGGTACAACCCAAGAGATAGTTTTTAAAATAACTGCATGTACTACCACTACAGAAGGAGAGCCTGAACTCCCCTGGCGGAGTCTATTAAAAAAAAAAAAACAAAAAAAAAAAAACACAAATTGCACAATAAGCAGAACGTAAACACTTAGCCTGCTATAACAGTGTACAAACTTCAACGCTGAAGGATAATAGCTGTCTGTTAAGGAAGGGCCAGTCCAATTTTTCCTAATTTCAGAGTTTTGTTTCCGGTCCTTACTGCGGTGAGTGGGTATTTATCCAGTGGTTAATGCTGCCATGGATGGATTAGGAAATTACTTTCCATAGAATTTATTTCACCTAAACCAGAAGTTATCATTCTGCTGCATACAAGAGTGGTGCTTTTGTAGGCAGAAATAAAAACTTTAGCAAGTTGTTATGCTAGTGATGTATTCAGGTTCCCTCTGGCCAAATTATATTATTAAAGAACCACTCCACACCCATGAAACACTTCAGTTTGCTGCAGAAGTATGAGATATTTGCACTATAATTAAATCATGCAACATCCTCTTGGCAGTCAGACCCCAGACCAGCGTTTTCAAGAACTACAGTTTATAAGACCTCCTGCTTTTGACAACTCTTATAAGATTTAGCCCAATTAATACATGCATTAGGGCATATCTACTAAACAGTGGTTTGGGTTTAAAAAATAAAATCAAAATGGAATGGTCTTTAAGGGTAGAGGACTCGGAGACTCCTTTTTATATTACCTTCAAATAACTCTAGAATTGATGAGGAAGGCGAAGGGCATTCACTCTGCCTCTCTGGTTATAGTAGGATGGACCTCACACATTAAAATGTAATTTCTTTAAAATCATACTGACATTAGGGAGCAGATTATTATTTTTTTTTTTTTTTAAATGTTTAATAGAACTTTGAAAGCAAGTTTTCATGGTACTTTGTGTGGCTCTAACATATCCCTTTGAGTAAATAGTCCATTAAGTAAAGCTCTCAAAGACTTGCCCTCTCCAGCTATTAAAAAAAAAAAGAAAAAAAAAAAAGTTTCCATATCCCTCCATTACAGATACGTACCCAACATGACAGCACCTGACTGGGACAAAATTATCCAGCCCATAGACCTAGTCTTCCCCCACACTTTCACAACGCCAGAGGGGTGGTCCGTACAACACCACCATTGTCCTACAAAACATTGAAATCTCAAGGAGACACAAACCAAACCACTTAAATTCTAATACATGCTACAACCCAACACACTGCCTATACCAATTTCCATTGCTATATTACCTGCCATGGTTTAAACCATGTTCAGTATTGTTTATATGTTGCACGCACACACACCCCCCCCCCCCCACAGATTTAACACAAGTTGTAAGCTGTAGTATAAACTAGACATATTCAGAACATAAAATGGTCAACATTATTCACATATTTCTAGGTTTGGGATTTAAAATTAATAAATATAAAAAACACCCAACACACCTGTGCACTAGACTTTCAAAACCATAAGACCAGACAGCTATAAATTAATCTTTATTTAAATAATTTAAAAAAAAGTATTTACATTGAAATGACAGAGCAAAGAGTAAGAAAATCACAAACTTATGTTGAACATGTGCAAAAATGTTACTTCTTCTAATCCCATTACACTACAATTGTCATTGCATCACACACCTTAAAGAGAAAAAAATAAAAATAAAAATGTTTTAATGAAGTCAAGGATAAGAGGATAAAATTTCTGCATTAAAAGGATCATAAATATGCACAAATTTATAGCCTGTTTCTTTCTCCCCCCCCGTTCCCAAAAAAAAACAAAAAAAAAAAAAAACCCCCACACACAACCCTCACACCATCCCCCTGAAAACTTACATGGCAACTCATAAAAAGACTGGGTATTCCTTCCATGCCGGTGACAACAGAAAACACTGGATGATGACAGCAATTATATCCGTGTGCAGTTAGATTGGTTTCCAGTAGGGAACGCAGTTTTTCTATGCTCATACCTTGGGACTGAAAATAATGTCCTGCATGAAAATTTGTCAGATATGTGATGCTTGACATGATCTATCATGCACAAACTGTGACAAGTGAACTATTTAGGAATAAAGTATAAAAAAAAAAGGATACTTACTTGTGTGTTAATATGCACTCCACACTGACATACAATAAAACAGCTGGTTACAGTCAGGTTATGTCTGCAAAACATTAATACTGGTATTTAGTGTCAAAATAAAAAGTTTTGGCGCCAACAAAACTTAAAGGGTTACAGGTGACCAGTTAACTATCCAATCTTTCCTTTAAGGGAATTATAGACAAATCTACAAAATATCTATGCATCAATATGCTCCTTGGTGTCAAAATGTGCATGGTTAGATTCTGAAACGTTGATATTTTATATGGAACAGATAAAAGCTACATTTTACCACTTCAACCAAGTCGCAGGAGTGCGATTATTCTACACCCAGATCTACCTTTGCCACAACCAGCACCAGGCACTACAAAAGGATGAGGATAAAGAGAGACATCTCTCTTTTCTATCACTTATTAATTTGTATGATAGCAAATTCCTCATCTTTCACATGTTTTGGTTTGCACCACAATCACTGTATCACATCTTAGATGCGGTAACCATGGGGATGATTGCCACGGAAAACTGTACAACCCGTGCTCTGAATTTTGATTCCACTCAATAGACAATATATAATAAGTAGAATCATTCGATAAACCATCTCCCTTGTTAGCATGTAATTGTATTCCAATTTCAAGCAAATTAACTCTGGATGACGCAATTATATAGGTCCGTCAAGTAAGGCAATTTGTGTGTTGGGATTTGTTTTTCTATATATTCTTGTTTCTTCTTTGGTTGCTCTACTACTCACATACTTCTTACTAACTTTGTTCAAATTTAACACAATTATAAAATTTATGTTTTTCAGTATATTTTTATGAAGTTAATGAAAAACTAAATTTTTGTAAATTTATAATAATAAAAAAAAAAATTTAAACAAATAAAAGTAAAAAAAAGCACCACACATACACAACACAGCAAACTAAAGATTAAAATGACCTCTGTTCCAGGGCGGACAACTGCTCCTCAGACCAATCCTCCTCCACCGATATAGGAAGAATGAGGCAGAGGAGATAACATGGGAGGCAGGTATACTGTGCTACCACTGGACACCTGTCACCAGCATGCTGATGTCAATTCTGTGCATACTGGAGATCTGAAGTTAGCCAGCCTGGATATCTTCTTCCGGGCTGGCTACTGATAACTCAATGACTGCCTTGGTTGGAGTTACACCTCCCGAAGGTAGTAAGGTACAGCATTTCATCTGTAAACGTTGCACATACAAACTCCAGGCACCATGACCACTTCAAATATTGTAAAGCACTACAGAATCTGTTGGCGCGATATATGTGATGATGATAATAATAATAATAATAATAATAATAATAATAATAATAATAATAATACTGATGCGGTCACAGTGCTGGGGGCAACTCCAAGTGCAAATTAAGCGCTTTGATTTGTTTCAAACAGTTTATTTTCTCCACATAGAAATAAAGCAAACAAGGTATTCCAAAAAGCAAAGGCAAACCGTAAAATATAATTAAAATAAATAAATAAAAGTAAAACGTCACTTACCGGTTACATACAGGACACACTATCTGGTTTGACACATTTAGCCCAACTACAGAATCAAGACATTCTTCCTCAAACTGAAGGATGTTTTCAATTTCCTCAATCATTGCTTGTTCTGCAAGGGAAGCCAGGATAAAGAACAAGTGCAGGTTAAGTCATTTGCATGTACTACATTCAAATTGAATAAAGATGGTAGATAAATGGAATATTGCATGTTTTTATAAAATCCAGCATTGAACGATTAACAGACATGTCTAGGGTGACAATACTATACGAACAAGTTGTATGTATGAGAAAAAAAAAAAAAACCCCACATAAACAAAACCTATATGGTTCCTTTAAGGCAGGCTTCCCCTAATTCCAGCCCTCCAGATGTTGCTGAACTACAACTCCCATGATTCTCAGCCTATTTCATTCATAGAAACAAGGCAGTTTTAGTTCAGCAACATCTGGAGGGCTGGAGTTTGGGGAAGCATGCTTTAAGGCATTGCTGGATGCTCTGAGTGATCTAGTCCAGCTATTCGCTTTGAGGCTGCCCCAGACATATTGCGGAGATATATGGTCAGTGACAGTATGCTACAAAGCATGGTGCAGAGTTGGACACAGCCTCTGTTGCTGGTACACCCCTTTATGTCCTCATTAGTAAAGCGGCCTACCAATATGTCAGATAGGTAGAATGCTAGGTTTATTGCTTATGTTCACATTGGTGAAAACCATGCATTACCTTCCACACGGAGTTCTCTTTTAATTTCCTCTAAAGTTGCCAATTCATCAGGGTCTGTAAGAATGCCAAGAGCCTAAAAAAAATAAAAAGTTATAATTTGTAAAAAAAAACACCATTCCCAATTCGATCGTAGGGGGGCTGGTCACCTAAACACTCCCTGAAAGACATTCACAAATGTTTTATTTTAATTACATTTTATTCCACCTAGCCTCCCTATCTTTGGGACAGCTGGAATGGATTGGATTTCCCTGGAGTCCAGGGGGCAAAAAAGTGGAGGCTGCGTATACTGTAAGCAGGTGGTGAGGGAGCTGTGCTCTCTCTGCTCCCTCTTGCGCACAGCTTAGTGAGGCAGAGGCTGGAGTGATGTCATATTCCAGCACCACTAAGCAGAGCAGAAAGATCACAGCTCCATTGGTACCCACCTACAGTATGTGAAGTCTCAAAGTTGCAGCTGATTTGTTGAGCTTGACTAACACAGTCAGCCAATCAGTGGCTCCTCATTCACAAAACTGACTTGCAAAAGGTATGTTTCTTTGCAAGTTAGTTGGGAATGGGAAATCATTGATTGGCGGAAAGCACCTCCTAGGCATCTCCCTGGTTTTGCACCCCTCTGTCACAGGTGCCTCATTCCAGTGCCAAATTTAACCTTGCACTGCAGAGTCCCAGGATGAAGCACTTCCCAAGTCGTGAATCTCACAAGATCAGACATTAGGTTGCTAGAGTAGGACCTGCCAAGAACAGGGTACTGCAATGTTTGATCATAAGCTGTAACTAAACCCCCATTATTTCTGCCTAGGTGAGGTGTTTATAATATATATTACTATTTTACATTCTTTGAGGCTTGGAATTGCTGTTTAGTGAATGAGCGCACTGGATCTTGTATGTTTGTTTGTGGACAGCGTAAGCTGACCGCACTCAACCAATCATTGGTGCGCCTCCACGCGAAAATTCTGAAGTCAGATGCTGCCAAGTGAGGAGTGGAGACCAGCGCTGGAGGCACTTTAAGGGTTAAACTGTTCTTGAACAGTTTAACCCCTTAAGGCAAGAGTGCTTGCAGGGGCCTCCTGGCACCAAAACAACTTCAAATAAAATTAAATTGTTTTGGTGCCTGAAGGGTCCCTATAAATTTTTTTTTTGACAGTGTGAGGAGGATGTGCCAGTTTGGTAGGCACATGAGAAATGGAGGGTGAAATTATGTGACAAGGTTAGGGGAATATCACATGACATGGTAAAATGGGTTGTAAAAGGGTGGAGTACAATAAGTAGAGGTAATGTGTTATTGACATAATATTTCTGTAAATTCACCAGTTAGGTTGAAAAAAAGGTCAGGTCTATACTGAATATTATGCTTTTTGCAAAAATTCATCCAGTCACAGTTTAAACATCTGTACATACTCTGATAAAAAAAATACATTTTCAATAGAAGAGACCCTAGGCACACTGAGTAGTTTCCCATAAAGGCAGTCTTTATTTAGGGAACAAGACACAGCAATATTTTGGTTCCAGTACAGAGCCTTTATCAAGCCTCTTCAGCTAGAGAACTCCACATCTATTGTTCTTACTGTTAAGAACCCCTTTCTGTGCCTTAGACTAAATCTAGTTGCAGGAGTGGTCAGTTATTTATGGCAAAGTTTGGTGGGGCTCCTGGCAATTGTTTGAGTGTCTCAGTAATCATTCCCTTCCTGGTAACTCTTGGCCTAGTGCTTAGACAGTCTCCCTCCATCTCCCAGTCAGCCTCAGTGGCCACTCTGAGCTCAGTCTGTGGTAAGGCATAATATGATAGTGCCGGTGTGGCCCTCACCTTCATTAGACATTACAATCTCGGGACAATGGACCCTGATGACACATGCCCTGTGGGAACACAAATCCCAATTGCTCTGCCTCTTCACTTCCTATGCAGGTTTAATGCTTTAATCAGGAAGCCTTGGACCAGGGACCGCCAATACGCTGAGAGCATCAGTTGGCACTGTCAGTCTATAACTAACACACTATTTAGAAAAAGAGGGTGAAGATAAAGACGACAACACCAGAGTTGAAGTTATGGTGCTGGAGCGGCCCTTTACATCCAACGTATAGCTGCAGGCTGAGCAATACAAACACTACTTTTTCTGAGGAAAGGCAGAGTTTATTCTGGGTTGTAAGGTTTTCTCTAGTGGGCCTTCCTAATGTAGCCCTGCATTTTTTCCCCCCAGAACTCTGAGACAGGTGTGCCAGGGGACTAAAGTTAGAGTAAAACATTAACTATTTAAGGGCATTCCATAAATCTAAACAAACGGTTAGGAAAATAATATTTGGAATACATGTCTGTATTCCCAAAGTTAGTGCTCCTTTAACTACGTTGATAAACCCCCAAAATCAATGTTCTACACGTAACGGAGTCACCTGGGAAAACGTGCCGTTGTTCCAGAGGGAAGGAAATCCTTTGTGATCAGATTGCATAGCTGCCCACTCTTCTTCCATCACTTCTTCCACTAGCAAGGAGTTACCAGTGCCAGAATGCAGCCGATCCCCCACCTGTCGAAACTTGTCCAGGAGCTTAGAGCGGTTACTTTTCAGCCTTTCAACACATCTCTAAGGGAAAATTAAATAAAAGGATGAAGCAAAACCCAATAAAACATAAATAAGTTGAAAGAACTGAAAACACAAAATACACTTGTATACCAAACACCTGACACAGTATAAAGGGAATAGGTACAGCTGATGATCGAGTCTTACAGCCAGGTTGGAATTATACAAAGCTCTGCTCATGTCCATCAGTAAGAGGCACAGAAACTAACATTGTGAAAAATGTATCAATGATTTGTGTACTGAAAAGTGGAGGGGGAAAAAAAAATTTAAAAAAAAAAAATTTAAAAAAGGGGAAGTCGCCAATAGAATGTGCCTGCACTGTTTCCATGGTAACTGTCACTCTTGGTGACCTTTGCACCACTTCTCAGAACAGAACACTTGGGATAAATCTCTCCAATGCTTTCCACGGCTCCTCTTATGTGTGCCTCGACTGAATTGTTATGTTAATTTCCAAATGTTTCTTATACAGCAACAGAGGAGCAGCACATGAAAAACACAAGTTAAAGCGGAATTATATAACCATGTAAACATAGCACCCGTGATAAGACAATCCCTAAATCAGGGGCAGCAAACGCATGTAACTAATAATCCACTCCATAATTAATAGCACAAAAAAAATGACACCTCATGACTGCCAATAAATTATCTTTCAATAAGAAATAAACACGCATTCAGGCACCTTTCTGTAAGTCTCTTTCCATGGAGGTGTAGTGCCCTTATACAGGGCGCGATGTTTCATTGCCGACTCCATAATTAGCAACTACAGGAATTAACACTTTTTTGCCATGAGCAGCCTGCTTCCTCCTAGAAGCCGTTTTTAAATACCTCCCACAAATGACGAAACACAGCTTCTAACAAAAATGCATGCCGGGAGTTGTAGTTCAGCTAGAACTGACCTCTTTAGTTAAGGCTATAAACCTCGTACTACGATGGAATGCACGATCAGAATACTTCGGAGCTCTCACTGAGCCCTTTAAACCGCCTACAACTGTAGCAAGTCTCACTGATAATTAGTTTACCCGTAAGAACGTTATTAAAAGTATATAAAACTAGTTATTGCGTGAAAATGTTTTATGTTGTTACTGGCTGATGTTAAAGATTAGCATTGCACGATTTCATCAATATCTAAATATATACAAAAAAATAGATGTAAAGATTTTTATTTATTTATTTAAGTAATATACTTCTCTCTATCATGCAGATGTTTCTAAACTACATTTAGGATACTAAACAGCAACAAAAATAAATATATACTAATTTTGCTTTATCTTGCTTGGTCTACATCATCAAAGTACCCAATTGTGCAGGGCCCTACTCTATTATCAGATATAGATTATCAACATGATCACTTGCTATTCAATGTGTCATTGAATTGTGTTAAAGGACCACTCTAGGCACCCAGACCACTTCAGCTTAATGAAGTGGTCTGGGTGCCAGGTCCCTCTAGGATTAACCCTTTTTTTTTTATAAACATAGCAGTTTCAGAGAAACCCATTATAAATGGGTTAATCCAGCCTCCAAAGCCTCTAGTGGCTGTCTCATTGAGGCGTTTGCGTGCTTCACGCCAGTGTCCATAGGAAAGCATTATGAATGCTTTCCTATAAGACGGCTGAATGCGCGCGCAGCTCCTGCCGCGCATGCGCTTTCAGCCGAAGAGGAGGATCAGAGGCGGAGAGGAGGATGAGAGCTCCCCGCCAGGCGCTGGTAAGTTTAACCCCTTTGCTCTCTCCCGGCGGGAGGGGGACCCTGAGGGTGCTTTCCTGGCACTATAGTGGTCCTTTAACTAATTCTCCCATAATTTATGTAATATCCACTAAATATGCTTGCACTATTTTGTGTACTCCATAGGTAAGTAAAACAATTATGCACTATTTCCTCATACACTGACTGATTCTTTCTTAAAAATAAAGACAAATAAAGACAAAATAAAACATAATACAGACACTCCTCACTTACCGACCGGGTTCTGTTCTTACGACTCAGTCGTAAAACGAATTGGTCGGGAAGTGAGGATGCGCTACAGAACATAGATTAGATGGATTCCCTACTCTGGTGCATTTTTCTATGTTCGGGGAAATGTACCCGGACGTAGACATACGCACCAGAGCAGGGAATCCCTCTAATCTATGTTCGGGGAAAATTTCCCGAACATAGGCCAGATCTCTAACGTGGGAAATCCCTTGAATCCCCACACTAGAGAGCTGGTCGTAAGTGCGAGTCATCATAAAACAGGTAGCTTTTTTAAAGTGAGGACCATACATACATAACAATTCACAGAGTTGGAAAAGTAGGCAAAAAGAAATCTACATGATAGAAACTTTAAAAATAAAAATCCACTTTAAGGAGCTCCAATTTTAGTATAGACAGATCGAGTGGCTACTGAGAAGACAAAAGATCTTATCTACATGTATATGGAGAGTATATAAATAGTAACAGTGGACCAAAACTTTTCTCACATTGATGACTACTCACTCTAAGATGTAGCAAATTAAATAAACACTCCAAGTACCATAACCACTGTGACCTACTATAGTAGTCATGGTGCCAGGAATATCTTGCACCCTTTCACCCAGTGTAATCCGACATACTATTTGCAAACAATTTGACAATTATTTGGGGTCTGCATGGTGTGGTCACATTCTCCTCTGCAGCATGGAAATTGCAGCACTGTGCACTGGGAGCACTTAGCCAATGAGCCAGCTCTGCATGGCAAGGATTAGCACTGTGAAGCTAACAGAAGTTTCTTGCAGAAGTCTGCCTCCCAGGAGGATGCTACAGTTTCACAAACAGTTTGACTACTTACCCTAGGAGGTCACAGGTGACTCCTTTTACAATACCACTCCATGCACCATAACCACTAAAACATGTTATAGTGGTTATGGTGCATGGAGTGTTTTAAAATTCAAGTGACAAAACTGAATCTGAGATATCTGATCTTGAAAGATTCTCTAAATCAGCTATAGTCACAGCTTAGACTAATCTAGTGTAAATGTTTCAATTCATATTTTAATTTACAAAAGGTAGAAGTTTAGTGAATAACCGTGCTAAACAAGCAAGGTGTGCAAATAACTACAAGCTTCCTCATTGTAATTAAATATCTGAATGAGGAAAAACTAATTGCATGTAAGAATTTTGTTCATGATTGAATCGTAATTTTTAAAAAAAATGTAGGTTGTTTTTTAAATATTTGGGTGATTCAACCAATCTGAATATTCACGTTTAATGGGGCTTATTCACTAAATTGTAAATTCTACAACTTTGCAATTGACACAGCCTCTTTTAGCCTAAATTTTGTGATGCAGATGTCAATGAACAACAAATTCGGCATTTACTCAATAAACTCTCACATGATTACAAACTAATTGTCAGTAATTAAAAATGCAATGTTGTAGGCACTGTGACAATTTCTTCTTGTTGAATTAGTTATAGTGTTTGAGATTGTTTTGCCAGTCCCTTGACTCAGTTAGTAAACTAAATAATGGTCCCTGGTAACCCACAGCTCCTACTGGATGTATGGCAAAGACTTAGATTACACAGTTAATTCTAGAAATACCAATTCAAACCAGCAATGAGCACTCTGACAGTGTGAAAAAAGTCAGTTGACAGTATCAGTCAAATCACAGGCACCCATTGTTGTTCAGGCTTAAAGGACCACTATAGGCACCCAGACCACTTCAGCTCAATGAAGTAGTCTGGGTGCCAGGTCCCCCTAGTTTTATCCCCACTGAAAACAGCAGTTTCAGAGAAACTGCTATGTTTACACTGCAGGGTTAATTCAGCCGCTAGTGGCTGTCTCCCTGACTGTGTCTAGCGTTAAAACATAATAGAGGAATGGCGCTAGGGAAGTCCAGACACTATGACCACTTCAATGAAGTGAATTAGTTACAGTGCCTGCAGTGTCCCTTTCCCTTTTAATTTGCCAAAACTAATGAATAACCTAATGTATAATACAAACCCATGTAACTTTGTTTGTACTACAACATTTGACCTCTGAGACATGACCAACATTTCCAAATTAACTATAATTTATATAATTTCTTCTCATTTGTATTACATATATTTGTAAAAGAATCTGTACACATGCAATATCTGAAACTAAAATGAAAGGTGAAGAGTCCATGGCAGCAGCAGCAGCCATTGCCAAATATTGGTAAACACTGCATTGTGAAAGCAACAGCTACAGACAGGACATCTGGCGGCCTCTACAAGTGACGTCATTCCGTGGCGCGGTCTGTGATTGGCTGGGGGCAGCTCGCTCTGCCATTGGCTGTCATTCCGCAGTTTCGTCACTAGCGGAGGACGGGGTGCAGTAGGAAGCGCGAACATGGCGTCAGAGGGAAACGTTGACCGGTGGCAGGCCGCATTGAGTGAGCATGGCCTGTTCTCCAGGCTGCGAGCGGCGGAGGAGGCGGAGAATAGCAAGGCCAGGAACCGGGCACAGCTCAGAAACCTTATCTGCAGCGTGGACGGGGACCTGCTGGTGTGGGACCAGGAGGAGTGCTGCTTCTGGACTGTTAGACTACGGGACCTGGGAACAGACTCCTCGGGGAGCCGGGGGGAGCAGGTGAGGGGGAGCATGTGACAGGGGAGAGGGAGCTGGGGAGAAGGAGCAGAGGGAGAGAGAGAGAGAGAGAGAGAGTGAGTGAAGGTGAGGGGGAGCTAGGGAGGGGGAGCAGAGAGAGAGAAGGTGAGAGGGAGCATGTGACAAGGAAAAGGGGAAAGTGAGAGCTGGTGATGGGGAGCATAGAAAGTGAAAGTGAAGGGGAGCATGTGACAGGGGAAAGGCAGCTGGGGAGAAATAGTAGAGGGGGAGCAGAGAGAGAGAAGGTGAGAGGGAGCATGTGACAAGGAAAATGGGAAAGTGAGCTGGGGAGAAGTAGCAGAGGGGGAGCATGTAACAAGGAACAGAGGAAAGGGTTCCCATAATGTTCTGGTTTAATTTTTTCCCCCCCATCAGCTTGTTTTCATAATTAATTATTGAATGGGTGCATGATTAATCTTCTCATTGATATGGACAGGCTACAGTTAATCAGGAGCTTATTCACTAATATAAGAACTGTTGAATATAACGTAAATTTTCCTGACATATGGTGGCAGTGCAATAGGGATGTACTCTTCCCTCGGGACAAACATCTGAAATAATTAACATAAAAAGTACCTCCCCTTACTAGGTATAAGAGACCCAACCAGCCCAGGGACCTCAGTTCTCTTTCTTGTTCCAACAGGAATGGATGGCATCTGGAATATGGATGGTGAGGCACATGGGTTGCTGCCAGGGGGATCCGGTCTGATAGCCTCCCGGGTGGAGAGCTGAATGGCCAGCAAACATCCTGCAGATTACAGAGCAGGTATGTAAGCCTGCTTTTTATGCCGAGTGCAGTCACTGGCAAAGCAGGGAGGCGGTCTCTAGTGGCAGCAAATCGCTGCTTGTTGGAGATGAATGCGCACGGCGGTGGAACGCATGACCGGGTGGTTTTGCGTTCCACCGGAGTTACGACCACGCTACTGCGCATGCGCAGTCTGAACTCCCTGAAATGGCGCCACATTTAAAGCGGATCTGCCTAGTTATGCTGTGCAGATCTTCCTGTCAGCATGGATGCTCGGCAGTGAAGGTCTCCCGTGTCACCAGCACACGCACACGGGTCAGAGCTTTTAGAGGTATTCTTTAGACTCTCATCTTATCCTTTCTGATGAAACGGTAGATAAATCCAAGGGTAAAACACTGCCAGTCCAACAAAAAATGCTGGATTTTATATTCAGAGAATGGAAGAACCCTGAGAAAAGGGCTTTTGTCTCCAGACATTTTAAAAGTATTGTTAAAATAGAGGAGGAAGATAAATGGGAAGAATTGCCGGTGGTTGATGTACAAGTGGCTCAATTGTCTAAAAAAAAAAACTACCATACCTATTGGTGAAGTTTCTGGTCTGAAAGACCCTATGGATAAGAGGGCTGAAACTTCCAGCAGAAGGGCTTATCAGGCTGCAGGTTTTCAGGCTAAAGCGGCTTCAGTGGTGAGAGCTCAGAATCTTTGGCTTAACACTTTGGAAGATGGTCTGGGTGATAACCAAGACAAAGGTCTTTCCCTCTTGTTCCAGAATTTAAGGTTGTCTAATGAGTACCTTATGGATATTGTCACGGAGGTGATAAAGCTTTCGTCTCGTGTCATGGGTTTGACATCTGTGGCCCGAAGGGCACTGTGGCTTAAGGCCTGGACAGCAGACACTGCATCAAAATCTGCATTATGTGAACTGCCTTTGGAGAAGAAAAAGTTGTTTGGTTCTCCTTTAGAAGAGTTAATCCGACAAATGTCGGAAACCAAGAAGGCCCTGCCTCAAGACCAGAAATATGCCTGGAAACCCAGGTATAGAAATTTCCAGTTCAAAAACCGTAGGGGTTTTCAAGCAAAACACAGGTTTTTTTCGTCAACAAAGAAAAAATCCAAGATTTGACACACAAAAAGACCTTAAGTCTGACAGAAACAAACGTTTCTGGCGCCATCAGAGTGGGCGTAAGGTTGCAAGGTTTTGTTCACAGATGGAGGGAGACCACTACAAATCCATGGATTCTGAATCTGGTGCAAAATGGATGTCGAATATAATTCTTAGATGTTCCAAGACCAAGTTTCCTTGTCTCCTCCTACCGGTCGAAGTTAAAAAACCAAGACCTTTCTTCTGCCATGGTCTCCCTATTAAGAAAAGGTGTGGTAGAAATGGTTCCAACTTCCCAAGTATATCAAGGGGTATAATCCAGGTTGTTCCTAGTCCAAAAACCGGACATGTCTTTTCGTCCAATCTTGGATCAAAAAAAACCTGAACAAACTCATTCCTTACCAACATTTCAGAATGGAGACTATAGCGTCTGTCACCCATATCCTTTGAAAAGGAGATTTCATGGCAACTTTGGATCTAAAGGATGCCTACCTGCATATTCCTATGGATGGGAAATCAAGAAAATACCTGAGGTTTGCTATAAGGAAAGGGAAAAAGGTCCATTTCCAATTCAAAGCCCTTCCATTCAGGCTAGCTTCAGCACCCAGGATTTTTACAAAGGTCCTCACACCGGTCACCACTTTTTTAAGGATGCAAGGAATCACAGTAGTACCTTACTTGGACGACTGGTTAATAAAGGCAGATTCAAGAGGCGCTCTAGAGTCAGATGTGGTCTATACGCTAGAAATCCTGGAAGAACATGGTTGGATTATCAACCTAGAAAAATCACACCTTACCCCTACGAGGTCTATCCTGTCTCTATGGTTTTTGATCAAGTTAGAGACTGTCGGTTCATCTGAAAAAAGGATAAAGATTTTAATAAAAAAAACCTTCTTCGGATGTCAGAATGTTTGTTTGGTGAGGCAAGCCATGCAGGTTATAGGTCATCTGACCTCTACAATCCCTGCAGTAAAATGGGCCAGAGCGGAATCAAGGCCCTTACAGTGGGAAATTCTTGTCCAATGGTCAAAGAAGGAAGAAGACTTGGATGCATTAATGAGTATATCAGATCATACAAAAGAAAAGATCTCTTGGTGGCTAGAGGAAAAATTCATTAGAGAAGGCCTGTCTTTTTGTCAAAAATCTTGGATCGGGATTTCTACAGACGCTTCAAATACAGGTTGGGGAGCTCACCTCCTGTATCACTTAAGACAAGGTGTTTGGTCGAAAAAGGAAACAAAGGAATCTTCAAATTTCAGGGAGTTGTTGGCAGTTCTCTATGCTCTTTAGCAGTTCAAGAATTTCATTATAGGAAAAGCTGTAAAGATCCAGTCGGACAATCAGACCACAGTCTCCTACCTAAACAAACAAGGCGGAACAAGAGTAAAAAAATTGTATTTCCTTTGCTCACGGATTATGTCCTGGGCTCAATGTCATCTAGACGACATTTCCGCCATTCACATTCGAGGAGTAGACAACGTGGTAGCGGATGATTTAAGCAGATCAAAATTTTCCCAGAACGAGTGGTCTCTCAATCCAGAAATTTTCACTCATTTGGTGAAGAGATTCGGTCTGCCAGTCATAGACCTTATGGCAAGAAGATCAAATGCAAAAGTAAGATTGTTTGCCTCCCTCTTCAAGGTAGACAAGCCGCTTGTAATGGATGGTCTTTCGATCCGGTGGGAGTTTCCCCTTGCTTACATTTTTTTCCCCTAGTGAGCCTTGTCCCAAGGATTCTGCAAAAAGTAACATCAGATCAAGCTTGTATTTTGGCCATAATACCGTACTGGCCAAACCGCAGCTGGTTCTCAGTTTTAAAGATGGCTTTAAAGTACTGGATTCTCCCGGTAACACCGGATCTTCTGGAAAACCAGGGAATTCCAGTAGAAGTATTGAACATGTTCAGGTTGACGGCTTGGCTGCTGCACGGCTAATTCTGCATAATAGGGGCATTAAAGAAGAGAGTTACTGTGTCAGTTACTGTTAAATTCTACCAGAAGCTCTACTTCTTCTATCTACTTAAAAATTTGGACGAGATTTCTTCACTGGTGCATATTTCATCGTTGCATAGGATCCTCTCCTTCTACTGATGCTATCCTTCATTTTTTGCAAGATGGTCTTGCTCAAGGTTTTAGTCTGTCTAACCTCAAGGTCCAAGTTTCTGCTCTCAGTCATTTTTTGGTAAAAACAAATTGGGCTTCTGATCCTCTCATTAGGATATTTTTAAAAGGTGTTAGACTCATAAAGCCTCCTAAGAAAATCTGTATTCCATCTTGGGATTTGTCTTAAGTTTTGAAATCTCTGTGTACTGAGCCTTTCGAACCTTTTGGAAGAAGCTTCATTGAAGAATCGGTCCCTGAAAACAGTGTTTTTGGAGACCCTTTCTTCCTCTCCTGACTTTACAAAACTTCTTCTGGATTAAAGTGGTTATGTACCCTAAGCCTTCCTTTCTTCCAAAAGTCATCTCCTCCAAGGTTATCAACCAACCTATTTTTCTTCCTTCCTGTAATGGTCCATGTATGCCAGATTGGAAATTTGATTGGAGCCAACTAGATGTGGGTAGGTCTCTGAAAATCTACTTGGACCGCTCCTCTACGTATAGGATGACTGATCATCTATTCGTGAATTTCTTTGGAAAATTTAAAGGACTAGGCCACTTTAGCTAGATGGCTGGTGGATACTTTTTAATTATTAAATTATTCTTCCTCGAATCTACCTCTGCCTGCCTCCTTAAAAGCACATTCTACTAGAGCCATGGCTGCCTCTTGGGCCGAAAAAGCATGTGCCTCTCCGGAAGATATCTGCAAGGTGGCTACCTGGTCTTCTTTCAACACTTTTGTCAAGCATTACAGGCTAGACATATTCTCTGCCTCTGATGCTGATTTTGGGCACAAGGTGTTACAAGCTGTTATTGCCTAAATTCCCGCCCTTAGTATGGGATCTCGATATATCCCTATTGTACTGCCACCATATGTCAGGAAAAACTGTAATTTTACTCACTGTAAATTCCTTTTCCCTTAATATGGTGGCAGTAAATCACTCCCTCCCTGTGTGTGTGTGTGTATATGTATGTGTGTGTGTGTGTGTGTGTGTGTGTGTGTGTGTGTGTATATATATATATGTATATATATATGTATATATATGTGTATATATATATTTATTTATATATATATATATATATATATATATATATATATATATATATATATATATATATTAATTTTGGGTATTCTATGGATTCACTGAGGTGTTCTTGGTACATACTGAGGTTCCTGGGCTGATTGGGTCTCTTATACCTGGTAAGGGGAGGTACTTTTTATGTTAATTATTTATTTCAGATGCTTGTCCCAAGGGAAGAGTACATCCCTATTGTACTGCCATCATATTAAGGAAAAAGGAATTTAGGGTGAGTTAAATTACAGTTTTCAACTATAAGGCCAAAGTAGCCTAACTGAAACCACATATGACACTAAGAACTGGAAACATATCTGACTTTTTCCAGTTTGGCTACTTTGGATTCAATTTTTAACTTTACATAGAATTCCCAACAATTCTAACTTTAGTGAATAACCCAAAATTGAAGATTGCACTTGAGTACAAACTTTAGAGTAAACACTCACTGTTCAAGGAACACCCCATGCACACATAACTACAGCTCTCCCATTCTTTAGTTGTGGTAATAGTGCTTTGGATGTTTTCTTAATCTACTTCTAGTGTGGCAGCTCTATTATTTTGCATTAATATGCCTCTAAAGGCTGTCAGTCAGGCACTTCACACTAAAGACTTTTTAGTAACTTAAAGTTTTCACCTACAGAGTCATCACAACTACCACAATGACACTAAATGATGAGAATTTCTTGCAAATTTTAAAACATAAAAATTCTTTAAGCTGACTTTGTTTTCACTTGGGCTCCTTTTGGCCTTAAATCTAAAAAAATCAGTTTGAATTCCTGACAGTTCACATATCTGTGAATAATCCTGAAGTTATACAGCAATTTGTAGTGAATAGAAAACTGTATTGCAAAATAACTGAGTTGATCCAGCTCTTGCAAAGCAGTTTCCAGTTCAATAGTCTGTATTTACTGGATACACTGCACAGAGGAGGATAACAGTCTCCTGCATAATTTGTTACTAAGGCACTATATCTTACACCAACAAATAGCGTACACAAATGTAGTATACCACCATTTGTGCGAGCTATTTGTTGGTGTATATAGCCCTTGCTGTTTAATATATTTTACACACCTTTAACAAAAAAAATAATAATAAATAATTTCTAATTAATGTAAATTTTAAGTGTTTGTTCAGGATAACTTATGTACATTTTCAGAAAACTCACTTTTTCCCCCCTAATTTTAATAGAAACTGATGTGCATAAATCCCCTACTCTTCGATGTCACTGATGTTCTGTTAAGCCCTACACACCATCATATTGCACTGATTGGAGCCAAAGGTGTGATGGTTCTTGAGATTCCTGAACGCTGGGGAAAGAACTCTGAATTTGAAGGTGGTAAAACCGTTGTAAACTGCAGGTGAATAACTATAATAATAATAACTAGTATTTATATAGCGCCTTTCACAAATCTACAAATGTATAATGAAATCAATGGGATAAAAATTTACCCTGTTTTTTAATGCTTTTTTAAAAAAAATGCGAAATAGCATACAAAAACTATTTCCTTTTCGACATTGAATCTTTAATCACAGGTATGGATCTCCCCCAATTCCTAATGTGGGTCCCCAAAAAACAAAGACCATTGCTGAAAACGTCCTGCCCGGCAATACTTAACCTACTACACATATGGGATCAATCTAGGCAGACATATGAGCTCAGTACACTTCCCACCCCTATGACACCACTACTTCGCAATAATGAATTTCCACCTGGAATAAGAGCCAGGTACTACAAAGGGATAGTGGCTAAGGGACTCCAGAGATATGTCCACCTCTGTTAACAAAGACATTGTCACATATGAACATCTGCGTTCCATTCGAGCGATTACTTTCGATATCTCCAGGTCTGTAATTTTGCGCAGAGCTTCGTGCACCAGGCATCAAAAAGATGACTTGCTTCAAAAAACAACCCAAACTAAATTAACTTCTATAACTAGATCAGTGCTGATCTGGGTGATTCGGATGCACTGCGATACATAAAGAGATGGGAGGCCGAACTAGGGTAGGTGTTAGAGGCTTCAGATTGTCAAGATATTTGGGAGGCCAGCGCTAGAGTATATATTTGTGTGACCATCCAGGAACAGTCTCATAAAACCTTATTTTGGTGGTACACAACCCCGGTTAAACAATACCACATGAAGCTAAGTCCGACCGACACTTGCTGGCATCTATGTGGGGCAAAGGGAGACTGCATCCACATGTGGTGGGCCTGCCCGAACGTATCAGAACTGGCATAAAGTAGTAGAACTAAGCTCACAGGTATTGCAGAGGAAACTGACCCATGGGCCTGTTTACTCTCTAGGCCAACAGAGGGACTGACTAATATCAAACAAAAGCTACTGAGTATGATTTACCTAGCAGCTCGTAGAGCATTAGCTCAGACATGGGCCAGCCCAGAGATACCCATGCTCTTCCTGGTGATCGCCAAAATTAAAGACAACTATTGTCATGGTGCCTGGTCTGCACCTCAGTGTGATTGCACCTGATCGGTACGGTCACACTATCACAGTGCTCGATTGGCACCACAGTGTGGCCGCGCCTGGTTGGCACGGTCGCACTAAAGGAGGCAGAGGTTACTCACCTCACCCCCAGAGCCTCTCCCTCCATGCAGCTTGTGGATAGGCAGCCGGGTCCAGCGTTGGGAGGGATGCCGACCGATGCAAAACGGTGCTAATTAATAACGCCGCCCACAATGACGTCACTAGTGATGTGAACGTGCGTGCAGCGTCACGTTTTTGCCGTGCACGCACTTTCTGGGGTCATAGGACCCAAATCAGCCAATAGCAGGATTTACTGGGTTATTTAAACCCAAACCTGCAGTTGTTCAGAACCCTGTCGTGGTTTCCATCCTGTTGGTTATCTGAGAGCACGTTTCTGATTCTGATTATTGGTTTTTGATCTTGACTTGATTTTCCATATTTTCTGGTATCCCTGACCCTTTGGCTTTGTTCTTTCCGTATTTATTCCTTTCTGTATTCCTGACCTCGGCTTGTGACTGTTTATTCTCTTAAATTCCGGCCATTCTAAGGCCCGGTAATATGTTGTTACAGTTTGTTTTAAATATCTTTATTGGTGTCATCTCAGAGGCTTGGTATACTATTGTACTTTTACTGTAACGTTTAGTCGCCTTCGCAGAGGCGTAGTTCTCATTGCATCAATCGTAACATTTAGTTGCCTGAGCAGAGGCAGTTTGATCATGTCATTTGCGGCTTTATCATCTGACATCTAGCGTGTTGTGTGTGGTTTTGCCTGTGTGTGTGTGTTGTTCGGTGGTAATGGTGTGTATTCTGGTGCATGTTTTGGGTCTTGTCGTGTGTTGTAGCGCTTCTTGGTCTGGCTCATTCTTAAGGCTGTGTGTGGTTGATTTTTTTGTGTGGAGGTGTGGTGTGAGTGCTTGTAGCGTATTGAGCGTCTGGGTTGCTGTCACTTATTTGGCGTCTTTCCCGCCTACCCCCGCAGTGGCCCCTCTCGTCTTTGTCTTATTGTATTGCTTGGTGTCGTGGTTTTTGCGGGGTCCTCTGGGGTCTAGTGGGTGGCACGGTGTCTGTGTCAAGTGGTTTTGCATCCTCGAGTTGTCGCTGTGTAGCTCCTTTGGTTGGGATGTTTCCATTACTTCGGTCTTGCGTTTGACAGTTGTGTTAGTGTGTCTGGTTTTTTTGGGGGGGGGGGAGGGGGGGAGAGGGGGTGTTGCTCATACCCCATGTGGTCGTGTTGGATGTTTGAGGGGTTGTTTGTGCTGCGCCGTCGTGTCTTGTTCGGTCCGTACTCGTCTGCTATAGTCTCTCGGATTGTTCTCTGGTGTCTGTGTTGTGTGTGGGTATCGTCTTAGCGGGTGATTGCGGTTTTGTTATGTGTCTTTTTCTTCTCTTTGTCCGGTAATGTGGTCTTCTCTTGTGTCTGTGGTCGTTTGTTTGAGTGTGTTAGTGTGTGTGGAAGGGTCCTGGGGGAGTGGATGAGGGGTTGAGGGTTGGTGGTTAGTTATCTTGTCTCCCGTCACCGCCTCGGTTCGCCCAGCCCTGCAGCCTCCTGAACCCCCGCCTGGGTCTATCATTCTCTCACACGTTCCTCTTGCGGAGATTATGGTGTGAGGTGACTTTGGAAGGACGTTGTTACTGTTCGTGTTTGTTACGTGTTTTACTTAATGCTGCATGTTGGGCCACTGATTCGTCCTGACAACTACCTGATGGATAAACTCACCTCACCGGTACAAAACACCACTAAAATTTTCCAGAAAGTGTTGGACCTATGTGAACAATATAACGAAAAAGTAGTAAGTTACGAATCACCCAACAGGGATAAAGAGCATAGTCAGCCTTTTGAAATGCGGCCTCCCGGTATTGTGGAACTTTTATTTTTCTATGTATTATTTGAATAACGTGTATGTTAATACTTGTTCGACTACCGCTGTCTGATACCAGTAACATGCGTCTGAAATGAAGATAGACACAATGGAACAACCATGATGCCTAAACCTCACACGATGAAAGAGCATGAAACCGACATAAGGTTTGCCATAGGTTAAACAGTTTAAAAAAAAAAAAAAAGGTTGTCAACTGGTAAAATTGACTCTCACTTTAGTGAATAACATTGCAAGTGTCATTTAACCCCTTCAGGACGGAGTCAATAGTACACGTTCTGATCAAAACAAAACGTAAACAAAAACTGGAATTTGCGCTATATGTCTGTTCAACTGTAATTCGCCGCTGTCACATTAAGTGCACCCACACTTATTATATATCATTTTGTTCAGGAGAAACAGGGCGTTAATTTATCATTAACTATTCATATATGGATCATAATTTATTATGAATAAAATTAAAAAAAATGTGAGAAAAAATATATATATATTTTTTTTTATTTGTATTTCCGTCTGACATTTTAGCTGTTAATGTCATAATACTGTTAGGTTTTACTGCAAACAAATGCACATATTTGTAATCAGCGATGTCTCACGAGTACAACAGTACCCCCCATTAACAGGTTTTATGGTGTTTTGGAATGTTACAGGGTTAAATATAGAATGTTCCATTTTCAAATTGAAATTTGCCAGATTAGTAATGTTACCTTTGAGACGGTGTGGTAGCCCAGGAATGAGCATTACCCCCATAATGGCATACCATTTGCAAAAGTAGACAACCCAAGGTATTGAAAGTGGGATATGTTTAGTGTTTTTTTTTTTTTAGTAGCCACTTAGTCACAAACACTGGCCAAAGTTAGCGTTCATATTTGTTTTTGTGTGAAAAAAGCAAAAAACTAATATTTGCCCAGTGTTTGTGACTAAGTGGCTACTAAAAAGACTGGACATACCCCACTTGCAATACCTTGGGCTGTCAAAAAAATGAAATGCAAGCCTTATATGTGACTCTCTAACTTTAAAAAAACACCATAAAACCTGTACATGGGGGGTACTGTTCCCGGGAGACTTCACTAAACACAAATATTAGTGTTTTAAAACAGTAAAACATATTACAACAATAATATAGTCCATAAAAGTGCTGTTCGTTTGTAAAAAAAAAAATGCAAAAAACTTCACTTTTACTTAAAATATAATTGTAATGCAATTTATCATTTATTTATTTGACCCAGATAACCTCGTCACCCTCGTTCAGCGGAATGGGAGCCGCCCGCGCACATCGCGAAGTACCTCGCGTTAAGGGGGCGGACCTTTATCTAAGGAAGGGTGTAACATGCTACAGGCGGAATCACCAAGGCCCATCCTTCCAGACTCAGTGGGAAAAACACCTGACGTGGACCCCCAGTTGGTCCAATTCTTAAAAAAAATCTGGTTGGAAGCCGAGGAAAGGCTTAGACTTTTCTCTTCGGAACTGCCAGGACAAATTCCTGGACAATTTGGGGCCCATCTCTAAGCTATATGAGTTAGTGGAATCTGCCCAATCGGGCGAAAGTGACTTTGACTTTGAAGTAGCGAAAGGCTGGTTGCAGAGGTTAGTCTGCATGGTGGGTAACGCCAATACGGCTATGGCAACCGAACGCCGCAAGGAGATTCTCCTGAAAATAGATTCCAAACTGGTCAGTATGGCGACCAATGAGCCGGGCCCAGCCGCTAAAGGCTTACTTTTTGGTGAATCTTTTTATTAAGGATCTTGGGCTGTACGTAAAAACATTTAAGAGAAATCTGAGCTTTGTCAATTGCTGTAAGAGTATTTGCACCTCGGGTTTTTGGAGGGGCCGGCAGAGGTAGGAGCCGTCTATCCGGCCGTGGATTTCAAGGCTCATTTAGAACTGGAATAGGCTCCTTTTAATACCCAGAGACCGGTACCGGAGCGAAACTATACCCCATTCTTCCCATCTCGGGGACACCCCTGGAACTCCCACGGACCGTGGGGGTCTGTTTCTGGCAGACGACCTTATGGTGAGTACCGAGTATCTCCTTTTTTCCCATGTAAAAGTGGGGGGCAGACTGGCATTGTTACACCATGCTTGGAAAATTCTAACCTCATATGTTTGGGTATTAAATACAATACAGGAGTATTGGAGCTAATCTCTCACCCTACTCAGATGCAGTTCCCTCGAGAACTGAATATGACCAACGAACACCACACGATGATCTCGGCGGAGATCACAAAGTTGGCATCAAAACACGCTATTCAACAAATCCCATGGGACACAGGTTCGTGAGCAACCTGTTTCTGGTCCCCAAGAAAGGGGGTATGCCCAGTAATCAATCTCCCACCCCTAAATGCGTTTGTCCAATACCACCATTTCAAAATGGAGGGTATTCATTGCCTTTGTGACATCCTCCTACCATCCAATTGGATGGTCAAAGTAGATTTACGGGATGCTTATCTGACAATCCCTATCGCAGAAGCACATCAAAACCTACTGCAATTTCAGTGGCAAGGAACAAAGTGGAGGTTTCCAAAACTTAGGATTTTTGGTGAATTGGGAGAAATTGGTTCTCCAACTCTCCAGATGCATGGAATTTCTGTGATTTCTAGTAGACTCTATACAACAGAGGTTGTGTCTATCCAAGGGCAAAATGATTTTGATCAGGAAAGAGATCAGACGACTTATGCATCGTACGACTATTTCCCTCTGACAACTTGCGAGGATCATAGGGCTATTGACATTGTCCATACAAGTGATCTTCCCGGGGCCGTTACATTATCGTACCCTACAAAGGCTCAAAGCCTCATATCTGCGCTCTGGACACTTGTACGAAACCTGTGTTACACTGGATGAAGATTCCAGAGAGGAGTTGACATGGAGGCATGGAACGGACGGGCGATATTTGGGTCGACGCGAGAACTGGTCATAGAGTCAGACGCCAGCTTACACGGCTGGGGCGCGCATTGTGGGTCAGTTTCCACCGGTGGCAGATGGTCCAAAGAAGAAACGTTGTTACACATCAACTGCCTAGAACTGATAGCGGCATCCTTTGCCGTTCGCAGCATGACCCCCACAGGCATCTCATGCTCTATCCTAAACAAGATGGACAATGTCTCAGCGGTGCGTTACATCAACCACCTAGGAGGGATGAATTTGAAAGTTTTGGCACTGATGGCTCGATATTTTGGGCATTATTGCCTGAAACACAGCATTTCGGTAATAGCAGAATACATTCCAGGATGAGAAAATACACTGGCGGATTGGAATTCTCGATGCCTTCGAGACGCAGGAGATTGGCATCTCCACCCAATTATCTTCCAACGTGTCTCTCAACTCTGGGGGGCTTTTCAATATATCGACTGAACACCCAACTTCCTCGCTTCTTCAGTTGGAGACCGGACCCAGATGCTCTGGCAACAGATGCATTCTTACAAGACTGGACCAAGGGCAGGAATTACGCTTTTCCACCTTTCAACCTAATCTCTCGGACCCTGGCAGTCCTTCGATATTCCAGAGGGACCCTGGCCCTGATAACGCCGATATGGAGGTCACAACCTTGGTTTCCACATTTATTGGAAACGTCAATAGATTTTCCACGGCTATTGCCGGACATACCCTACCTCCTGACCAATCCAGAGGGAATGAGTCACGAAATGACCGACCAGGGTCTACTTCATCTGATGACATGGCTCATTTCAGGAGATCATGGAATCTCAAGGAGGTTTCGCAGGCGACACGCAGTCTCTTGGCACAGTCGTGGGCACCAGGTACTAGACGTTCCTACGGGTCGGCTTGGAGGAAGTGGACTGATTGGTGCATGGGACAATCAGCGGATCCCATATCAGCTCCTGTGAAAACAATCCTACAATTCCTGACTCTACTCTTTGAAGAAGGAAAAGCTTTTCGTACTATAAACCTGTACAGATCTGCTATATCGGCAAGACATATGGGGTTGGATGGTACTCCAATAGGTAAACATGCCCTTATCTGTCTTTTAATCAAGGTCATCCGATTTGCTCGACCCCCCTCAGGTTCGATATTCTTCCTTTTGGGATGTTAATGTGATTTTTAGTTTTCTTGAATCTTGGCCATTGAACCACGAACTTTCTCTAAAACAATTGTCGGCCAAGCCGTTGATGCTGTTTTGTTTACTGTCATGTAAACGGGTTGCTGATGTCAGAGCGTTAGACTGGCGTGCACACGTTTTGGTCCCGAACGGAGTATCGTTTAATATTTCACGTAGGACGAAATCCTCGACTAAGGAAGTTTTCTACCCTTCATTTCCAGACAACACAGATCTGTGCCCAGTGTTATGTCTGAAAGAATACGAGTGCCGTACGATCTCGCTCCGTTAAGATCAAACCCATCATTCATCTCATTCAAAGTACCTCACCTACCAGTATCTACTCCGACTTTAGCTCGTTGGATCAAATGGTTGTTGTCCATGGCATGCATAGACACTTCAATTTTTTTTCCTTCACACTCTTCGCGGGGCTATGGCTTCTAAGGCTTCCATGATAGGTTGTAGATTGGAAGATATCCTACGAGCAGCCGACTGGTCGAATGAGTCTACTTTTCATAATTTCCATTTTCGCCCAGTGCAACATATTTCTAGCTTGGTGGTTGCTCAGCTTTAAAATAGCATAATAGGAGCCTCTGTGTCTTTAATAAAATTACCAGATTTTACTATTAAAATGACGTAAAGTCATGATTTTATTAATGACACGGATGCGAGTATTATTCCCACCCACCCTACCCAGGGTGGTGATTAAGTTGCAGGCCAGTCATGGGGCTTCTTGGATGACATAATACGGTACGTACAAGGTCATACGCGGCACACAGGTGAGTAGGTATTCGTTGAATATGACTTATATGATACTTATTTCGAATTAATAACATGGTTGAAGAGTTCGATAATATTTACATCGATTGAATAACATGGTTGATGAGTTAATGATTGTGGAATAGCAATCACGAGATTTTGATATTACCATATATTCATTTTTTTTTTTTGCTTGAATACACATTTGAGAATTGGCGGTGGAAGCTGTTCACGGTTGAATTTCCAGTTATGGTTTTCTTTCGGGAATTTGTGTTTCTTGTTGGAATACCTTGGAGCTTACAATAATGGTCTTTGGGATCTACACAGAAAGAGGAGGAGTCAAGGAGCACCACACCTATATGGATAATACTGGATGCTGATTGGTGCCACTGTTACCAGGCTATTGTTTTTTTTCTATGATTCTCTCATACTTCCTTTTCTTGCTGCTGGGAGTATAATAAAGAAAGAGAATGCATAATACTCGCCTCCGTGCCTAATAAAATCATGACTTTATGTAATTTTAATAGTAAAATCTGGTAATTTCAGGTGCCTACATTAGAGCTGTAGTTGGTTGTCTTATACACTGAACAAAATTATAAACTCAACACTTTTGTGTTTGCCCCCATTTTTCATAGATCTAAGACTTTTTCTATGTACACAAAAGGCATATTTCTCTCAAATATCATTTACAAATCTGTCTAAATCTGTTAGTGAGCACTTCTCCTTTGCCAACATATGCCACACCTGTGAGATGGATGGATTATCAAGATGCTGATTAGACAGCATGATTATTGCACAGGTGTGCCTTAGGCTGGCCACAGTAAAAAGGCCACACATATATTTGTGACAAGTGTTTTTTTTTTTTTAAAAACAAACACTTGTCACAAATATTTTCTTTGGTATGAAAAAACAAATGACTTTTCATCAGCTTCAGTACTCACCTCTGCACCTAATCCACCCATTTTTGCCCAGCTCTTAGTTCCTTGTTATTGTTGGGTATTGTTCAATCTAACACTTAATGACAAATCTCTACTCCAAAACTTTTCAAAGAGATGAATAATTTATTGAGATATAGGAATTCTTATTAAAAAATAAAACACCACAAAAAAAAATCATGAACTATTTAGGACCAAGACCCATTTAGTACCATGTTAGGTCAGCTGCCATTTCAAGTATTTTTATCTGTCCATTAAATGGTGACATGGTCTACAAAGCCATTTTAGACTAATGCTTATCGTACATGATTAAGGCCTCCTGGCCGAAACATCGCATCTTTGTTTTGTCTCCTGGACTATAATTAAATATACATTATTCTTCACTGTGTAGCCTGTGACTCTATTCTTCTTGATTTATATTAGGGCATAGCAGACCTCCCCCGCAGAGCTCCGATGTATCACGATACCAGTGTGCAGCACTCCACTACCTGGTAAAATGCTTACCTTGTCTATTCAGCCACTGAATGAGGTTGTTTAGGACGTGGTTTCCTCACTACCAAATTTAATTAATGTCTATTTTTACTCGCTCCAGCCACAAACAAAATTACACTGAGCATTATAGGAGTCCAACAGGGAAAGGTAACACATTGAATTCAAATTGATGGAACATAAATTCTCAACAGAATGACTTGTAGTTTTTTTTTTCTTTTTTTTTCTCCCTACTAACTTTTGCACTTTGGAAAAGTAAAGGTAATTTGCTTTGACTTTTGAATGGTTGTTAGCCTATGAGATATAATGGCAAGTGTAACACTTGTTACTAAAGTTGAATAATAAGGTTTTTTATTTTGTGTTTGAATACTTTAATTTATGTATTTTTTTTTCACCAGGACAATCCCAGTAGCAGAAAGAATTTTCACCTGTTCCACATCCCTAATTCTAAAGCAGGCAACCTGGTACCCTAATGAGGCACAGGAACCTCGTTTAATTTTACTTGCATCAGATAACACAATAAGGTAAATATGTAAATCATTATTATATCTCTAATGACATTTACTTAAAAACTTCAGTATTTATTTATATTTTGTGTGTGTTTCAATAAAACCCAGCACGTTGCAGTTTGTTTACTAATCTAAAGATATTGGGCAATAGTGGGTGTTTGTGGGAAACTAAAATTTGTTTTGTTGTAACAGTTTACATAATTAATATGCCATGATTTTTGCAAGCATATCTTTACTAATATGTTGCATTTAAATATATCTTGTCTCGTAGAATATACAATTTTCAAGATCCCTTGACTCCTGAAAAGGTTATCATCCTCTCTAATTCTGATGAAGAATCTGACCTTCCATATAATGGGTATGCATACTTACATGTACACTAAATCAACTGGTAAATGTGTTTTGTAAGCTTCGAATGTAAACATTTTTGATCCAGTCAGGTCAGCAACTACAGAGAAACCGTAAAAAAAAAAAAAAAAAGTGAAAAGGCGCTCAATGTGAAACAATTATATAAAAATGAAAACGAAGAATAGCTGCAAAGACTCTCTAAAAACTGTAATTTCTCTAAATAGTCAAATAATACCATAAAGAAAACAAATAGGGGTCCTTTTCCCAAAATTATGCTTTTTGGTTTCCAAAATCTTCCAACATGCTGAAAACATGTAAAAAAAAATAAATAAATAAAATACACTATATAATGCAAGCAAGATGTGGAAACCTTATACAGTTGCAAGAAAAAGTATGTGAACCCTTTGGAATGATATGGATTTCTGCACAAATTGGTCATAAAATGTGATCTGATCATCATCTAAGTCACATCTAAGTCACAACAATAGACAATCACAGTCTGCTTAAACTGATAACACAAAAAGAATGAAATGTTGCCATGTTTTTATTGAACACACCATGTAAACATTCACAGTGCAGGTGGACAAAGTATGTGAACCCCTAGACTAATGACATCTCCAAGAGATAATTGGAGTGAGATGTCAGCCAACTGGAGTCCAATCGATGAGATTGGAGGTGTTGGTACTAAATTGTTTTTTTAGGCCACTACAGAGATTTAAAGATATAGAAAATGTCTTGCCTTTCATTGGTAAGTGGAAATGGAGTCCTGACAAGAGAATGCTAGATTACCCATGCTGCATAGCTCATATGGAGCCGCCAGATAGTGGGTAGTAATTGCTTACTAGTGATGTGAGTGCTACTGCATGAAGCCAGAGTTTTTGTTGCAGAAAAACACCGCTATCTGGCAGCTTGCCATGCTGTATTGTAGCATTGCATCTGAAGTCATGCAATTCTGATGTGAGACTTTTCAGAACTGTATGTAATATAAGCACGGCTCTGTGGACAGAGGAGAAGAGGATCATTGGAGGTCTGACATGTTGCTGTATTTTCCCAATGTTACTTTAGGCTAGCTAATAGGGTAAGCATTATAGTATCCATAATATATCAGTAATAACTTCAGCAGCAGTTCTCTAACCAGTTTGAGACCTGTGCTATTCTATATAATCAGAATCTGAATGTTTTAACATTTAATATTAGCAGGACTTATAAATGCTGTTGGTGGCTAAAAAGTAACAGTCCAGGCTACTATAGAGTCTGCATGGACCACATTGCCACGTTGCATTGACTGTCATTGGTTCTTAATATCTATTCAGGACATTCTAAGAGATTTACATTTGTTTACATTTAGAAAAGCCATGTTCTGTTACGATTGAGATATTAATAGCAATACGACTGACTGTTGTCCAAAAACTGCTTCAATAAGTTGCATTGGTGCTTATAGATCACACCCATGCAGTCTCTCTGCCCAGTTCTCTATTTAAGAGTTATCACTTTGTTTATGCAGCTACCATCACACCTGCCCTGACTGAGGCTCAGAAATGTGAATAAATAAGTATTTAGGTGGTGGGACGCAAAACACACCCAATAGAAATGTTTTTCACCTGAATATTGGGAAAAGTCACATGTTTCTAGTTTCATGTTTTTAAAGTTCATTTGTATAGGATATCCTTGTATTTGTAAACTGAATCCTTTGTTGGCAATTCTGTTTTTATTCCTCCTATGTTTAGTATCAATATTTAAAGAAAATTTATCGTGTGGACGAAAAGCTTAAATAATGAGTTTCTACTTGCAGGCGATCTTACAAAGCTTCTCTTGGAGAAACTGCAGTTGCCTTTGATTTTGGCCCACCAACAGCAGTTTCTAAGGCATTTGGTCTAAAAAGCAAACAGGAAACTCTGGCTTACCCACTGTACATCCTTTATGAAAATGGAGAGACCTTCTTGCTGTACATGGACTTACAGAATAGGTAGGATATAATATTCTACAGATGTATGGGAAAGCCATTTTGGTCAGTGCTGTCCATTTTATTAGAGCATTTGTATAAATTAGATGCAGGGTTTTTTGATATTAAATTAATAGAGACACGTTTAAACCGTAAGCGCCATAAATACTTTGCATTATTGTAAAACAATTTCTTCTGCTAAGCACAGTCCACTAGGGCCATCAATCATGCAGCCCAAAACACTTCGTTTTGGTTTGTTCAAATGCATTTTGTTGTCATTGGTGCATGAGTGGAAAGCTGTGTGCAGTCCATGGCTAAGCCAATGCTAAAATGCAGCCATGTTTACCGAATAGTAATAGTGTATAAACTGATGGCGGCTACATTATAGCTGCTATCTGTTTAAAGTGCAGTTCCTATGTGATTATTTGAACTGCTTTGTGTTGATAAACTACTTATCTCATGTTTTCTTGCTAATTTTTTAATTATGGATTATGATCTGCCTCATAGACCATAATAAGACTGATTGGAGTATCTGGAGGAATCTGCCTGCATCCGGCATATTAAAAATATGTGACTCATTTGATAGAACTTATTTTCCAATAAATTGTTTGCATTAACTATATAATGAAACAAAATTATGAATAGACAGTACTTTCGTATAATAAAGTATATGCTGGAAATATGAAGATAAGTATTAATTTAAACACCCGTTAACTGGTGGGATATTATCAAAAGTCTCTTATTTCTAAAAATATTTTTGTTGGTAGACTAGATGCATATATTCTGTTTTATATAAAGGCCATCTATCCATTTTCTATTCCAGTGCTGCTAATGTTGGCAAACTGCTGGGCCCACTTCCTATGCATCCCGCGGCTGAAGATAACTATGGCTATGATGCCTGTGCTGTACTTTGCTTACCCTGTGTACCGAACATATTGGTCATTGCCACAGAATCGGGACTCCTCTACCACTGTCTGGTGCTGGAAGGGGAGGAAGATGATGATCAGATGGTATGGAAAAAAAAAAAAAAATCCCACCTAACTTAATCAGCTTGCTCTTTTTTTTTTTTTTTTTTCTTACTAAACTGCAAATTTTGCTAAATAGCATTGTAGTGGGGCTTACACTTTAAAAAAATAAATAATAAAAAAAATTATATATTGATATGAAGTTACATCAGTGCTCTTTCTAAACTTCCACCCCATTTCAATCCAGCCTTTCCTTGTAATTGTTTATACTTCCTTGCAGTTGGAAAAGTCGTGGAATTCCAGCTCAGACCTGATCCCCTCACTGTATGTGTTTGAATGTGTTGAACTAGAGTTGGCATTGAAGCTTCCAACAAATCAGGAGGAGTCAACTGAATCAGACTTTGCGTGTCCTATCAAACTACACAGAGGTAGATATTCTAATTATAACAGTTATAATCTTTTTAATTTTGTATAAACAGGCATAGAACACTGTATTGAAGGCCTTTCCAAAAAAAAGTTAAATGGTGAAACATACAAATGTGGAAAAATGTGGCGTTTGCACACGATAGAGGAAATATGATATACATTTTCATCCTAAAACAGAATTTTGGTATTATTAATTTAAAACACACACACTCTCACACGTGATTGGTGCATGTAGCAAATTTTTTACTGCACCTAACCCATATTTACTTTTATGTTATATTGGATAGTTTACATATTTGGCTCCGTAGTTTAATTTGTAATATTTGGGTTTTGAACTGCTTTAAAAAAAAAAAAAAGGATTTCCAGAATATAATCTTCTTTATTCTAAATAACATCAACGTTTCAGCTCCCTTACAGAGCCTTCATCAGGATACACAAACTACATTAAAATGAAACCAGCTTATATAGGACATATAATACAAACTAGATTAAAGGGTATTCACTTACAGGTGATCCTCATTTCTGTTTGCCGCCGGGTTCGCCTAGGTCGCCGTCCTGCTCGCATTTACTTCGGGGTTCCGACTTGTGTATACAAGCTCGGCGTCACACGTCGGTGGGGCAACCATAGACGCTTACGTCTCTCTGGCTGCTCCCGCGTGTACAGGCGCCGATTTGAGTCAAGCTTCATACCTACTCAGTTTGAGCGTGATGTTGCCATGACGATCATGGCGCACCCCGGCGGTTAAAAAGGAAATGACAGGATAGTATAGCATATATTCAACAGGAGATCTGCAGCCATTGGTAGAAAAGATGATCTAGATGAAGACACCCTAATAAATAAAGTTAATAATGATAAACCTATTTACATCAGTGGAAATAAAAAGTGCAATTATTTGTAGAAAAATTTCCTATTATATATCTATTTTCAACAATCAAATTAGACCACGAACTTCAATACAGGGAAGGAGGACAATCAATCCTCTTGCTTAGAGTGTGTTGTAAAGATTATTCAAATATGTATAAGTGTAAAAGGCAATGCATATAAAGGTGAGACAGTGGGTGTTTGTGCCCAAAGTGTCTCCCCCATGAAATTAAAAGGGGATCTGGTAAAATCTGTGTCAGAGTGAAAGAAAGTATTTATATAGAATCCCTCAAGCTAGAATCTATCCTGTATATACACCTAAGAGTTAATACCTATATGTATCTTATAGATTATTTCAAGGTTTTAAAATTAAACCGTTAAAAGAAAGATTTTTCTGAATTAAACCATGGACCATAAATGGGGAAACTTATTGACATAATTCCCCCTAATGGGGTATTAAGGCTGATAATTATCACGATTACCCCAGCGGTAATATTAGAAAAAGATTCCCAAAGATGGCCCTACAGTTAACAATTATTTACAAGAACATGGAATAAGAGCACTTCTCATTTAGGCCTCTAGGTGACATTGTTCCCAACTGGAAAATCCAATAGGCCTCTCTTTGTAGTAAGAGTTTGCCTCTGTCTACCCCCCGGGCCGGAATGGGAATGTGCTCAATTGCAACACATCTGAGGGCTGACAATTGATGTTGAAATTCCAGGAAATGTCTGGCCACTGGTTTATCTGACTTGCCATCACGATAGGCAAGCCGTATACCGGACCTATGGCCTCTAATTCTCTCACAGAGTGCCGTCTGTGAGGCCACATGGGCACGTTATTTTTGTAAATAAGAAAGTCAGTCCGGCAGTGAATCCGTTGTTGGATTTTGTATAGCTTGCCTGTGTAGGGATGAGAAAAGGTTTTGGAAGGGATAATGTGACCACACGTCACACACCCCCAAACACCTTACACATCCAACATTTGTCTCTACTTTTTTGACAGAGCTATAACAATGGTGTGGGTCAGTGTTGACCAGTAAGTCCTTTATATTCTTGTTGCGTCGATAACAGAACATGGGCTTTTGTTGGAAGATCTCTGGGAGGGATGGATCCAGTTCCAGTGTTTTCCAGTTATTCCGGACTGATTAAGTCAATTCTGAGCTGGCGGTGTTAAAGAGTATCGGGAAGATGGGTCTAATGTTAGCCATCCTCTAAGGTTGGGAGGAGGGAGATCAGTAGGTTGTTTTAGCCTTTACTAAGGCTTGGTCTAAGACATTCCGAGGGTACCCCCTAGCTTTAAATTTGCTATACATGAGGAGGAGTTGTTGTTCTCGTTGTTCACTAAGAGAATTATTACGAAATACCCGTAAAAATTGAGAGTATGGTAGTGACTGTTTTAGATGTTTGGGATGGAAGCTCGGAAAGTGTAATATTGTTTTCCGATCCGTTGGCTTGGAAAAGAGTTTATACTCTAATTTCTGATTTGCAAACATAATTTTCAAGTCCAAAAATTGGACACTGTGCTCATTGATAGTCGCAGTCATTTTCACCTGTGTAGGTAAATTGTTCAAAGCATGTACAAATTGTAGAGCCTCCTCTTTGGAGCCATTCCATAGGATTAGGATGTCATCAATGAATCTAAAGTAATGGGTAATCTGATTATAACATGAAAGGATATGTTGTGTCTCATTCATACATGAAGGCATTCGCATACATTGGGGCCATTGCCGCCCCCATTGAAGTACCTGCCAACTGTAATGACCAATCTGTTTCAAATCGAAAATAGTTGTTCTGTAATGCGATGCCTAATAGTTCTAAGACAAATTCAATCTAGGGACCCTGGTAGTATGGAGAATGTATGAGGAGATTCCTCATGGCTTCTATCCCTGTTTCATGCGGGATAATGGTATACAAGCTCCCAACATCCATGGTAATAAGGATGCCATTGAAGGATTCGACTTGGTTAAGATGTCGTAGTAAATCAGGAGTGTCCTTGATACACGTATCGAGAGCTGTGACCGGATCTTTAAAAAAAAAAATCCAGATACTTCGCTATCGGCTCCAATATCCCCTGAATAGCTGATACAATGGGGCGTCCAGGCGGATGTTCAAGATTTTTATGGATCTTCGGGTGTGTGTAATACTGGAGTACGAGGGTGTTTTTTCTGGAGGTATTGGAATAACTAAGTTTATATGCCTAGCTTGTAGGCCAAAAGTTAGTACGTCCTCAATATTCTTTGCAATTGAATTTGTAGGATCCCCCTCCAGACGCAAATAAGTCTTGGTGTCAGTTAATTGTTGTCTTATTTCCTCTGCATAGTTGTTATAATCTAAGATAGATATATATATTTTAATATTAACATACTCTCTATTTCCATTTCTAGATGTTAGCTCATCCCAGTACCACTGCACTCACATGGCAGGTGTTCACAGTGTAGCACTGACCTGGCTTAGCAAACTGCAGAAATTTCTCAGTGGAGGTGAGTTTATTCATACCTGCTCTGCCACAGATGGGGACAAATGCCACAGTACCACTATGTAATCTGCTAAATTTAAAACTTTTTTGTTTCCTCTCCCCCTCCCCCCAGGTGAGGAAGAAAGGGATAGTTTACAAGACCTGGCAGCAGAACAAAAGTCTCTCGTGGAGCACATTCTATGTACCAAGCCACTGCCCTGCAGGTAATTGCAGATTAAACTCCATGCTGTCCACATTCTATTAAAGGTGCACTCTAAATACCTTACAAAACTTTAGGTTAATTAAGTGCTTTTGGTATTTAGATCATCTTCTGTTAGCAGTGATGAACTAGACTAGAACCTCTTTTCGGGACACTCATTTAGGTCTGGATCTTAAAAAATGGCGGTACCCATAAATAAATTGAGGATACGGTTCTGGAGTGAAAGTAAAAACTGTATTTGGTAAACGCTTAACTTTTTATTTAATATTTTTGCAGTGCATACGGTAAATACATACGTGCCTGAGTTACCCCAACGGCAGTCCTCTGGCTTCTTATCTCGCTTAACAAACAGTGTATTAGAGTAACATGCACTATTTTATAGTATAAGAAACACGCTTAAGGTTGCATATTGTTGGAAACATGTTCAAAGTAGGTCAGTCAAGCTTTGTTTGTAAGGGTAGTTTTAACATGGTAGATGATACGTAGTTAGGTCTGTCTAGACGTCATTCTCATTACAGGTTAGTGGCGTACATATTATGATGGGTCGGATGGCTAGAGCATAGACTAGGTTAGATGTTTTGGGGTTTACCAATAGGTTAGGGGACGTGGGAAATACTACTAGCCACAGAGATGCCACGTTCATCACTTAAGGTACAGCTTATGTATATAGGCATCTGGTCTAAGGGTTACATAAAACCACTTGTCACGTTCTCCCATATAAAAAGAAAGGGAAACAGAGAAAAGCAAAATGGAGACACAAGGGAAATACAGGGCACACAAGTGGGACTTTTCTTTCAACACTGTGGTTAGGAGCTTGTCACAGTGCCGCTCAGGGTGTCTGAAGATCACCTCACCCTATGCCCCTGACAGTCCAGGCACAGGCATATTGGTTCTTCTCAGGACTGTCATGCATCCCCTCCGGGCAGCCGCTCTGTTTGATCTGCATGTGGAGTGGGCCTTCCAGCCGCTGTCTCCCACTACCATCGCTCCGGGCTTGATAGGGGGCTAGCGCCCAGTGTCCATGGATCCGCCTACTTCCAGTGGCTAGATCTCTTGACTCTGGTGTCCCCTAGGGTGTATGGACAGCAGCCTGGTTTGTGTTCCAGAAGAGTGGCGGGAGGCTAGCATAGCTGTGGTCTTTAGAGCGGTAGTACCCAGAGGGGTGAGTATCCGTTTCGCCTCTGTGCTGGTGCAGTGAGTGGCCGCAGGTGCTACAGCAATCACCGTGGATGTTCCGTGCGGCTTAGGCTTGGCTTTGAGTGGCTGTGCTTTGCGTGCTGCTCTCAGCCGGTGTGCTGGGTACTTCTCACCTCACGGCCATTTTGGGCCTATGCTGTTGGGCATAGAGCTGCATCCTCTCTTCCAGGTTGCGCCAGAAAGTTGCAAAGGCTCTGTCCAGTCTGACCTCGATGTCTTCCCGTACTGCTGCAGTGTCTGGGTGCCTCGTGGCGTCCGCCATGTTGGCTGGGTCGGTAAATGTGCCCATAGCTGTAATTATTCTGTTCCCCCTGTATTGTGGGTCAGAGTGTTCCCCCATGGTTGGACTGGGATTACGCCCACCAGTCCAGAGGGGTGGGGGTTGCAGGGTACCTGCTCTACTGTATATGCCCCTGTGCCTCTCAGAGCTGGGAGGTCGGCCGCCCCTCCCGCCCGTCGGTCAGCGGTCTGCATGGCTCAGGGTGTGCCGCTTGTTTCTTCGGTCAAGCTTCTGCCCTCGGTAGTTCCTCGTTGCTCGGTGTAGAGGTAGGTAAGGCTTTAGCTGGGTTTTGTCTCGGGTTTAATTGGGCTGAAAGTCGCTTTTTTGCCAAGTGCAGTGAGGAGTTCATGCAAGTTGTGTCTCTACATCTTGGCGGTCAGGCCCCGCCCCAACACTTAACTTTTAAGCTTTTATGGTCCTAGTGAAAATGACCAACCTTTATGGCGGAAACACCAAATTTGAACAAGAAAAAAGGAAAAAATATTATACCAGTAGAGAATGAAAATGTAATTATTTACACTTTTGAGATTCCACCTTAACAAAGTGTTTGTTCAAAGTAACTCAACAACAAAATTGTGCAAATGTAAATCTGCAATCCTATGTGTGCACTTTTATTTTTCTATACAACCCTGAAATACTCTCAGCGTTTTGAAACATTTGTGCAGCTACACTTTTACTGGCACTATATTCCTACAGGGATCCCCTTCTTTGCACGCCCAAGTGCCCCGCACGCATTAGGATTCCCTATAGGAAAGTATTGTTTCATTACTTTCCTATGGGCATTTGATTGACACTGTATGTCCTTGTGCACAGTGTGAGGACGTCCAGCATCATTTAGGTGACTTTTAGTCGCCTAACCACCCGACAGTCCCTCTAGTGGTTGTCTGGTAGACAGCTACTAGAGGTGAAGTTAAGCCTGAGAGGTAATTATTGCAGTTTCTGAGAAACTGCAGTAATTACCACTGTAGGATTAAGGGACATGGGACATTGCACTCAGACCACTTCAATGAAGTGTCCCTTTAGCAAGTCTACCCCTGATAACTTTTTTTAAGTTAAAGGAACACTCTGGGTACCATTATACCTTCATCAGATTTAAGTTATGATGCGATGAGGTCCCTAGATTTCAGCTTATCTCAAGCGGTTACTGTTAAAATGAATGGTTTAACTCCAAAGTCCTGGATCTGTCACCCAGTCACTCTGCCCTGCTATTTCCACTGCAACCTGAGGTTTGAATCTGGTTGGAAGTTGCTGATAAGTTGAATTCAGCTGATGCTTTTAGCCATTTCTTAGCTCCCTATTCCCAGAAAGGCGTGAGAAAAATACCGGTGTTACTCAAGCCATTTGAATAAAAGTGAAAGGGAGGGGGGCCGCTACATGGATGCCCCGGTGGCCTTGTACCACGACCTGTCGCAGACAACTCTGGACACCCGGCGGGCCTTGCGGCCGCTTACCCGCCTGCTCCAGGAGAGAAGAATCCCGTACAAGTGGGGTTTCCCCTTTAGCCTGCAGGCCCGGGTGGGCAATATGTGGCATGTGCTCCAGTGGCCCAACGATGTCCCCCGATTCCTCCGGAATGCGGGCCTTCCTCATATCGCTGTCCCGAACTGGATCCTGGGGGAGCCCCCGGCTAGGGCGTCGGGCCCTGACGAGGCTGCACACAACCTTCATCCGGATCCTGAGATGCCACGACGCAGAGGAGGGCCGAATGGCCCAGAAGAGTAACGGTTACCTGTTGCGCCTGGTGGCGGTCCCCCGGGGGCTGTCGGATCAGGCAGGGCTCCCATCGGGCCTCAGCCCCTAAGTAGCGGGACTCTCGGCTACCCGGTTGTGAAGTTGGGGCACCCCTGCCCAGGGTATGTACTGTGGTGGACTACGCTCTATAGAAGTTAGCTGCCTGGGGAGGGCTGGTAGTTAGGTTGGGTGGCAAGGGTTAAAGGGGTTTGGCGGCAGTAGCGGGCAGATTTCGGGTGGGTTCCACCGCAGGTGGGGAGGGCAGGGGGGTAAGTGCTGGACTGGGTTGAGGAGCTGTTGGGGACTGGCTGAAGACGATGGCTTTGGGGGACACATTTGTACTCTTTCCCCCCCCCCCTTTTTTTTTTATATCTCTCCCCTTGTCTCCTCTCATTTTGCCTGCCTATAGGGGGGAGGTCTTGGATGGGTGTTTGGTTATGCGGTGCTTAGTGGCGCTGCCGGGTTGGGGGTTTGGGGAGGCAGTGGCGCCACCTTGCAGCGGTTCTCACCATTGTTCCTTATACGCTGGGGACATCTCAGGTCATCTGGGGTCGGCCCATGTAGAGGTAGGGGTATTTGGCGATTGGGGTGAAGGGGGGTATTGGAGCGGGCGAGGGGCAGGCCGCTACTAGGTGGGGGTGGCTGTTGGGGTTTAGGAGGGGGCGGAGGGGGCACGAGGGAGGGGGCTGTCTCCAGTAGTCCTCGCAGGAGGGGGGGGAGAGAGATCCGCACCTGGGCAGACCCTGGATCAGGCATCGGGAGGTGGGTGGAGGCTCAGTCACATACGAAGGGGGGCCCCACCTCGCCCGGCAGGAAAGCCCCAGGCATGGAATGGGCATCTTACCATTATGCGGTCATCTAGGCACCGGTTGGGCAGATGGGCGACCCCTGGGGACGCGGGGTAGTGAGGTATTGGGGTGTTTTTCTGTTTTCTTTCTTGGGGCAGGGGGCTAAAGAGGGGAGTACTCCTAGCTTAATCTATTACTGTCAAAGGGGGGAGGGGCGGGGACCCAAGACAGGTTGGTTGCACACAGGGGGCGCAGGCTGGGGGCGGGCTGAGGGCACACGCAAGCCGCACCCCCACGAGGGCTGTTAGATGGGGCAGTTCACATGGTTTTCCTCAGTTATTTGTGTTTTAGCCTCTGGATTCTTGCACGTTAGACACACAGGGTGACGGCAGACGGACACTGAGGCAGTTACAACCACTACATTCCACGGAAACGCCAAGACAGTGAGGGGCCCTTTTGTTCCCTACTGTGACAGACCAGCACTGTAAATAGAGCCGGGGTTCCTCACACGGGCATACTAACCCGGGGTGAGGATTATACTTTCCCGGCTCAGGGTCGGCGTTGCCCACGGAGGGCGGTGAGACTAAGTCCTACTGTTATCAGCACTGGACCTCCCACATTCTTCCTTACCCACGCTCCCAGCTGTACCGGGGCGGGGGCGCTCCGCCGCTGCAGCGATGGCACCCGGTCGGGGCTTCGTTCCGGCGCGGCTGACCTACTGGTCTAACAACGTTCATGGGCTTAACATTCCGGAAAAACGATCACAATTGCAGCGGCAGCTCTGAGCCGCAAAAGCATCCGTGGCGTTCCTGCAAGAGACGCATTTCAAGGGGAGAGATGCACCTAAACTGGAGAATCGGCGATTCCCGTTGGGATTTTACGCTAATCACCAAACCGCCAAAAAAGCGGGGGTGGCTATTCTCTTCGCCCAGACGACGCCTTTCCTTCATTTGGCGTCCCAATTGGACCCGATGGGGAGATACCTATTCTTAAAGGGCACCATAGCGGATCATGTGTATACCTTCGCTTGCATATACTGCCCAAATAGGGGCCAGCACACCTTCCTATCCCGAACACTTGCCAAACTAGAGAGATTCCGGGAGGGCCTCCTGGTCCTTGGCGGCGACCTCAATATCCCGCTGGAACCCCGGCTGGACACTTCCAGGGGCATGACCGCGGTCCCGGCTGCAAGTATACGGCTGTCCCAGCGTGCCTTGCACAAAGTTGGCTTGGTAGATTGTTGGAGGGCCTGCAACCCGGAGGGGAGAGACTACACCCACTACTCTGCGGTGCACGCACAATACAGCCGTATCGACTATATCTTCCTGGCACAAGAATTCTTGAACCTCCTGCAGGGAGCGGAAATAGGCATTATAGGCCACTTGGATCATGCACCGGTCCTGGTTCATACTAATTCCCCGCTATATAAGCCCAGTGAACGACAATGGAAGCTCAATGAAACTATGCTGGATGATTTGGTTTTCACACAGTCCGCGACTCGTGCCCTGTCAGAGTACTTCACCACCAACGATACCGCGGATACGACTCCTCTAAGGCTTTGGGAGGCGCACAAATGCGTCATCCGGGGCTTCTTCATCTCCGAGAGCACCAAACGCAAAAAGGAAAGACGAGCTCGCATTTCCAGCCTGACCAAGCGTATCGCTGACTTAGAAGGAACTCATAAGCAAACCCTAGACGAGGACACTTACCTCCAACTGGTGGAGGCACGTAGGGACTTGCAAAAGATTCTGTGGCAGGGGCTATTACTCACCGCTAGGAAGGCCTCTAGGTTCTTCTACGAACACTCCAATAAGTGCGGGAGATTGTTAGCCCGGATGCTCCGTGAAAAGCGCAGGATGCTCCATGTCCATAAAATACGCACGGGGAATGGGGATACTACACGCCTCCCAAATGGCATACTGTCGGCATTCCAGGATTACTATGCGGCCCTTTACGACCAAACGAAACACCGCACAGCATCAGAGGTACGGCAACACAAGGAGAGGATAGTGGAGTACCTACAAACCCATGTTACACGTAGACTCACCCCGGAGCAGGAGGCGGAACTGGAGGTTCCTTTGTCGGTGGAGGAACTCGCTGCGGCGCTGAAGGCCACCAAGACTCACAGGGCACCAGGGCCGGACGGCTTACCAGCTTCTTATTTACGGACGTTCAGGGATATCCTCCTACCCAGACTGGTCGCAGGGCTCAACTCCTTGCGGGAGGAAGGCCGCTTTCATGAAGACACATTGAGGGCAACGGTTACGATCCTCCCGAAGGAGGGCAAAGACCCCATGGACTGTGCCAGTTACAGACCAATTTCATTGCTCAATGCGGACCTTAAAGTGTTTGCTAAAGCTCTGGCACTACGGATGGCTAGGACCCTGCCGGAGATCGTGCACCCGGACCAGGTCGGTTTCATACCTGGCCGCGAGGCCCGAGACAATACCATTAGGGCCCTTAACGCGGTCCACGTAGCTCGATCCAGTGGGAGGGAGATGATACTCCTTTCTACTGACGCCGAGAAGGCGTTTGATAGAGTTGACTGGACTTATCTGCAGGAGACCCTGGGATGCATGGGGTTTGGACCAGGTCTAAGGGCATGGGTGGCGGCGCTGTACACGGAACCAACGGCGCGTATACGGGTGAACGGAGCACTTACGGGTGTGTTCCGGATTTCCAACGGCACGCGTCAGGGCTGCCCGCTGTCCCCCCTCCTGTTTGCCCTCACACTGGAGCCCTTCCTGGAGGCGGTGAGGCGAGACGGGGGCATAGCGGGGTGCCTGGTAGGGGGGGAGGAGCATCGGGTGGCGGCATACGCCGATGACATGCTCTTCCTCCTCGAACAGCCAAGAATCTCGCTACCGAACTTAATAGAAGCTTTCCGACTCTATGGCTTAGTTTCTAACCTGAAGCTCAACCTGGCCAAGTCGGAACTGATGCCACTCACACGAGACCCGGCACTTCGTAGACACATCCAGGCGCATTTCCCCTTCCGGATTTGCTTGAACAAATTACGGTACCTGGGCATCTGGATACCGTGTGATCTAACTCAAGCTTATTCCATGAATTTTGCCCCCTTACTCACAACTCTACAACAAGATATGAAGCGCTGGGCCCCCCAATATATATCCTGGTTCGGACGCATAAATGCCATTAAAATGAATGTCATGCCCCGTAAATTGTACTTGTTCCAGACGATCCCGGTCATTATACCAAGGAACTTCTTCCTAACGTTGTCATCCGCCTTTAAGCAGTTCGTATGGAACCAGAGACCTGCCCGCATTCGGCAGTCAATCCTAGAACGTCCTAGAAGTGAGGGAGGCATGGGCTTGCCTTCGGTCCTCACTTACTACCGGGCTACACACTTGTCTCGTCTGGTGGACTGGCACGCTGCTCCTAGCGGGAAGCGGTGGGTAGACATGGAAAAGACACAGGCAGGGGGAAGCAAAATACCGTCCCAGCTGTGGCTGGGGGATGCCACGTTCCAGGACCTGCGAACTGGCAACCCTTTGGTGGATGCGACTCTGAAGGTCTGGTGTGGCATCCGGTTCTCCCAACAACTCACGTCATCGCCAAATCCACTTACGCCCGTGACGCATAACCCAAGACTGGCAGGTGGACTCTCCCCAGGTGATCTGAGGAACTTTGGGGCCACGGACTGGATCTACCTGCACCAATGGTGTAATGGTCAGAACCTCAAACCGCTGGCTACGCTGCTCCAAGACCGCAGACCCAGCGGCTTGGACAACTTCCGGTACTACCAGCTTAAAACCTATGTAACCTCGCTAACTGGGAAGGCGCACCTCCACCGCCCACTGTCCCACTTCGAACAAATCTGTGCCGCCAGACAGCATCTCATCCATGGCATAGCGCAACTCTACTCCATGTTGCAGAGTGGCGAAGACCAGGCCCCACTAGGGTTCACGGCACGGTGGGAGAGGGAAGCAGGGGTCGAGCTATCTACCTCTGAATGGCAAAAGATCTTCCAATTGACGCACAGGGGGACCATTTGCTCCAAGTTCCAGGAGTGCAATTACAAGATACTGGTGCGTTGGTATAGAACTCCGGACATCCTTCGTCATGTTCACGAATCCATCTCAGGAGAGTGCTGGAGGTGTGGAGATGCTGATGGCTCTGGGATCCACATGTGGTGGTCGTGTCCCCGCATCGAACCTTTCTGGAGAGCGATACATAAAGGAATTAAAGATGTTACCGGGACAGACATCTCATTCCAGCCGCTGCCAATGCTACTGAATCATACGAGCATGCCTATTTCCGCTTACAAGAAGGGCTTGGTGATACACCTTCTCACGGCAGCAAAATCCCTTATCCCCACGTTATGGAGAAGTCAGGTAGCCCCCTCGCTCCACCAATGGATTGACAGGGTGGAAATGATTTACAACATGGAATTGATGGCTGCGTCTCTGCAGGGGCGCTCGGATAAATGTGCGCTCACATGGTTTCCTTGGACGGAGTACACGGCCAGGGGGGCCGCGGGGGGAGCCCGGTCCTCACCCACAATGACCTGACTGTGACCCGGGGTGCCTTCCTGTTTAGGGGGGGGGGCACACCTCCCCATCCATGCGACTATGACTTCCCTTCACATGCCCCTCCGTCCTTCCCAGACAGACGACACACGGAGGCACTTACCAGAGAATAGCCTCACAAGCTCACTCACCCCCTAACTTAGCATTCAGTGTGTTTTGGGGATGGGGGCTGGAAGTACAGAGCAAGGACTGGGGCTAGTCCACGGCGGCATAGGCAGATAGCGGGTCGGCGAGGCTTCTGAACATCTTGGGTGCAGGTGGGTGTTGTACAGGACGAGGGGGGTCGGAGTGGAGGGATGGAGGTTAACAAAGCCTTTGGATGGTACGGGGGGAGGTCCTCTGGCGCTTTCAGCCTCACACACTGGGTTCACCCCGGGCCTCGGACTCAATACAGGCGGTGGTACCTGATTTGACCCCTAGGGGGCTCAGGCTTCTTACGCTAGGGGAGGAGAAAGGGCACGGTGGCCTCGGAGGACAAGCCGCAGCTGGCGGACCTTGCCCACGAACCACCGACCCAGTGTAGGGGGTCGGGGGGTACCGAGGGGACACTGGGCCAGGGGCGAACCCATCAGAGGGCCGCCTAGAATACGGTTGCAGAGGCAACATGCAGTTTAGAATGCCCGCTCAAGAGGTAGAATGAAAAGCCACATACCCCACGCCCCACCCGGCGCATGAGTCACATGTGTCCTCCAGTGGTCCCGAGATTGCGGCCCTGTTTGCCGCTTAGATGTATCAGCACTGTCTAAATTCTAGCTTAATTCAAATGCTAAGATTCCGTCAAATTTCCAGATGTAGTGGCGGCCTATCTGGAGTATGTTACTCTTTCTTCCTGGCTCCTGTATAAGGAGATGAATATGTTTGAATGTCTGTATTGACCTAAACGTGCTGTATAAAATAAATGGAAAAATAAAGATTGTCAAAAAAAAAAAAGTGAAAGGGAGCTGCTGAAAGCGTCAGCTGATGCTCTCAGCTCATCAGTGACTGCTAGTCCAATGCTTCCTTATTCAAGTTCTAGGACAGAGGTGAAAATGGTTTGGCAGAGCAATCAGGCAACAGATTCGTGGCTTAAGGGTACCTCCTTGAACCATAACAACTTAATTCTGATGAAGTTATGTTGCCTGGAGTATTCCTTTTACAGGTAGACTATAGTCACACTCAAACCATTTCATCCAAGTGAAACATTGCAGTTTTAGTTACCAGACAGGCACTAGAGACTCTTAACACTGTATTGACAGAATAAAACTCATGTGACACGAAAGCCCCATAGGAAAGTATTCCTTGTTTTCATATGGTAAAGTTTACGCCTGTGTGTCACTTGCCACGCATGTGATGGCAGATGCTCCTGTATGAGGAGCATTGGATTGGACATCAAAAGAGGAGGCTGTGCCAAGGGAGTTAAAAAAATTAAGTAAAGCTTGCTGAAAAAACAGTAGCGACAGGAACACTATAGCATTAGAAATATCGCATTGTTCTTTTCAAATTTTGTCACCCCAAGCACCATGACTACTTTAGTGTTTTGAAGTGGTCACAGTGCCTGGAGTCTGTATGTGTGGTGTTTAGCTTTGAAATGCTGCATATAAGTTTAACTCCTTGGCTGCCAGAGACCACGGTAGTGTTATTGGGCATCATTAGCCAGCCTAAAGAAGAATTCTGTTCTGGCTAATGTCAATTCTGTGCATATTACTATGCACATAATGACATCTGGTTTCTGCAGAGCTGTCAGTCACGCCATCTATTTATTGGCGGAGGGCATAAGCTGACTGCTCTCAGTCAATTAATGGCTAATGAGATCAACTTCTGACTTCTGCAGCTTTACAGGAGCCAGAGGTCATCACTGGCCACTGGAGGACAGTTCTTGCCTGGTGGGGACCCAGATAAGAGGGAAAACTGTTAGCCATATTACTAGAAAATGGTGCCAGGGCATCATAACCACTGTAGAGGTATATTTGTATATAGTTTTGTCATTTGAATGCATATATATATTCTAATTTACATATATTTAACCAGTCTGTTTCCATACCGTTTGATCTCAGAAGGATGACTACTCTGGGTCCTGGCTGCAGCAGCTGCTCGCTACGCATGATGGGAGTCTGGTGCTGGTCCAGGCCTCTCTGCTTTTAGGTGCGGCTCTCTGTATGCTGAGATGAAGTGTTGTGTACTCACTTCCTCCCTGCACTGTGACCAAACTGCAGCTCTATTAGGTGCCTGGTCTGGTGTGCTATTCAGAGATGCCCAATGCGTGACCCCTAAGCTTGTGGGCCTGATGCATCGGCATTAAACAGTTATGGTAACAATATAGCTAAATATTTATTTTTTTGAGAGAGAGTTTAACTGGATAGGTTTTACAGTTCTATCATGTATAGCATTTCTTAATATTTTTATTTTCCTGACATATGGTGGCAGTACAACAGGGATGTACGCTTCCCTCGGGACAAGCATCTGAAATAAATAATTAACATAAAAAGTACCTCCCCTTACCAGGTATAAGAGACCCAACCAGCCCAGGGACCTCCGTCTGGACGGCATCTGGAATATGGATGGTGAGGCACATGGGTTGCTGCCAGGGGGATCCGGTCTGATAGCCTCCAGGGTGGAGTGCTGAATGTCCAGAAAACATCCAGCAGATTACGGAGCAGGTATATAAGCCTGCTTGTATGCCGAGTGCAGTCACTGACAAAGCAGGGAGGCGGTTTCTAGTGGCAGCAAATCACTGCCAGTTGGAGACGCATGCGCATTGGCGGTGGAACGCACGCCCGGGAGGTTTTGCGTTCCACCGGCGTTCCAACCGCGCTATTGCGCATGCGCGGTCTGACCTCCCCGAAATGGCGCCAAGTTTAAAGCGGCTCTGCCTAGTTATGCTGTACAAATCTTCCTGTCAGCATGGATGCTCGGCAGTGAAGGTCTCCCGTGTCACCAGCCCCCCCACACGGGTCAGAGGTTTTAAAATTATGATTCTTTAGACTCTCATCTTTAAAACTCTCTCTCTTTCTCTCTCTCTCTCTCCTCTAATTTTTTTTTTTTTTATTGTTTCTACAAAATGATTTATTGCTTATGTATTACAGATATGTCTAGTCCTGTCTCTACAGATAATTTGGATTGGGCCAAAGTGCCTACACCTGCTTCAAAAAAAGCCAGTTCCAAAACTAAACATCTCTGTTGCAGTGAATGCTCTACTCCTTTACCAGATGGTTTTAAAAGGAAAGTCTGTAATGTTTGCTCTTCCTTGACGCTAGAAAAATCCAAGCAACAAGAGATGAAATCCTTTTTGTCTTGGTTTCAGGATAATCTGGCCCAGACTTTTGAGTCTTTTAAAGATCCTGCTCACACTTCTCCTGTAAAAGCTACTAAACAGAAGTCTAAAAGGAAGAGAACTCCATCTAGTTCAGAACTAGCCTCGGGTGATTGTTTTTTCTTATTCAGAAGCCTTTAGCGACTCTTTTATTTCTGAGGTTGGATTTCCTCATGATGAGTTGAGAAAATTTATTAAAGAGGTTAATGTTATCCTTTCTGATGAAACGGTAGATAAATCCAAGGGTAAAACACTGCCAGTCCAACAAAAAATGCTGGATTTTATATTCAGAGAATGGAAGAACCCTGAGAAAAGTTTTCCTTTTGTCTCCAGACATTTTAAAAGTATTGTTAAAATAGAGGAGGAAGATAAATGGGAAGAATTGCCGGTGGTTGATGTACAAGTGGCTCAATTGTCTAAAAAAAAAAAAAAAAACTACCATACCTATTGGTGAAGTTTCTGGTCTGAAAGACCCTATGGATAAGAGGGCTGAAACTTCCAGCAGAAGGGCTTATCAGGCTGCAGGTTTTCAGGCTAAAGCAGCGTTAGCCGGGGCTTCAGTGGTGAGAGCTCAGAATCTTTGGCTTAACACTTTGGAAGATGGTCTGGGTGATAACCAATCCAGAATTTAAGGTTGTCTAATGAGTACCTTATGGATATTGTCACGTAGGTGTTAAAGCTTTCGGTTCGTGTCATGGGTTTGACATCTGTGGCCCGAAGGGCACTGTAGCTTAAAGCCTGGACAGCAGACACTGCATCAAAATCTGCATTATGTGAACTCTTTGGAGAAGAAAAAGTTGTTTGGTTCTCCTTTAGAAGAGTTAATCCGACAAATGTCGGAAACCAAGAAGGCCCTGAAATATGCCTGGAAACCCAGGTATAGAAATTTCCAGTTCAAAAACCGTAGGGGTTTTCAAGAAAAACCCAGGTTTTTTTTTCGTCAACAAAGAAAAAAATCCAAGATTTGACACACAAAAAGACCCTAAGTCTGACAGAAACAAACGTTTCTGACGCCATCAGAGTGGGCAGAAGGATGCAAGGTTTTGTTCACAGATGGAGGGAGACCACTACAAATCTATGGATTCTGAATCTGGTGCAAAATGGATACCGAATAAAATTCTTAGATGTTCCAAGACCAAGTTTCCTTGTCTCCTCCTACCGGTCGAAGTTAAAAAACCAAGACCTTTCTTCTGCCACGGTCTCCCTTTTAAAAAAAGGTGTAGTAGAAAGGATTCCAACTTCCCAAGTATATCAAGGGGGTATGCTCCAGGTTGTTCCTAGTCCCAAAACCGGACACGTCTTTTCGTCCAATCTTGGATCTAAAAACCCTGAACAAACTCATTCCTTACCAACATTTCAGAATGGAGACTATAGCGTCTGTCATCCATATCCTTTTAAAAGGAGATTTCATGGCAACTTTGGATCTAAAGGATGCCTACCTGCATATTCCTATGGATGGGAAATCAAGAAAATACCTGAGGTTTGCTATAAGGAAAGGGAAAAAGGTCCATCATTTCCAATTCAAAGCCCTTCCATTCAGGCTAGCTTCAGCACCCAGGATTTTTACAAAGGTCCTCACACCGGTCACCACTTTTTTAAGGATGCAGGGAATCACAGTAGTACCTTACTTGGATGACTGGTTAATAAAGGCAGATTCAAGAGGCGCTCTAGAGTCAGATGTGGCCTATACGCTAGAAATCCTGGAAGAACATGGTTGGATTATCAACCTAGAAAAATCACACCTTACCCCTACGAGGTCTATCCTGTTTCTAGGGTTTATGGTCAAGTCGGAGTCTGTCGGTTCATCCGACAAGAGAAAAGAGAAAAAAAGATAAAGATTTTAATAAAGAAACCTTCTTCGGATGTCAGAATGTTCGGTGACGAAAGCCATGCAGGTTTTAGGTCATCTGACCTCTACAATCCCGGCAGTAAAATGGGCCAGAGCGGAATCAAGGCCCTTACAGTGGGAAATTCTTGTCCAATGGTCAAAGAAGGAAGAAGAATTGCATGCTTTAATGAGTATATCAGATCATACAAAAGAAAAGATCTCTTGGTGGCTAGAGAAAAAAATTAATTACAGAAGGCCTGTCTTTTCGTGAAAAATCTTGGATCGTGATTTCTGCAGACGCTTCAAATACAGGTTGGGGAGCTCACCTCCTGTATCACTTAAGACAAGGTGTTTGGTTGAAAAAGGAAACAATGGAATCTTCAAATTTCAGGCAGTTGTTGACAGTTCTCTATGCTCTTTAGCAGTTCAAGGATTTCATTATAGGAAAAGCTGTAAAGATCCAGTCGGACAATCAGACTACAGTCTCCTACCTAAACAAACAAGGCAGTACAAGAGTAAAAAAATTGTATTTCCTTTGCTCACGTATTATGTCCTGGGCTCAAAGTCATCTAGACGACATTTCCGCCATTCACATTCGAGGCGTAGACAACGTGGTAGCGGACGATTTAAGCAGATCAAAATGGTCCCAGAACGAGTGGCCTCTCAATCCAGAAATTTTCACTCAACTGGTGAAGAGATTCGGTCTGCCAGTCATAGACCTTATGGCAAGAAGATCAAATGCAAAAGTAAGATTCAAGGTAGACAAGTTGTTGGGAATGGATGGTCTTTCGATCCGGTGGGAGTTTCCCCTTGCTTACATTTTTTCCCCCAGTGAGCCTTGTCCCAAGGATTCTGCAAAAGGTAACATCAAATCAAGCTCGTATTCTGGCCATAATTCCGTACTGGCCAAACCGCAGCTGTTTCTCAGTTTTAAAGATGGCTTTAAAGTACTGGATTCTCCCGGTAACACCGGATCTTCTGGAAAACAAGGGAATTCCAGTAGAAGTATTGAACATGTTCAGGTTGACGGCTTGGCTGCTGCACGGCTAATTCTGCATAATAGGGGCATTAAAGAAGAGTGGTGTCAGTTACTCTTAAATTCTACCAGAAGCTCTACTACTTCTATCTACTTAAAAATTTGGACGAGATTTCTTCACTGGTGCATATTTCATTGTTGCATAGGATCCTCTCCTTCTACTGATACTATCCTTCATTTTTTGCAAGATGGTCTTGCTTAAGGTTTTAGTCTGTCTACCTTCAAAGTCCAAGTTTCTGCTCTGTCATTTTTTGGTAAAAAATTGGGCGTCTGATCCTCTTAAAGCGGTTAGACTCGTAAAGCTTCCTAAGAAAATCTGTTTTCACTCTTGGGATTTGTTTTTAGTTTTGAAATCTCTGTGTACGGAGCCTTTCGAACCTTTGGAAGAAGCTTCATTGAAAAATCTGTCCCTGAAAACCGTGTTTTTGGTGGCCATTACTTCAGCTAAGAGGATAGGGGAACTCCAGGCCCTTTCTTCTTCTCCTGCCTTTACAAAACGTCTTCCGGATTAAAGTGGTTATGTACCCTAAGCCTTCCTTTCTTCCAAAAGTCATCTCTTCCAAGGTTATAAACCAACCTATTTTTCTTCCTTCCTTTAATGGTCCATCTATGCCAAATTGGAAATTTGATTTTAGACAACTAGATGTGGGTCGATCTCTGAAAATCTACTTGGACCGCTCCTCTACATATAGGATGACTGATCATCTATTCGTGAATTTCTTTGGAAAATTTAAAGGCCAAGTTGCCTCCAAGGCCACTTTAGCTAGATGGCTGATGGATACTATTAAATTGGCTTAGTCTTCCTGGTATCTACCTCTGCCTGCCTCCTTGAAAGCACATTCTACTAGAGCCATGGCTGCCACTTGGCCGAAAAAGCGTGTGCCTCTCCGGAAGATATATGCAAGGCGCCTACCTGGTCTTCTTTGAACACTTTTGTCAAGCATTACAGGCTAGACATATTCTCTGCCTCTGACGCTGATTTTGGGCACGAGGTGTTACAAGCTGTTATTGCCTAAATTCCCGCCCTTAGTATGGGATCTCGATATATCCCTAATGTACTGCCACCATATGTCAGGAAAAACTGTAATTTTACTCACCGTAAATTCCTTTCCTTAATATGGTGGCAGTGCATCACTCCCTCCCTTTATGTATATATATTATATTTGGGTGTTCTATGTATTCACTGAGTTGTTCTTGGTACGTACTGAGGTCCCTGGGCTGGTTGGGTCTCTTATACCTGGTAAGGGGAGGTACTTTTGATGTTAATTATTTATTTGAGATGCTTGTCCTGAGGGAAGAGTACATCCCTATTGTACTGCCACCATATTAAGGAAAATGGAATTTACGATGAGTAAAATTACAGTTTTTATCATCCAGTCACTTAACAGATTTTTATTTTGTTTAAATTCAGAGAACCTTCTCCAATTCAAGGATTTTGGATTATATCTGACTTTTCGCTTGGAACATCAATGATCTGCATAACATGTGGCTTTGAATGCATCACTAGACCACTGCTGTATGTATATCTTTTAGTAATATTGATGGGTGTGGGATAAACTTATATTGGTATACATTTCATAGAAAGTTTGAATTTGGAATATGTTATTGAATTAAGTCACCGTTAAGTGTGTGTGTGTGTGTGTGTATACTTCTAGATCCTCTCATCATAATTTTTCCATAAATTGAGAATTGTGAGGAATGAGAAAATGAAAAGTTTTAAATGTTGACCCTTGAAAATTGTTAAAAGAATAGCTCGGTAAATTATAAAATAGGTGTGTGTGTGTGGGGGTGGATGTGCACGCACGCACGCATGTATGTATGTGTATATCATTTTGTATGTGTGTGTGTATATATATAATAAAATAAAAGCCAGTTTGGGTCGTACAAACCTAGTCATTAAGTTCCATCTTTGCATGTTTCAGTTGGGGAGTTTTGGGTTTGTTTTTCCTCCTCACTCCCTTTTAGAAACTCTTGTAATAAAATCTTTTTTTTGTTTTTCTTCTCTTCCAGTACAAATGCCCATCCACCATCTCCCCCACTTCTTCACTCTCAGGTTGGCAGTAGTGCCACAACGTCCATGCCATGTTCTGCAGCAGATGCCAGGGAGTCCTTTGAAATTCACATTCAAGGCATTTTGAGCCGTAAAGCTACAAACCCATTGCTTCTAAAGTAAGTACAATGTATACTTAAAACTTGTGCCCTTATGCCAAAAACAAATACAAGAAATAATAGAACAGTATATATTTTTCTATCGTAATTTATTAGGGCTCTATAATAGTGTGTCTGGGTAGTAATCTGCTATTTTAGTAATGTCTTTTGTTGCATAGTTGTATATTTATTTGTAAACTATGTGTATTAAGGGAATTTGCATGCAATCTTTGTAGTTCCTCAAATAAAGACAGATCTCCTTCACCTGAGGAATGTCTCCAGCTGGTGAGCAGAGCTACCCAAGTGTTTCGGGAAGAATATGCATTGAAACAAGATCTAGCCAAGGAAGAGATACAAAGACGGTAATGTTCCTTTTTGTTCTGTTATTGTACATATTTTGTTTGTGCATATTTTTAATCTGGCTGTCTTCTCTAGGTAATGTAATTGTTAATCATTTTGTTTGCCCTCAGGCACGTAACATACCCCATTAAATACAGCAGCCCGATTTAACTGCTTTGTAACATCGTCCCAAGCAAATAATTAGATAATGATAATTTTCAAATGATTTAATATTTAAATATTTTGCTATATTGATATTTTTTATACATGACATTTTTGTATATGTTAGGATTTTGAAAAAAATAATTAAGTTTATCCAAAAATATAAAATAATTAGAAAAAAATATGCAAATATATTACCTTGAGGGTGTAAAATAAAATACTATCACACTAGCAGTAGTTCATATTCATTTCCATAAGACTTGGACTAGTAATAAAATCGTATCAATTAGATGTTCGTGTAGACCTAGACAGGAGTAAATTTACTTATTTTTTGAGTAACATACATCAGTGCACTATAAATGTTTTAAAATGTATTTATTTACCTTTTTTTGTTTTGTTTTTTAGAGTGAAGATGTTGATGGTGCAAAAAGAGAAACAACTTAAAGATCTGTGGTACTGTAAAGAGGAAAGGTAATTTTATTTATTTATTTTTTCATTTGATTTGTTATTCGTGCTAAAAATATTGGTAATTCATTAGTAGTGTAACCAATGTACTTGTACTCAAGTGGCAGTATGTTATGGCATAAGATGGTGATAGCTAAAAGTTGACTACATTTGTCAAGATTCTCAGCTGGGAATCTGATGTGCCAACATTGAACAATGTCTTGTAAATCAAGTCAGTTTTTCTTCTGCAGTGTCCAGTTATTTTACTGTAGAATATATCATATTATAATTGGTGCTCATCACTTAGCAAATGTGTCCTGAATACAACCCAGTGGCAACACTTTGGTAAGAACTATAGGGAAAGGACTGTGACAATGGCTGATCTTGACAGGCACAATCTGTATTTGAGGTACTACTAAGATGAATGCATTATATTGATTGCCGCCTTGCGTTCCAGTACACATGGAGGATGATGTGTGTTTGGATACATATCACTATATGTCAGAGCTTTTTGATGAATTGTACCCACCTGGGTAGTACACTATACAATTATTTATATAGTGTCAACATATTTCGCAGAGCTGTGCAATAGGTAATCAAGACAAACAATTTTGTCAAAACATGTTTGACATATGGGAACAGTAGGTTAAGAGGCCCTTCAAATTCCATTGAGTTTAATGGATTGAAAACTTGCTCTTTTTGTGCTTGATCACTGGGTAACTCGTGCAAAAGAACACTTTTTAATGTTTCCAATATTTATCATTACAATTGCACAAAATATATTGGGGAAGGAGGGAGTCTCACACTGACAAAATTCTATGTAAAAATATTCTATTTTGTTCTGATATTTGTGCATGAGGTACAGTTAATAAAATATATTTTGAACATGTTTAAGAAAATAAAATAGTATTATAACAATTACCTTTTGGTGCAAATTTTCCTCTTGCCCACTTTGAAGAGTATGAATACATATCAATTTTGTGGTTATCTTGCATGAAACTGACATTTTATACTAACTGCTTACTTTCTGCTTCTAGGAAAAAACTTAAAGATATGGCTGAACGTCTTGCTGAGAAATTTGAAGAAGCCAAGGAGAAACAAGATGATTTACTTAATAGGTTGGTGGACTAATAGTTATATTGCACACCTGCAGCAAGCTTAAAGGGACACTGGAGTCACCGGAACAACTACAGCTTGATGTAGTTGTTCTGCTGAGCATAGTCAGTCCCTGCAATAAACACTGCCTTTTCATAAAGGGACACCTTTAGTGGCCACTTCTAAGATGACCACTGGAGGTGCTTCCGGGGGCAGACATTCAGTATCTCCCTGCTCTGCGTGTAAAAAAATAAATCCGTTTTTAAACATACAGTACATATGATATTGCAGTGTACAACATGGTTGCATCTTCTTACAAATAAAATAAAAATACAATCATAAGTAGGATATTTATATATATTTTTTTTCCCCCTTTGTTAAATAGATTTAAAAAAGTATTGCATACTTTCCACACTCAACTCCCAGTGTTGTCCGACAGTGAGCGAGATACAAAGAAAGAATTGCAGTCCACAAATGAACAGCTGCAGTACTTGAGCAATGCTATTAAACAGGTATTTGTTTTGTTCAAATCTAATGTTATGCATGATTTAAATGTTTTATTTTTTTTTTAATCTAGTTAATATGAATCACATATTTAACACATGCAATCTTTTAGTCTATTAGCAGATCTTGTTTCAATTCCCTGGTACACAGTGCGTGCATTATCAAGATTTGTCTGTTGTTCTCAAACAGGTCAAGATGAAAATGTCTTATCAGGAGAAACAGATGGAAAATAAGAATAGCCCAAGGAAATCCAGCTTTGCTCTTAATGAAAGTCAAAGAAAAAATATTCAATCTGTGCTAAAAGAAGAGTAAGTAATGTGTTCACCCAGTTTTTGCAAACAGTTTACTCATGGTGCAACATTTGATTGGCACAGCATGGCATTTTGCCACGCATGTGCACTAGCCTCAGTGTTTCTCTATGGGGAACACTGGATTTGATCTTAGCCAAGAAGGCTGAGAGAGCAGCAGAAAGTAGATGTCGAGGGCTGAAAGGCAAGTTAAGGCATGGTGGGGAGGGACGTAGGTAGATTTTAACGATAGTGTTAGGAATACATGTTTGTATTCCTAACGCTATAATTTTCCTTTAATTCCCTAATCTGTATTTTACTCTAACTGTTCTTGGAGGATGAAATGCCAGACTTTGAAGATGTCTGTGCCAGTTGGACACCCATTCAGATAAGGATAGCTACACTCCACTGCTTCCCTGGGCATCTGCACTTCTAATGTTAATGTCACATTCCTTGAAGGTGATAACGGTGCTTTTAAAACAAGCCTTGACTACATAATCTAGGTTTATTTATTAACTCAATTATATGATTTTATGGCTGACCCAGAAAAAAAACATTTTAAAAATAAAAAAAATTTCATTGGTTTTTAAAGCAAGGAAGTGTGCTGTCAGTTTCAATCCTGTCTTTAGCTGAAGACTACAGCGATATTACTAAAATCGTTGCAGCTTTAACCCAATTTTGTCACCATAGATTAGATTTTTTATTTTTTTTAATGCAAAGTACTCCATGTACTGCTTCTGTCTACATCCCTCCACAACATCTTGTGTATTACATGGTTGTATTTGGATTTAGTCATATCACTTCCGTTATTCATGAAAACAATAACTGCAACCTCTCTCACTATTTCTAAATGCTGAACATATCCCATAATGTGCTTAGTTTATGAGCTGGCTAGAAATAGCTGATAAGTGTTAAATTGCATTCTAGTCAAAGTAGAGCTTAATTTCTATAATGCACCATATAGAGGTGATACTCGAAAAATTTGAATATCGTGCAAAAGTTCATTTATTTCAGTAATGCAACGTAAAAGGGGAAACTAATTAATGAGATACACATTCCATGCAAAGCAAGATAGTTGAAGCCGTGATTTGTCATAAATGCGATGATTATGGCTTACAGCTCCTCAAAACCCCAAATCCACAATCTCAGTAAATTAGAATATTACATGCAATCAATAAAACAAGTGTACATAGAACAAAATCGGACCTCTGAAAAGTATAAGCATTCATATGGACTCAGTACTTGGTTTGAGCCCCTTTTGCAGCAATAACTGCCTCAATGCGGCGTGGCATGGAAGCTATCAGCCTGTGGCACTGCTGAGGTGTTATGGAAGACCAGGATGCTTCAATAGCGGCCTTCAGCTCTTCTTCATTGTTCATGTCTATCATCTTTCTCTTGGCAATGCCCCATAGATTCTCTATGGGGTTCAGGTCGGGCGAATTTGCTGGTCAATTAAGCACAGTAATCCCACGGTCATTGAACCAGGCTTTGGTTCTTTTAGCAGTGTGGGCAGGTGCCAAGTCCTGCTGGAAAATGAAGTCAGCCTCCCCATAAAGCTTGTCTATGGAAGGGAGCATGAAGTGCTCCAAAATCTCCTGGTAGATGGCTGCGTTGACCCTGGATTTAATGAAACACAGTGGACCAACACCAGCAGATGACATGGCTCCCCAAATTAACACAGACTGTGGAAACTTCACACTGGACTTCAAGCATCTTGCCTTGTGTCCCTCTCCATTCTTCCTCCAGACTCTGGATCCATGGTTTCCAAATGAGATGCAAAAGTTGCTCTCATCAGAAAAGAGGACTTTGGACCACTGAGCAACAGACCAGGTCTGTTTTTCTTTAGCCCAGGTAAGACGCTGACGTTGTTTGTTGTTCAGGAGCAGCTTGACAAGAGAAATACGACATCTGGAGCCCATGTCCAGAATCAGTCTGTGTGTGATGGCTCTTGATGCACTGACTCCAGCCTCAATCCACTCCTTGTGAAAGTCCCCAACACTTTTGAATGGCCTTTTCCTGACAATCCTCTCCAGGCTGCGGTCATCCCTGCTGCTTGTCCACCTTTTTCTTCCACTTTTTTCCCTTCCACATAACTTTCTATTAATGTGCTTTGATACAGCACTTTGGGAACATCCAACTTCCTTAACAATTACCTTTTGAGGATTTCCCTCCTTATGGAGGGTGTCAATTATGGTTATCTGCACAACTTTCAGGTCAACAGTCTTCCCCATGATTGCGATTCCTACTGAACCAGACTGAGAGACCATTTAAAGGTTCAGAAACCCTTTGCAGGTGTTATGGCTTACTTAGCTGATTAGAGTGGGACACTGTGAGCCTAGAATATTGCACCTTTTCACAATATTCTAATTTACTGAGATTGTGGATTTGGGGTTTTCATGAGCTGTAAGCCATAATTATCGCACTTATGACAAATCACGGCTTGAACTATCTTGCTTTGCATGTAACGCGTCTATCTCAAATATTAGTTTCCCCTTTTACGTTGCATTACTGAAATAAATGAACTTTTGCATGATATTCTAGTTTTTCCAGTATCACCTGTAGTTTCCAAGTCCAGTTTCTTTAAATATTTGGTTTTCCGTGTAAAGGTATATTCATAAATATCGGAGGGGAGTGCCCAGATGGACCTTCTTACAATTTTTTAACAAAATCCCCTGACCAGCAAACATCTGATATAATCTCTCAGCTAATATAGGTTCCACCATAATTTTTTTTATGGTTGACCTCCTCAACATACACTCATGTAAGATGTTGAGTAAATTAAAAACACCCACGCTCTAGATAATTTATAGGGCAAGTAACATGCAAAAACAGTTCTTTATGGTTTTAAATTATTTTCTCCAAGTGTTTTAGCTGGCACACCTCTTAATCCCTTCTCACCATCCATTTCACGTGCAGGAAAACTGTGCATTTGGCATCATGCAAAAAGGAATCATTGTTCAGATACCTGCATATGTTTTGTAAGGTGAAAAAAATTACTTTATGACTTTAGAATCCACTTCACAAGAACCAAGATTAATTCAATAATTTTTCCAACCTGAATTGCTTCCGTTCTATTGTAACAGATTTTTTTTTTTTTTTTCTTCACTTTGTAGGGGTGAAAATATTCAAGCAATGGTGAAGCAGATAAATGACATCAGAAACTATGTGAATTTCTAATCAAGAAATGCAGGACATTGTTTACACATTATTGCATCAGACGATGTTTATTAAAGACACCATTTCGCCAATGCGGCCATAACCAACAGGAAATATGGACTAACAAATGACTGTTGTATATAAAAAGACAGATCTGGATATGATTTGGAAAACTAGTTCTTCTGAGCTTAAAATAACATTTATGTAAAAATGCATATTGGTCACTTGATTTTGTAAAAGGAAACATGCAATTATATTTTTGTTTTTATTAATGGGACTGTCCAATTTAATTGTCCATAAAACCAAGATTCAAAATATTACACTATTGTTTTTTTTAGTTTGTTGCTAGAACAACTATTTTGTTGAGTAAATGTATTCTTAGACAGGCTTGAGTAGAACAACTCCTACTGCGGTAAGATTATACAGCTGGGAAGGAAACATGAGGAAGAGAGAATTTGTCCCTAGCTGTTTTACATAGAGTACAATTTCACTTTGCTATGGGACATAATTTAACCAGTCATATTTCACCTGGCTCTCCTACTTCATGTACTAGGCATCACTGATTGCACATTCTTCCAAGAATCAAATTAGCATTACCTTATTTGCTTTGGTTTCCTTTTGTGGCTGTTTCACAATGGGTTAATCCTCCCTGCAAACAGAGTGGCTGCGAGCTCTACAATAATTATTCAATAAATTTATTTTTTATTATTATAATACACATATCAAACACCATTATCATATAAACCATACTACAAATAAGCTACATGTGCAAAATATAATTACATGCCCCTTTGTAAACTGACTTCTCATTGACAAGAAATTCTCAACAGCAAGCCAAAAAGATAAGGAGTGCCTGTGCAGATGGTGGTTCAGGTATGACACTGTAGGAACAAATTTCAGCGCAATATAGTATAGCTATATCTCACTCAATAGCATTGATTACAAATCGGGTAATAAACAAATAGTGAAGTTTCTTGGTCCTCCTGTTATACGATTTACTCTTTCTTTAAACCACTATAAATATTTTATGAAATATAAATTGACCAAACATACCTCTTATTCGCATGGCAATAGATGTTGGGTTCTGCTAGCAAAAGTGCTGAAGGAACATCAGGAAGCATTTACTGAGAAATACAGACAACCAGGGTAGCACAGTTCTTGACACAGAAAAGATAGCGGAAGTATTCCAGCAGTACTACGTCACATTATAATACCTATCCCCAGATTATTTTTACCCACAAGACTTCTTGGCATTATTGGGAATCTAACTTCCCATGCATCTGATCTTTTGGACCAATCATTCACACATAATGAACTGATGACTGCTATAATAATAAAAATAACTGCTATAATAATAAAAATAAAACACCCTAATCAAGAGGGGCAGTGGGTATGCCAGACACATCAATACTATGTGGCAAAAGTCCTGACCAGACTTCTAGAGGACCAATTCCTTCACAAATAAGAACTGGGCACAATTGGTGGAGGAATTGGTCCTCTAGATGGTCTTTGCCACACTGAACCCTCTTCCATGTCAGAATGCACCCTTACATGACTTCTGCCCTCACCCACATCCATTCATAACTACTGTGTTAAAAATATGGAGATTGTATAAGCTATCCAAAGGCTTCTCACCCCTGGTGTAGTTCCTGTATCCCATCTTGCACAACCCCCAATATACAGAAACACTCTGTGCAACTCTGAGAACAGATATAGCATCATGCCAATACATTCCGCTATGACGGATTTTACATAACGGACACCTTTATAACAGTGGACAGCCTAGGTAGACTTACACCTGTGACCCTCGGAGACTTATCAATTCCACCAGCTATCAAACTTTGCTTGTGTGGTGGTGGTGGTGGAAGTAGTAGAGTGCATACAAACACACCATTCGAACAACTTTGCCTCAAACCTCAACTGATGCATTAGATCCTATAACAGGTATATGCTATGTTACAAACAGGGCTGGACTGGCCCACCGGGATACGGGGAATTTTCCCGGTGGGCTAATGTTTTATTTAAATAATTTTTCTCTCGGATTGTGAACGCTTCTGTCAGTCTGAGGGAATTCAGGAGGCGGGTGCTGGTGCGGCCACATTTAGGCTGCTGACGGCCAGAGGGAGCACTGATTCTCCCTTCCTTAGCACTAATGCCCCGGCCCAGCATGGCAGCTCTGTCCCTGTTCAGAAGCCCCGCCTCTGTATGTAAGCTCCGGCTCCCACACTCAAGCAGTGGACCCTCGAGTGTCAGTGATCTTGTGTGTCAGTGAGCAGAGGGAGGGAGGGGGTGATGATGGTGTGGAGGGGTGGGTATTGATGGTGTGAAGGAGGGGGATGTTGATGGAGGGAGGGGAGTATTGATGGAGTGAGGGAGGGTGATGATGGTGTGAAGGAGGGGTGGTATTGATGGAGTAAGGGGGGTGATGATGGTGTGAGGTATTGATGGAGTGAGGGGAGGGGGTGATGATGGTGTGAAGGAGTGGACCTCGACCGCACACTGCAACAGTAGACTAGACTAAAATACATATCCTGGTCCATAGATCTTTGACAAATGTAGCTACACAGGAGTTGAATTACAAACTCTTATAGAGGTGGTATGGAACACCTGACTACCTCCCCAGCCTGTTCCCCAATGTCTCTTCCGCATGCTGGAAATGTGGTAAGGATAAGGGAACCTTTATCAGTAGCATCACACAAACCACGTTAATAACATCATTAGCAGAAGCCTTATTGCACCACCCAACCAAGCCAATACACAAATAACACAGGTCTCTTGTGTGATTTCTCCTGAATGCAGCAAAAGCTGTTATACCAGTGTGTTGCAGAACCCAGCACCACCTTTTTTGACAGCTTGGATCAAAAAAGTAGAACAGAGAAAAGTGATGGTGTACTTAACAGTATCCAATCTTATAAATCAGCTAAAACACAGACACATCTGGTTACCACGGACACTTTACTTGGGATCAAATCTCATGCACTTAGCGTCCAACTGGATGATTATGTGTCATTCAGCAGATCATGCAACCTAACCTGGAATAATGTCAAAACGCACTGAAGTGGGAACTTTCCAGGTCTATTAATAATAATTTCAGATAGTTGGATTGGGGATCCTGCAACGATGACTGTTATTACTTACTCTGACTTTTTCTGTTTTTAGTTTCAAGTACTTTTTACCCAGTTGACTACACTAAATTATGACACTCTGCCACTATTGTGATTTATGCCTCTTTGTTATGTCACTTATGTTTTTTCATGTCGCATTATGGCAAATTCACATTGTGTCTAAAATGTTTTGTGAAAATCTAAAAAAAAAACAAAAAAACATAAAATAAATACATTGACAGCACATATTAGCCAGAACACTTCATCCAACCAATTTCACCTTCAACAGATTTTCAAAAGCATATTGCAAGCATTATCCACAATTATGATGTATAGACTGTTAGACTGTGTGCGAGTATGAGTTTGTGTATTGTGATGTATGGGGGTTTGGCCTGTGGATGATACACTTCCTTTTTTTGGTTTGCTACTTTCTGTCCCTGCCTATTAACAGTTAGTGGAATGTTCTAGGGATTTGGAATGGTGCCTGAAGAAACCCTGTGTGACAAGGCAGCAAAGTGAGCAACCGTTTGTATATGTATTAATAACGTGAGTATTTGGTTATACAGAAATAATTTACTGGTTTGTACAAGACATCAGGAACATCAACACATTTTACTAAACATGACATCACTTATATTTACCTACATTAATTTTAATACAACAATTGTGGATGATAATAGAAAATATTTGGAATTAAAGGGACTCTCCGAGCACCAATACAACTTTAATACATTTGGCCTCATTAATATGTTGTATTTTTTGCGTGCTTAAATCATTACCATTTTTCTACACAAAATAAAAAATGCTGAATATTGCCTTGAATTTGTATCTGAAGTATTTTAATAGTTTGTTAAGTTGCTGTAAGAACTAATGGAAAATTAATTTACAGTAAGCAAAATATTGTCCTATAGTGGTAGTTCTCATAAGTGGATATTCACTTTTCTAGAAGGACAGGTATCCTTTGTTTGGACATACGGAAAACCCCAAACAAACCCATCCATAATCACCAACTCTTTACTTTATAAGCACATCTCTTTTAGTTTCAGTGGTGGAATGTACACCAAATCTGCATTTAAAATAATTGGTCTCCTACCGTAGATATATATAGATTACTTTATTTTATATGGAATGGCTCTACTACCAGTCTGAAATCCTTTTGGGAAAGACTAAATATTAATGATTGGGGAATTGATTGAACCAGACAGTATAGTGTCACCACTATAATTGTTTTAGATTAAAAAATTAAATGTTGAACATAATGAGCTCAATATGAAGATTTTATTTTTTTTTATTTTTTTTTAATAATAATAATAAAAAAAAAAGGTGGATGCAAAAAATATGTCCTATATAGCAGTGGCCATTATACTCAGTAGCTGAATAATAACCCTAAGGGACAATTTCAGATAATTAGGAGGATTGTAATGAGTCTGTAAAGAAAAAGCAGGAATTTTAATAGAAATATTTCCCCCCCCACCCACAAAAAAATACCCTAAGACATTGGTTATGGAAGCTTTTAATCAAATAGAAAAATAGTTAAAATGAGAAAGGGAGACTAAAAATAATAGGAACGGTAATATGGAATCAGTATCCTTGGTATTTAATTTTAATAATAATTTTAGAGAGATTAAATGTATTATACAGTGAGGGCAAAAAGAATATGATCTGGTTTGACCCTGTACCTCACAGTCAGCAGACACATTCCAGCCAATCAGCAGCAGACACTCCCTCCCAGACCCTCCCACCTCCTGGACAGCTCACTAAGAATGCAGCTTCACAATGAATGTAAAATGGATGCTGTCCAGGAGGTGGGAGGGTCTGGGAGGGAGGGTCTGCTGCTGATTGGCTGGAATGTGTCTGCTGACTGTGAGGTACAGGGTCAAAGTTTACTCAATGATGAGTCCGCGGCGAACCGTTCGGCACATCACTAGTCTTTACTCATATATACTCATACTCGTATAATGAGAAATAGCTGTAAAGATCCCAGATTGATCCAAATTAATGGAGTTATGGCCAAACAGAGTAGTATTCCCTCTTGTATATCCTACTAAATGATAAATTCGCTCATGCTAAAATAGCACTGTATATATCAAAAAAGATGAGTAAATCGAAAGGACAGGAAGAAAAAGATAAATGAAAATAAAGTAAGAAGTGGTATAGAGGGTTCTCACAGCTCCAAAACTAGTGTACAAGATATAGAGACTCAACCGGCAAAAAGAAGGGGAGTCCCTAAATAGGTGTAGCGTGTTGCAATATAACAGGCTACATTTATAGCAGTCTGAAAAGCGTGACAAAACACCCACAGCCCGACGCGCGTTTCAGTCTGAAGTTTGCCAATGAATATCTAAATGATTCAGAGGAGAACTGGGTGAAAGTGTTGTGGTCAGATGAGACCAAAACAGAGCTCTTTCGCATCAATTCAACTCGCCGTGTTTGGAGGAGGAGAAGGAATGCTGCCTATGACCCCAAGAACACCATCCCCACCGTCAAACATGGAGGTGGAAACATTATGTATTGGGGGTGTTTTTCTGCTAAGGGGACAGGACAAATGCACCATATCAAAGGGACGATGGACAGGGCCATGTACCGTCAAATCATTGATGAGAACCTCCTTTCCTCAGCCAGGGCATTGGAAATGGCTCATGGATGGGTATTCCAGCATGAGAATTAACAAAAACACACAGCCAATGCAACAAATTGGTGGCTCAAGAAGAAGCACGTTAAGGTCCTGGAGTGGCCTAGCCAGTCTCCAGCCCTTGATCCCATAGAAAATCTGTGGAGGGAGCTGAAAGTTTGAGTTGCCAAACAGTCTCGAAACCTTAAAGACTTGGGAGAGGATCTGCAAAGAGGACTGGCACAAAATCCCTCCTGAGATGGGTGCAAACCTGGTGGCCAACTACATGAAACATCTGACCTCCTGACCTCTGTGATTGTCAACAAGGGTTTTGCCACCAAGTACTAAGTCAAAGGGGTCAATATGCTCATTGATATGCAAATCAATTTATAACTTTTTTGACATGCATTTTTCTGGATTTTGTTTTGTTATTCTGTCTCTCAATGTAAAATTTTCTTTTCAGGATTTAAGTCCTTCACGACGTAGTGTATTACCAATTCTTTTCTTGCTGACTATAGTCCCAGCTGCCTTGAGATCATTGACAAGATAATCCCGTGTAGTTATGGGCTGGTCCCTCAACGTTATGATCATTGAAACTCCACGACGTGAGATTTTACATAAAGCACCAGATAGAGGGAGACTGACCGTTATTTTGTGTTTCTTACATTTGCGAATAATCACACCACCTCTTGTCACCTTCTCACCAAGCTGCTTGGCAACTGTCCTGTAGCCCATTCCAGCATTGTTTAGGTCTACAATCTTGTACCTGACATCCTTGGACAGCTCTTTGGTCTTGGCCATGATGGAGAGTTTGGAATTGGATTGATTGCTTCTGTGGACAGGTGTCTTTTATACACGTAATGGGCAGAGATTAGGAGCACTCCCATTAAGAGTGGGGGCCAGAAATTTTGCTGATTTATAGGGGATCAAAGGATAGATAGATGGATAGAGGAACTCTTAAGACTGCTGCCAGATAAACCATTCATAACTAGGAGAGGTCACAATTTAAAAAGTAATTTTACGTGAACCTATCCTTGTGAAGAACCACAACTTTAACAGATAAAGGTTTTATTCCTGCAATAAATGTGTCGGATGCAAATGCATTAAAAATAAAACCCTAAAATGTGTAAATAAATTTAAAACGAAGTTTAAAAAAAAAAACAAATGTTAAAAATATAACAAATTTTAGATCAATGACTATTACATATTTTACAAGAAATGTAAGTGATCTTTTAATCTGCCCGTGTGGTTTGCAATATGTTGGACGTACTATTTGTACACTTTATAAAAGAATTAGTAAACACGTTAATATATATATTAAAGGGTTATGAACATAGTGTCTCAGCTCATTTCAAGAAACACCACAATAAGGATCCTAGAGGATTGTTTTTTCTTAATATTCAAACAGTTAAAATATCTTGCGTGGGGGAACAAATATCACATTTTAAGTATATGAAAGGAGGAGATGAAGTGGGTCCATAGATTAAAACATTGGAGCCCTATGGACTCAATGTAGAATTTGACTTATTTAAGCTTTATTTATCTGATGTTTTACCTCTAATATTTTTCAACAATATTTAATATTTAATATGTACGTTTTAATACTATGCCTAGAATGGTTCTATAAACTCGTATTAAATAAAATTGTTTTATAAATTGTTTGAATACATTTTATTTACGTAATTGATTAGTATTAGTATCCTTTAGATTATACTCAATGTATATTTGTAGCATGTCTATATTTGCTTATAGTATTTATGTAATTTACCTTGGTGACATTACTAACCTTTACTTGCCATTTTAGTTTTATTCATTATTGAGTCTGCAACAATCGGCAGTTGTTGAATCTGCCTGTGTGTAAGTTTTGAGTGACTACCAATCACAGCATGTTCTTATCAAACTTGCCAAAAAGAGCACGTCTATTAGTCAATGAATGTGCATTTACAAGTGGAAATAAAAATTAAACCACAATGGTGATTCTATTCCTGATTAGCCAGTTTCCCCCTGCGCACAGGGGCAGTGTTTAAGATGACTGGGAGAAGTAGCCTCAAAGAAACTTAAAAAGATTAGAAATCCCACCCCTTTTGCTATAAATTCCTGAAGACATCCAGATCAGTCAAACAAAAGAATACACACAACAAAAAAAATACTGCAAAACGATCAAAATTTATTCAATAAGGGAGGGTAAGCTTGTACTACTGCTGATAAAGGAAAAAAAAAAAAGAATTTACTGTAAATGGGATTTCTGTTTTCCCCTGTGTACAGCAGCAATACATTAGGGAGATAGCAAGAAACTCCCACATAGGTTGGAATTTTACACTAACTAAAAAAGCTACAATTTCTGGGGAAATTGTGTGAAGTGTTCTTGCCAACTGGAGTGGGCGGAGTAACTTATTTATTTATATAGCACATTTAATTGCAACGTTGATGCCCAAAGTGCTTCACAGTTACATTTAAAATATACATTTATAAAAACATTAGCAGGTGTACAAAAGGCCCTGTCTATGACATCACTTGCTGCTGCAGCCTGACACAGGTCTGAGTATTTTGGCGGTTGCCATCTTCAAACGGTCGTATTTTAAAAACTATAAATCCTACAGCGAAGAGCTTTATATTGTGAGAATCACAAGACCCAGACCTACATTTTGATGCATAGTATGTCTCTGAAATATTAAAAAATGAAGGCACAGTCGCAGTTAAAAAATTGCCCTTCAAGTTTGAGCTGGCTAGAGTGGAGTTTCAATGAATGTCAATGGACGGCGTGAATTGCAAACAAATGGTAATATTGTGAAATCTACCAGGACTATGGCTTAGCCGTGGACATTCTTAGTGGCAGCAGGGATAGCTGAACGTTTTGATATAAGATTTGTGTAGGTGGGCTTGAAAATGAGGGAGTGGTGGCAGTTTAGAAATCATGTCCTGATTTTTCAGCTTTTGTCAGCTCCCACTCTAGTTTTAAACATTTTGCCACAAGAACGACGATATTCCGTGAACCATTCGGCAAGGTTAAAATTACACAACTACTGGAACATTTAAGCTTATCCTTTCTTTTGCTAAGCAGCAGGTCACCAGGTAGTGGAAAACTATGTATATAATAGGTAGTGCACAGACAGTGATTATGATAGTGCTCACCTGATTCAGAGCCAATGAGAACCTGGCTCTAGATGGTAGACTTGAGTGCCTTTAAAAGGGGGCACTTACCCTTCTTTTACAGCAAGATAGGACCAAAGGCCAATAGGGATATGTATAAAAAATAACAAATTTATTGTAAATATAAAAACAAAGTAAAATACTTGTGCAAAAAGTAGCTGTAAAATCCCAAATCTGGCTTCAGCTCCGAGACGCGTTTCACCCACGCTATGTGGGCTTTCTCAAGCGTGGGTGAAACGCGTCTCGGAGCTGAAGCCAGATTTGGGATTTTACAGCTACTTTTTGCACAAGTATTTTACTTTGTTTTTATATTTACAATAAATTTGTTATTTTTTATACATATCCCTATTGGCCTTTGGTCCTATCTTGCTGTAAAAGAAGGGTAAGTGCCCCCTTTTAAAGGCACTCAAGTCTACCATCTAGAGCCAGGTTCTCATTGGCTCTGAATCAGGTGAGCACTATCATAATCACTGTCTGTGTACTACCTATTATATACATAGTACACTAGGAGGTCTTCCTCCCTTGTTTTTTCTCTTTTTTCTTTGAGGAAATTTACTCCAGTTAAAGGGTGCAGTGTCTCCATACGATACTAATGCTGAAGAGATTTGAGCCTGTCCTTTTATGAGGCTCTAATCCATGTGAGTTTGACTATTGATATATTATCACAAGATTTCTTCTACTCACGGATTTACACTATATTGTGTTGTATTTCTCTGTTTTATTTGCATGTACATATATACATCTGAAATTGAACCCTAATTAAGGGTAAGTGTGATTGTTCAGCGCTCCACTCACTTGACTAGTACGGTCTGGATTTTTATCCAGTCCATACTGGACTCACTGTGTTTTACTTCCATATCTTAGTGGGGGATAGAGAGCACCCACTAGAGTGTGTAGCAGCTTGTATACCACATTATTATTCTTATAAGCGCACTAAACACAGTAATCATTATTGTTTGCAGTGGAAAACTATACTCTTAGAACCAAGACCTTCAAAGTCAGATATGTGTACTTTGGGGTGCGGATGGCTTTCCCAGATACAAGGTCCTTGTAAATCAGCAGAATAGAAAACTAAGCCCACTTATCCCATGTGATACTGCCTTGGAGAATAGCCAGGAAAACTATGCTGCATATGAAATTAGATTTTCACACCTAATTGGACTGTTAATTTGTTTGAATTACCCAGTTTTCGAACCATATTTTTCATTGTTAATTTTTCTTAAATTAATCACAGTACTGTTGCTGCTCTGTAATAACATTTTATTAAATATCATTGACAGCATGCATTCCTAGCAATTACTTTACCAACACGTTGTACAGGAGTCAGTGTGAGGAGCACATATTTCCAATTCTGCACTAACTTTGCTCTGTCCGCATCTCAACCATTTCTTACTTTTGTCTAAGAATAAAGTATTCAAAGCTACAGTAAATTTATCTGTTAGCATTTCAGTGTAGTGGTGGCCCTCTTGGAACTTCCTACATTTTCTAACGCTCAGAGGTGGTTAAGTATTTTTTTTAAAAAAGGGGCCACTGAAAGCATTTGATGTCAGCAGCCATTCAAATTGTATGATTTGCAGAATATTTCCCTGGCTTTTTCTGCAGAAAACAGTTATCAATACAAACGTGTTATTATAAATGATTTTGGAATGGAATTAAAATGAATTTCTAAAATGTTATTGTCAACAGCCCGAATGCATAAAAATGTTGAAAATATAAGCCATTCCAAAAACATAATTAGCTATTTTTAGTACGCATATGAGGGACAAATTTAAAAATGGAATATGAGGAATTACCATAAACAGAAACAATTGTAACCACATTCAGAATTATAGCATAAAACTACCACAAGGCAAATACATGCCAAGTCAAGTATTTAGTGCTAAACCGATGTATTGACATTATTAATAAAATAAAACTTTTTTCCCCTCCAATATAGGCTGCAAACTAAGGAAATAAAAGTCTGATTACATCATGTACAAAATTAGATGAAACCAACTTTGACTCTTCAGCAGCTTTTTAATTACACGTTCCTGGTAAGAGACATATCTGCAGTACAGTTTACAAACAATTATATCAGAATTCAGTGACCAACAGTATTCTACACTCACAATTACACAGGGCAAATGTTGCTAAGGAGCATCTTATTTCCCACTGTTCTTGTATCAAAACAGATAAAAGTACCATTGCACCCATAATCTATTAACTAAATCTAGGGTCCAATTCCCATGAAATGCTTTGATAACAGTTCAGCATAGTGAACTCTGGCTAATATGATTTGATTACACCGTTGTACTGTAATGGGATGCCAGAAGCCATCACACTATAGCTGGAAGATGCATTGTATTGTTAAAGGTAATTAATCTATTAGCATACATGCCTTAGATATACATTTTCACCTTGGTTAAGAACTACCTTAAAATTTGTGTGCAATGAAGCTGGCCTGAGATGCTCAAGTCTGCAATTCATAGCAGACCCCCAGAGCATTACAAGGAGCACTTACCAAATGTTTTACTTTAATACATAGGAGGAACATTTCTGCTACGCACCACTAGAAAAAACAATCAATCAACATCTTGGTTTCATACTCGTTACGTGTTCTACAGTGTAATGTTGTAAGACTTCTAATAGGAGAATATATCTGACAGCCAATAACCATACAAACATGGTCAAGTGTTAAAGCCCAGATTCAATTGACATTGAAACAAGCAGGTATACATAGTGGCAAAGCTATGGCAATATATAGAGCTTCCTTTCCAATAACATATACTCATATTAAGTGTATTTTGTTTCCCCGCATTCAAAAAATGTTTATAAATTCCCATATTCAGCTGTGTCATGAACACCTATCATCTCATACAAACATTCAATAAGGACAAAACCATTTACAAAAGATGGTCTGGGAATTAAAGGGACACATAAGTAACATAACCTATAAAGTGTGTTATGGCTAAACTGCTAATAGTCTTGGAGTCCAGAGACGCTGCAATACTCTGTTCCATTGACAAAGAGGAATGTACACTTCACCATTTTCAATGACAATTTCGTATTAAATTTCACATTGTCAATGAGGATGGGGTCTGTAAGTGGCTGGGAAAGCCCTGCTTCTTGTCATACTGCTTTCAAACACGTTTTGCTCTTTGTTGCTTAGTGTCCCTAAGTGACTACTAAAAATCAATGAAAGAAAGACACGGCAAAACTAAATTTTATACCAAGTACCAATCTGCAGCTTAAAGCACACGGTATATGGTCTGTAATGTGCAACTATGTAATGTGGTGCTAAAGCCCTTTGCATAATATGCCAACTAACATCTGCACTTGCATGCCCTGTATATAAACTGACTCAAATTCTAACAAACTGGCTACATGAAATGAACAGTGCAAAGTTATACACTACTGACAGAAATGCTAGTTTACCATTACCATGTAATTTAGACTAGTTAAGCATGCTAGAGTTTACAAAAATTATTACTTAATGCCACAGTCTAACCACCTCCACCTGCCAATGTTCTCCATTATCATGGTTTGTGTTCAGCATATTGTGTTTTTACACTAAGAGTGGAGAAAAAGGGAACCTCATGCACTCCTCTCTGACATGAAAAGACCGTAATTATGGCATCACATGACCATTTCCCGAAGGGGATTTTTCTCTTTTTGAATGGATTTTAAACATGAGAAATCTCAACTCCAAGGAAACTGTTGTGGAAAGAGTTTCAAGTTCAAGCAAGGGAAAGGTTAATTTTAACTATCCGAGCTACATAAGCTATAACTTTATCTGCAAGATTACTTAATACTAGGTCTTGTGTTACTGAAAATGGAAGTTAATGCTGAATGTACAATTAGCTGGATCTGATTTCTGTATAATGCACGTTAGAAAACCAGGTCCCATTGTGAGATTTGTTGCACGATAATATGTTTATATCCCAACAGAATGATTGTAATTTTTCTGTAGCTCTCCCATGCTTAGGAAACAAACTTTTGTGCAGTTTGTGAAGGTGTTTATCTAAATAGTCTGCACGATCTTTTTAGAGGAATACGTTACAGCCTTCCCTGTGATTAAAAGTATTGCAAAAGATCCCAGATGCTGGCTACTAGACACATGGAAATGTTAGAATTCTAGTGAGACAATCGCAGGATGTGATCATTTTATAAATCATTTCGACATCTTAATATCTGTTAGATCTAAAGAAATTATTAAAAGTGCATGAGTTCTCTCTCCATATTGCCTTTTATACTCATTTCAATCTACAAGGAAAAATCAGCACTATTATCATCCAGAATCCTCCATGATGGTTTAATGGATAAGTTTCCGTTAGTTTATTGACAGAACCAAAAACTTTAAAATATTAATACTTTTGAAGGGACAGAATTGGAAGGTTTCAAAAGCAATAACATTTAGTGACAGAGGAAGGACAAATTCTCATGAAATGTATTGCATGCATTACAACAAAGTTGCAAGTGTGAGATACTGGAATACCTCTATACACATTATAGAAATGGGCCTGCCCCAGTTATTATATTAGGGGTTATAAAGACAAAACAATAGAATAATAAATATGTTTGCCAGGTAAACGGATGGACGGTTTAAGCTAAATGTTCAAGTTAGTGTCTTCCTTTCAAACTGACTAGTTCTTGCCAGCTGAATTCATAGGGTTTTTTGTAAACAAAACAAGGACCAATTACATAGATTTTTTTTATTACTGGAGGCAAATCTCCATTTAGTTAACCACAGCAATGTGTCTCATTAGTGTTCCCAACAGAAATGTTTCTCTCTCCGGCCTGCCTATCTCCACAAAGAGGATTTTTTCCCTTATAAATTGTTCTCGTTGACTGCTCCCTTTCACATATTCACTGTCCTCTCCTCTTGGATAAGAGTTAAATAATTATTAATGTTACTAGAAAGTTGAGTTTTCTTTCTTTTTTTTTTTAATAAAAAAAAAAAACCTCATGTTGCAGCCCCAAGTCCTCTATACAGAAACAGGGAGGGTCATGTCTCGGGAAGCTGGTTAATGTCAGTCAGTTTTGTATCATTTAGGATAGCTCGAATCGCCTCCAAAGACTCAGTCTGCCGAATGCGTTCCAACTGCACCTGAGAGATAACAGTAACCAAAAGGAAGAGTGAAAAATATTGCATGGAGCAACGTAGGTTTAAAAAAATAATTTTAAAAAAGTCCTAAATTAAGAAGACAATTAAGAAGAAATACCTTTCTTAAAGACTCTTGCTTCTACCTATTTACATACATAGTTAAGAGTATTGTTAGGGCCAGGCATAGCAAAATACAGCATCCAATTTCCTAAGAATGATTTTTTGCAGGTTTTTTCAAAGAAACTGTGAAGCTCATGTCAAAGCAGGTAGGTTTCTTAACTTCTACAGCATAAGAATTTTTGATTACCTTTAGAACCCATCATTGCTTTTCACATTTAGAATACATGCTGCATTCTGTTTATCAATCATGCCAAATTGCTGTATGATGCTTTGGTGATAAATGGTCTAGGGATCTAAACCATTTATGCACCACAACCATTACTTCCTATGCTGTGTGATGAAAGCTTTTTTTAAGCTAAAGCATTTGATGTATCGGCTATTAAATGTATATGGAATACATATGTTTAAAATGCAAACAATTGCACCAGTTTTATACTGTATTTACAGCTAAGTAGTTTCCAGTAGGTAAGCCAAAGAATTTGAGAGAAGCACAACGCCAGGAAACCCCCCCACCCCCCCAAAAAAAAAACCAGGCGGGCAGAGCATTACATGCTTTATTAAAGGGATTCTATAGTGCCAGGAATACAAAGTTGTATTCCTGGCACCATAGCTCCTTCTGCCGCCCCTCTCCCTTGCGCCGCGTCCCCCCCTCCCCACACCCTCAATTGAATCAATGCTTTCCTATGGGAAAAAAAAAAATCAGGATGTCTTCATGCAGTGTGAGGACATCCAGCGCCACATTCCGGACCAAAGGTCTGTTTCGATTCAGGAAGCCCTCTAGTGGCTGTCTGGTAGACAGCCACTGGGGGCAGACTTAAGAGCTAAGGAACTAAGTGCAAAAGGGACACTATACATAGCCCACTTCAATGAGTTCAAGTGTTCTGGGTACCTATAGTGTCCCTTTAGAGTGTGTTTTTTTTTTTACAGTGTGTATCATGATTTTATGTGAATTTACCTGTAAGGTTTGGGACAGCTTTACAAAGTCCCTCTGCACTTGTTCACTCACATCCAGCTCTGTCTGCAGCCGCTGTGCCTTGTTCTTTTCTTCAAAAAATTGTTGTTCAAGACTTGTCTGAGGGAAAAAAAAAAACAAAAACAAACACAACAATGGTCATTGAAAAATTAATTGTAATATGCACAGACTGCATTATATTTGTTGGATGTCAATATCCGTTATAATTCCACACAGGTCTTGCTTGGAGTTTTAATTTAGTCTTTGAAAGTCTACATTGTAGAACAGTTTCGTGGAATCAAATAAAGTAGAGTGAAATTAATCTAAAATTTAACTTGAGAAACACGTTTCAGATATATTATTGTACCCCCATTCTAAAAAAAAAAAAATAGTCTTTTAGAATCTGTTCCATTAAAATATTTTATATCCGTAAAAATGACAATCTATATGTTCCTAATAAACAAAATGAACACGTTAAAACATTTCCGAATTACAATTTATGACATGGAAATAGATTAATTTTACAATAAAGTATTTTCTTCATCAACACACGTTCACTCACTTGAATTTTTATATCATTGTCATACAAAGAACCTGTTACTCTAACGTTCGTTTAATCACATTTTCTAGAAATCCGTTCTGTACACTGAATGGTTCATCAGAAATGACAGTTTTATTTTGTCGTTTTTCTCATTTACAACTTTCTGCTGGGACTTTTAATGATTCATTATCCTTTTCACGTTCGCCTTTACAATGCACTCAATTTTCTTTTCTTCCAAAAGTCCTCTCAAAGGAACACTTCAGCTCATAGAAGGTCTGTGTGCAGTGTCCCATTACCCAGGAAAGGTAATTAATGCAGTTATTTTTTTCTAAGCTGCAATAATTACCATTATGGGTTAACGCCTTCTCTAGTGACTATATCAGGCAGCCACTAGAGGGACTTCTAGACCGTTATGCAACTTTTGGTTGCTTGATGCTGGACCTCCTCACGCTATGCATGAGGACTTCCCAGCATCACCAGAATCCCCATAAGAAAGCAGTGAATAATTCATTCCTATGCGTAAATCCTAATGCGAGCGTGGCCCAGAGGAGTGGAGGCGTACCTAAGCCAGCACTGGGGGACATCGGCGCTGGACCCAGGTAAATGACAGAAGAGGAGGTGGAGTCTATAGTTAGCCATTATGCCAGGGACCTATTTTTTTTCCTGGCACTAGTTTCCCTTTAACCCTTGAATTCACTTTTTCACCAGAAATCCCAATGGCTCATATCATCATTGAGTCTTTGTCTAATAGGAGATTTGTTAGCTAACTGTATGAGTCCATCTCACAAAAGACTTTGTTAAAGCGGCACTGTTACGCTGAAATGACCTTTCCCCAATCGCTTCTTCTCTCAGGATCTGTTCTTTTCTTCCTTTCTGATCTAGTTTTCTTTAAAACATAAGACAAAGTAGGAACTGGTTTGGCTTATGTATTTTTCCTATGCTTTACCAGCTTTGACCCATTTCCTATTGTTTAAGAAATTTTCACACAATACTCATGGTTTCCTCCATGTTCTCGCGATGCCGCCTTTCAGTATTCCAGACAGGGCTCCGGCAAAACTACTGAATGTCGTTCTAACATAATGAGTATAGTTTGTCCATTTGTGTTAGGACGACATTCGGTACTTTTAGGTATGTTCAAAATTAATAATGGGGGGGGTGGGGAAGGACCTATTATACCCCATCGGCTCCCAACCATGACCGGCAGGTGATAGCCCTAAATTACAATTGGGGGAGAGGACCTATTGTCCTGACCCCCCCACCCTTGAGCTGCAGGTGATGGCCCTAAATGACATTAGGGGGAGAGGACCTACTTCACCCCCCCGACCCCAACCCTAAGCGGTGGGTGGGGGAAGGACCTATTGTCCCGGCCTCCACCCTTGAGTTGCGGGTGGGGGGCTAAATTACATTAGGGGGAAAGAACCAATTACACCCTCCCCCCGGCCATGAGCGACAGGTGGGGGCCCTAAATGACAATGGGGGGTGGGTGGGAGGACCTATTTTCCCCCTCCCCCATAAGCGACGGGTGTGAACTAAATGAAATAATCCCCCTCCCCCCCAAAAAAATAATAGTGAGGAGGTATCAATAAAACAAAATACCTGTAAATAAAAATATCACACTATTTTTTTTTTTTTTTTTTAATTCTTTATTTTTCTTGTGCATATGATGACAACAAGCGTGTAGAGCCACATCAGCCTCTACAAGCATTTTTCAAGACATTTCAAAAGTGTGGCAGTTTGATCGGCACATTTTTGGATAATCATGAAAATAACAGGCTAATAAACATTGCTTATATAATATAACATGCTAGGGAAGTTAAACATATTAAAAGTTGGACGTAAGTTTGATAATCCGCTTTGTCTGCTTGGTATGATTCAGACAGGTCTATACAAATCGAGTACACGTTAAAGGTTAAACAGGCTTATACTGGTCTGTATATTAATCCACTGGGTGAGCATTTGGTTGCCTAAGTAAGAGTTCTCTCGCCGGAGATGCAGTGCGTCCGTTCAGGAATGGATTTTGTAACAGGCTAGACACAGCGAGTTAGGCAGTGTGATAATGCATGGTTTTGCGAGGTTTGTACAGCGCATTGGGAATGCCATGATGTGTTACATGATGCATGCTGTGTGTTCTGATGAGCAGTGTAGTAGTGCCTGTGGTGTGACATTGGTGGGAGGGTGAGATGTCAGGCATATTATGCACTATATAGAGGCATGGAATATGTGTCAAAACGACCTAGGGGCATTTTAAATCAGGCTGCATTTGTCTGGCAGGCAGGCAGGCTATGCTACATGGTCTGGCCTTCCAGGATTAAAGGGTGGAGTGTTATCGTAGGTTAAGCATATTGGCAGATATGACAAGCAGACCTATGCTAGAGACAATATGATATTGATATTGCAGTCGAAATAAACAGATCTCGGACAGTGTAATGTAAAGCAACTTTTCTGAAAGAATTTGCCCTTGAATGTCAGTAGGACACCCTATGGTGTGGTTACCGCTAGTGCCATTTACGGGCTGGGAGCGTCTCTGTAGGGTGCTTATCCGATGCCCTGCAACGGGAGACTGCAGAGATATGAGTGCCAGAGTCTAGTTAGCAGTATGTGGGGGGGCCACCAGGACGCGTTCTCTGTGTCAGTTCTGCAGTTCCGTAGTAGCGGGGGTCAGCTAGTGGGTCACGGACCATTACTGCTCCAGGTGGTGTCTGCCGGTTTTTCCGTGACTTTGTCAGTGTCCAGCCTCAGGGGGAGCCCTGTGCCTTTCGTGGCCGCCTGGTTCGTCCCAAGCGGTAGCTGGATGTAGGGGGCTTTTGCAGCTGTGACCCAGTGCATGTTCCTCTAGGTTGCTTCAGTGTCGTTGCTTTACGTCTGAGTGGGGAGCGCCGCTGGGGCAGCCACATAGGAATTTTTTTCCCACTGTCGGTGCTGTAAGCTTGGGAGGTGGTCTCCGCGGGAAGCAGTAAGTGTTCACTGGTGGGAAGGAAGGACCGCTTGTCTGCCGCTGTGGTGGTGCAGGTGGACAGAGTGCACGTTCAAGTTGCTGCCCGAACTTTTGGAAGTGACTGTCCAGCCGTGTGAGTATGTCCCTGGAGTATGGGAGCCATGCTTCCTCCGCCATGTTGGAATGGCTGCGGTTTTGCAGGCTTGTGCTTGCAATTTTACCCCTTGGTTGTGCGTGAGCCAGCTCTCCAGGTGGGGCCCAGTGTATAGTGAATGACCAGGCAGGTTTGTGTGCTTTTCGTGGGGCTGAATCTCGTGTGTCCGCCATATTGTGGGCCCCGACACCCGCCTTGCTTGGTGAGGTCGCGGGCGTAGTCAGAGGGTGCCGGGCACGAGGTCCCCCACCGGTCCATAGGGGGGGAGGGAGTGTTCTAGGCTCATGTATGTGGGCTGCTGGCGGGAAAGCGGCCGCCTTTCTCCGCCGCCTCCTGCAGTAGGCCCCATGCTGCTGTTGCGGTGCCCGTTATTGCTGGCTTTGGCCTGATCTTCCCTGTCCAGTGGGCCTGTTTGCCGGAGGTTAGAGGCACTTCAGCCTGATTTAGTTGCCGTTTTTGTGCCCGCTAAGCAGGAGCTCTTGCAGAGCACGTCTTCCCTGCTTGCTGGTCCGGCTCCGCCCCCACACTTACTATTTTAACGTCTTTTTTCTAAAACCTTCACTTTTAAGCCCCCAAAAAGGCCAAATAAAAAAAATACATAAAGCCCATCGAACTTATAAAATAAAAAAGACATCTTCACTAAAGCCTTCCCACACCTGTCAATGGGACTCAAGAATGCTCGGATTTGTTGTTTTAAGCCAACCAATAAGAGTGGTGTAATAGGTAAGTCTTGAGCCTTGCAGGTAACCAATCACGTTAGGCTCAATATTATGTAATTTTTTACAACCGTGAGAAGCCACAGACTGCTCACTGTTTAGCAGACACACCCCTAATCATGGAAACTGTGCAGGGCACAGTGTCCTGCAACTCTCACTCTTATTAGACCTCTTTTGTACAACACCCTTGCACCAATGCAATTTGCTTATGGTCTACTTTTATGCATATTTTCTAGGACCTAATAGCAGCAAAATCCAAAGGCCACTACTCCATACCAATTCTTCTTGACCTCTCTGCTGCCTTTGACACTGTTGATCATGCTCTCCTTCTTTAAACTCTTCAATCACTCGGTCTCTGTCCTCTCGTGGTTTTACTCTTATCTCTCCCAGCACTCATTCAGTGTATCCTTTTCTAATGATACCTCCTACCCTCGTCCAGTCTCGGTTGGAGTTCCCCAAGGCTCTGTCCTTGGTCTATTTTCTCTTTATACTGCCTCTCTTGGCAATTTTTTTAATCTCATTTGGATTCCACTACCACCTGTACGCTAATGACACCCAGATATATCTCTCCTCCCTGGACCTTTCCTCTGCCGTCCTGAAATGTGTTTGTTTGAGTTTCAGAAAGCAGGAGGCCATCCAGTCAGAGATGGAAGAAAGACAATCTCTCTAAAACTGAGCTCCTTGTCTTACCTCCTCCTAATACTGATCCTCCTCTTTCGCTCTCCCTTCAAGTTAGTAGGATCCACATAAGTCCATCCTTGCAAGCGCACTGTCTTTGTGTAACAGTGGATTCTGGCCTCACCTTTAAACCTCACATCCAGTATGTTGCCAAATCCTGTAGATTCCAACTTAAAAACATAGCCTGCATCTGCCTCTTTCTTACGCAAGATGCTACCAAGGAGCTGGTCCATGCTCTAGTAATTTCACGCATGCATTATTGTAACCCTCTCCTAATTGGTCTTCCCAAAAGCTGTATTGCCCTGCTACAGAATGCTGCCACCAGACTGATTTTTCTCTCCAGTCGGTCCTCTCACACCTCATCCCTCTGCCACTCCTTACATTGGCTTCCTGTATCCTATAGGAGTCAATTCAAAGTGCTAACCCATACCTATAAAGCACTGAAATTCTAGCCCGTCTTGTATCTCTTCACAGATCCATAGGTGTGCCCCTTCTCTGTTTCTCCGTTCTGCCCGTGGCCAACTCAACGCTTGCAGGACTTCTTGCGGGCGGCTCCCTACCACCATCATACTCTCCCCTAGTCTTCAATCGTTTAAGAAGTGCCTTAAATCCCATCTCTTTAGGAAAGCTTATGGCCTCCCAGAGTAACCTCTACCTCACATACCTGTCTCTTGCTCTCTCCTAAAGGGCAGCACTTTACTCTCTCCTCAAGCTCTGCTTCACTCCCACCTAATTTGATTGCTATTTCCTGTCCTAATGTGTTTTACACCCCACCTCCTATAGATTGTAAGCTCGTTTGAGCAGGGTCCTCTTCAATCTATCGTTTTCTTGTAATTGTCCTATTTATATTTAGATCCTTATAATATTGTAAAGCGCTAGGGAATCTGTTGGCGCTATATAAATGGCAATAATAATATTATGCACAAAATATAGTTTACATTAAGAGGCTGGAAAATCTACCTGTTAGCAAACATACATGCATGTGGTCACTAATATATGCTACCCATAAAGGCTCACACTGTTCACAAATTAAATATTTACCTTGGCTGCTGTTTCTTTCTTAATCTGATCTTCTAGGGAATTCTTCAGTTCTGTGACAGTCCGAAGTTCTTGTAGCTTTTCTTTCAAAGTAGATTCCAACTATGTACCCGAAGAGAAGATTGCATGTAAGCTCAAGCATTGTAATAAAACAAATATGCAAAAAAAAATTCTTTAGACCAGTTAACAAAAAGTGACTGTATAAGCAAAAATTAGAAACAAAAAAATAAAAATAAAAAAGTTAATACAATGTTAAACAAAAATCTGCACACCAGTCAAGCCATAATACTAGCTTTTCCCACAGAAATCACAAATCTGCAGTGATGTTACTACCGCAAAGGATTCTGGGTAGGCGTATGCAAATTAGTTCAACAAAGAATCACAAGGGGTTTTTAATCACAATTTTTCCCCCACCATAACTATTTTGGTTGTTTCTTCGCAAGTACCTCCAAGCCTCAAAGCTAGCCAGTAACCAACCTCATGCTGATTTGCATTAACAATGAAACTGCTGTCCATGAGTGGTTCACTGGCTTTGCATCTTTTTCTAAGTTGTGTTTCAAAAATGTTGTATACAGCAAACACAGACTCAAAGGAATCCATGTTTATAATGGAATGAGGCAAAAATGTGATTCTTTGTTAAACTAATTTGCATATACCCATCCAGACTCCTTTGCAGTAGTAACATCACTGCAGATTTGTGATTTCTGTGGGAAAAGCAAGTCTTATGGCTTGACTGGTGTGCAGATTTTTGTTTAACATTGTATTATATATATCTATATATATCGATCTCAGAGTAAAGAGATTATTGTTTTGGGAAGCATTTTTAGTCAGGGAACTTGACATGTCCTAGAGATCTCTATCAAGAATATAATTTGACAGCACTGATATGAATTGGTTTGTATGTATAAGATACAATATTGATAATGTTTTATTTATAATAATTATGTCTTCACATGTTATGAATTGCTGGTGCTAGTTCACTTCTACACCCTTACATCTTTTGCACGCTCCTTCCTCTCGTCAGTGTACTTGATTGTTGGCGTCTTTTTACATTCTTGGCACTTGTTTAAGATATTGAGATACGTAACTTTTATTAGATCTAAGTAAATACACAATTTCCTATTTGTAAGGGTACTTTCCTTCTGTTGTGAGAATTAGAACTTTTTGTTCATTGGCACTTTTATCATTTTGTTGCCATTATATTTGCTTGTATTTACCCTGCATTAGGATCAAGCTAATTATTTATTTACAGAAGCATAGTCACTATTGTTTTTATAGCTTTTCAGATTAAATATTGCACTTTCTTGGTAAGTCCATTAGTGTATTTGTGTTATTCTATGGTGAGATCACTTGATTGAGCCATTCTATTTAGAAGATGAACTTTGCACAAGTAAGTGTTTTTTACTTCTTTTTAAATACTAATTTTGAAACTTATTATGTAGCCTTTAGAGTGTACTGCCCTCTCACGATTTTTCATTTGTGTGTGTCAGCTGAGCCATTAGGATGTATTGCCTTCTTATGGTTTGTTCCTATGTGACCATTGATTAATGTAAAATGCATTCAATTAATTATAGCAAAGGCTTTATGATTACACATAAGTGTATATAGTTTTTCGTATACAATTGTTTTGTAATAAGGTTATGGTGGAGATTTACTTCTGATTTTCTGAATAATTAACTCTTTATGAATTTTCTAGACTAATACATTTCTCATGCTATGTATTAATGGACAGGTTTCTACTAAAATATTGGAGTTTTTTATTTTATTTTTTTATATTATGCATTATTTGTACTCACTTTTTAATGTTCTGTATCACTGGATTGTATTTATAAGTATTATGTCTTTGTCTATGTATGTATTTGTCATGGGCATGCTAGTTAGTCGCACCAATGCTTGTTATTTCTAAACAAGACATGTTATAGTATACTACAACAATCATTGTTTCACGGCACTTCATAATGAAATACACATTGCATGCTGTGGTTTTAGCTTGACAAAGATCTCCTTGAAGTTGAAACGTTGCTATGGTCACTAGTTTCAATACTTTTGCCTGCAAGTCAGCCTTGGTGTGACCGAACCTTTCGATTTTCTGAGAAACACTACAAACATCTCAAGAGACTTGAAAATCTAAATATATAGCTGTAAAAACTGTGCCCAATCCTTTGAAGTAAAACAAGACAAGTTTGTGTGGTCAACAAGAGTGCGTGTCACTTTAAAAATAGTTAAAATAAGTCTATACATTGTACTTCTAAAATTGCTAGCAAATATATAGGTGTTTCACCTACATGTGTTCCTGACTCTATAGTGTTAAAACCACCATTTAGGTGGCATGCTCCCCCTCCCCCACTTATCTTAAAGCGTGCTTTAATTCCAGCGCCACAAGGGTCCGCAGGCGCTTGTCCCGCCCCTGATCTGCCTTCTTGGTGATATTAAAATTTAAGATTTCTAGCCAATCCAATGCTTTCCCATACGGAAATTGGCTGAAATCGGCAAGGAGGCAGGGGCAAGCACAGTTTTGGCCAATCAGCACCTACTCAGAGATGTATTGAATCAATGCATCTTTGTGAGGAAAATTCAGCATCTCCATGCAGAGCGTGGAGATGCTAAAAGTTAGCACTGCCCCAGGAAACACCTCCAGTGGCCATCTAAGAAGTGGCCACTGGGGATGTGGCCACTGGAGGTGTCCCTAGGGGAACATGTAAAATCTACCTTTTCTCTGAAAATAAAGTGTTTGCATGAAAATGCCTGAAGGGAACGATTATACTGACCTGGACAAATACATTAACCCCTTAAGGACCAAACTTCTGGAATAAAAGGGAATCATGACGTGTCACACATGTCATGTGTCCTTAAGGGGTTAAACTGCAGTTATTCTGGTTACTATAGTGTCTTTTTAAAGGAACACTTTAGTTTTTATGAACATCTTTGTATTCCTAGGCTCCATCATGAAGGTTCATTGACTTACCTGATTCCGCACTGGATCGTGCTCCTAGTGCGCCGACGGGGAGACCTAAAGCACTTGTGCAGCTAGTGCCACATGCGCATTAGGTCTTCCCCATAGGAAAGCTTTGAAGATGGATGTCCTCATGCAAAGCATGAAGATGTCCAGTGCCATTTCACGGAGTCAAAATCTATCAAACTGCAGTAAACAACTCTAGTGGCTGACTGTTAGATGCAATCTTAACCTATCAATGTTAACATTGCAGTTTCTCTAAAACTGTAATGTTTTACATAGCAGGACTAAGGGGGACAAGAACACGGCACCCAGGCGACTTGAATGAGATTAGTACATATAGTGTCATTTTAAAAGGGATTCTGTAATGTAATCTGTATTCCTTACACTATAGCTCCCTCTGCGCTCCCAACCCCTTCACCCCCCTTTCAGTACTCACAAGATTCTAGCGCTGATCTCCCTCGGGGTTCCGCCTCCTCCTATGTCACCTGATGGCAGGTTATCTTTGAATCTGTACAATTTCTACTTATTGTTCCTACAAACTGTACATATTGAAAGTGCATAACTACCTGAATTACTTGCCATTGGTGAAGAAAAAAACAAAAACAAAACAAAAGTTGGAAAGTGTTATGTTTTACAAAATACCTGCTCTTTTTCTATTTTTATTCTGTCCAGTTCAGTTTTCAAACTTGAAATTGATGCTGTAAAATGAAAAATAGAGCAGATGAAGACAGGGTTTGCCGACAGTAAACCTGACTTATGAGAACCAGTTAAAAAACAAATCACCAAACAGACAAAACAACTACAGACAAGGATCTCAACAGAGAAATTGACATTAATCATTATGGTTTAGTGAAGATGGATTTCCCATGCATTACTCAGCAATAAGGAATAATTTTAATGAAACATTAACTGTTTGCCATTAGGGATTGCCATTTCTGGGCATTCTGTTATTGTATTTTCATTTGCTCAGGGAAGTAACCAGGAACTGCTGCCAGACAAAAGATCTGAAATGCCAATTCTTCAATAAAAGAACAGTGGCAAACATCTGCCCCCTGACAATTGTTGTTGAACTGTGACTCCTATAAGACAATCTGCCATAAGCTCACAAAAAATTATGATAATTGACATTTCAAGACACTGCCTTCAAAAACCTCTTCCAAACATTCCAGAAGAGTTTTGTTTTCATATTAAAGGGACACTATAGTCACCTGAACAACTTTAGCTTGATGAAGCAGTTTTGGTGTCTAGAACATGCCCCTGCAGCCTCACTGCTCAATCCTCTGCCATTTAGGAGTTAAATCCCTTTGTTTATGAACCCTAGTCACACCTCCCTGCATGTGACTTGCACAGCCTTCCATAAACACTTCCTGTAAAGAGAGCCCTATTTAGGCTTTCTTTATTGCAAGTTCTGTTTAATTAAGATTTTCTTATCCCCTGCTATGTTAATAGCTTGCTAGACCCTGCAAGAGCCTCCTGTATGTGATTAAAGTTCAATTTAGAGATTGAGATACAATTATTTAATGTAAATTACATCTGTTTGAAAGTGAAACCAGTTTTTTTTTCCCATGCAGGCTCTGTCAATCATAGCCAGGGGAGGTGTGGCTAGGGCTGCATAAACAGAAACAAAGTGATTTAACTCCTAAATGACAGTGAAATTACAGGGGAATGATCTATACACTAAAACTGCTTTATTTAGCTAAAGTAATTTAGGTGACTATAGTGCTCCTTTAAAACACTTAAATAATCTATGCATCATATAGACCCTGCTTATATGCTGTGTTTGACAATTTGGATAAAATCCTTTCCTGTACTGTGGAGCTACTTGGTAAATCACATGTTCTGACTGGCTGCTGACATCGCACATTCAATAAAGCTTTTTTTATATTATTCATTATCTGTCATTGAAAGTTTCAAAATTGTGATGAAACATTTGACATTAATAATTTCAGCTAAATTTACTATCACTTGCTTACATGAGAAAGGCTTATATGGTTTATTAAAAAAATAAATATATATTTATTTGATGGACTATTTAAAAACTATCTCTGCATCCTAGAAATGTCATCCTAGTTGTCACAAAATGTGTTGCCTAACCAATTTAATTTTGGGGGAATGGGTGGGGAGAGGATGAATCAACTCAATTAAGTAAAATATGTATAAAGTACAGGAATTACTTTTCTAATATTAATATAACAAACAGATAGGATTAGGAAACCACGCCCTGGACAGTGTGATACAAATAAATTGTATACGTACACAAGTGTATATGCGATGGTCTATATCCAATTGACCTCAAAGTAAAAAAACAAGAAACAATAGTGCAATATCGTAAATATAATAAGCGAGTTTGGTGGGTACTTTTAAAGTGGTTTCACTCACATTTCCCAGAGCTATCCCAGCTTCTGAGGAAGCCCTTTAAAGGTGAAACGCGTCAAGTGGGACTTTTTTAGCCATTTGTGTTACTTTTCTATTATTTTTTGTTAATACATTATATATATATTTTTAATATTACTTTTCTACTATTTTTACTTACCTTGGATTCCTGATTCCGTTCAATTCCTGGTTACCATCATATTCCCTGGTGGGGATGATACCACCTATGCCATACTGACTAGAGCAAGTTGTGCTCTAGCAAATGTGAGTACATTACTATTATTTTTTATTTCTTTTATATTTGACCAATATATATTGCACTATTGGATTTCTATTTCCCCACATATTACTCTGGGACAGCCCTGGGAAATGTGAGTGAAACCACTTTAAAAGTACCCACCAAACCCGCTTATTATATTTACGATATTGCACTATTGTTTCTTCTATTTTTTTTTACTTTGAGGTCAATTGGATATAGACCATCGCATATACACTTGTGTACGTATACACTTTATTTGTATCACACGGGCCAGGGCGCGGTTTCCTAATCCTGTTTGTACTATTCTTGTCACGAGGTTGGGAATCCTTGTGTTGGTTACTGCTGCCCTATACTATTATTGTATTTGCTACTATAGTGAGCACCCTATCCCTTTGTTTCTAATATTAATATAAGACTGTTGGATTGTTAAGCATATTTCTACATAAAAATGGATTCCAGAGCAAACACCTAAAAACAGAGTACGGAACTCAATTCTATGGTTCCCAAAATGACTGCTTCAAATGTAGTACTTTCCTCCTACATATAGATAGCCCTTTTGGTATTATTCACCTTTGCCACCTTGGAAGTCAAGTTAGTTTTGCTACTGTTTTCTATTAGGACACAGTGACACACAATCTCTAGCAAATTGCGAGTTACTTAGTGGGTTTAACGGACACACATGCCAGCACATAAACTGCTCCTACCTTCTAAGATGTCTGTAAATTGATCAGTGAGAAAAAGAAGGAAAGAAAAGAAGATAAGAAAACAGAACCACAAAAAGAATGGAAGGGTTTAAAATAAAGAGCTCTCATGAAAAATATTTCCCTGCTGAGAATAGAAAAGTAAAGTATTTTGAATATTGGAAGAGCTAGTTAGCAGTTATTAATATCTAGAAAACTGTAGAATTTTGAATGAAAAATACCACTATAGAATTACAATGATACTGCATGATCTATTACTATTTTTATGTAATTGTCATCTAGCTACTCTGCCTTAACTAAAATGCCTTGAGACGATGTGATTTCATTTAGGAAACAATGCAAAAACTGTCAGATAACACCACTGAAATTAAATTCAGACATGAACATATGTTTACTATAATGAAAATCATTATAGGAACAAAGGTTTGTTAGTTTTTAGAACAAAAGCCTTAATTGCCTCATTATCAAAAAATGGGACAATATAAATCATTGTATGTCAAATATTTTAGAAATGGTGTGCTGAAGTGCACCACCCTCAAAATGCCACGTGACAACTCCCATAATCCACTCTCATCCTATGGTAACTTAACAAAATGAATCGCTTACTAGAGCTCATTAAATGGTTATGCCAAACATCATAACCACTGCAGTGGGCAGTAGTGGTTATGATGTGAAGAGTACACTAGCCCAGTAATGGGGTAAACTTTTTATCAATGATTTGCACTCCGTGCCCAAGTCCTCGCCGGGCTCCGATGCTCTCAGGTAGTCTTGTGACGCACTTCTGGCTTCTGCAGAACTGCCATTCATCATCTGAGAACATGAGCTGACTGCTCTAAGTCAATGATTTTGCAGACACAGACTCCAGGTACCATGACCACTTCCAATTACTCATGTGATAATGTTGCTTGGAATAATCCTTTAATAAAATTCATTAAACTACCAAAGTAAAGTAAATGATGATAATCTGGATGCTTACCAATCTCCTCTTTGCAATTATCAATTTCAATTTGTAGCGTTTCTTCAATATTTTCCTTTTGGCATTGCTCGGCTTGGATCTGATCTTTCAAGAAAAGAATTTCTGCCTTCAGCTTCTCTTCAAGGTGGTCTGCCGCTGTGCGGACTCTGACAATGTCCTCGCGATACTTTAGAACCAGCTCATGCAATTCCTGTGTTGAAAAGAGAAATCACTGAGGTGGCTAATGCCTGATATATGTCTTGGTAAACTGAATCCGGTTCAAAATTTCTAGAGACCATTAAAATAAGATTTAGCAAAATAAATAATTTCATATCATCACACAATTTTAGTTGCTCATAAAAATGATGACCAATGAAAAAGCCTCTACAGGAGGTGAAATGCATTGTCGCAGAGGCCGAGGACATTTTTATTAGTATAACTCTTGCTTTTATTTTTATTGCACTATTGCTTTTATTTAAAGTGATTTTGTTAGATTTTACCAGTTTGGATTTAAATTGCAGCACTCTTTGGATAGAAGAAGACCCTTTCCTTACTCTGCTGAAATAGGCACAATACCAACTGGTACCATGTGAATGCTTACATGTATGTGTTATAATTATTCATCATACAGTATTAGGCTATGAGATCTCTCCTGTCCATACAGCTGTGGAATATCATCTTGAAGAGGGATTAGGATTTCCATATAATTATCCTACTGCGCAGCACAAATACACCAAGTGACTTCATTGGCTCTAATTTTGTGAGTGAGACGCACATTGCTGGCTTCATTTTGTGTTCAGACTTTATCACCTTTATTTTACATGTATTCTCTTTTGTCTGCCATAAGCTTATTAATGTAGTCCATGAGAGCTAAGTATTTGTATATAGTGCTCCATCTCTTTTGCATTTTTGTTTGCATATTCTTTGGGATTTTTTTTGTGGGTATGTTGATGATCAGTATAAACAGGCAATTACCAAGTGAAGAAAAAACAAAAGCTTGCTCATATTGTTACATCCCAAAATTGGTATATTTTTTTTTTAGAAATATTATGGACAATTAGCTTTAATTATTTTGTGATGATACCAAACAATTAAAAATTGTAAACTTTTACGCCAGCATTAAAAATTCATAATCCAATTTGAATAGGGACCATAAAAATAAAATAAAATAAATAAATAATACTACAACAATGTTCTACAGTGATAATAAACAAAACTCACTTCAATGGTATCTGGAAGGATGAAATTCTCAGTTTGTTGAAGAGACACATGAAGGCCATGCTTTCCTTGAAGGCTCTCATTATCGTTTTGCAATCTTGTCAGCTCTTCAGAGACTTGTTCTCTTGACTGCATTAATACAGCCTGTGATAATCAAAATTAAACCATAATTTAATGTTAAAGTCAAAACATGCCATACATTTTACACTAATGTATAGGGGTAACAGGCTTTATGGGATAATTGGCCAATGCCAGACTAATCCTATAAGCTGTGCCTGCTACCATTTATCCTCAAGCCACAGCTGAACTAGTAATAAAGACTACAGCGATTATTGGTTTGTACACAGCCCGCTTTAAAATGCTTTATGACCCTCCGTGAGAATGGTGTCTATTTTCTATCAGACATGTGTATTATATGCACTCCTGTTTCTTTAATCCCAGTATCACAACTCAGCTTTGAATTCTATGTGTTGTTTTTGCTCTAAAATGCTTTAGACTGGAGAAAGGTAGGTTTATCTGCAAACTTGTCTTTCCAAAATACTGTTAGTCCAATAACAAAAAGTAATTACAAGATACTATTAACCTGTTTTACAGCTGCATAACTGGACGAATACAACTACAATCTCTACTCTAACATATACATAAAGGCAGATCTAACATTTCAGCAGGAAAAAAAAGAAAGCCCCACTGGCATTTTATCACTTGCCGTGATTTAAGCCAGCCCCACCAGCTGCTGATGTCAGTCCTGCAATTAACACAAGACAAAACATGCAGCTTCATGAAAAAAATGAAATTGGCTTGTCACTTTTACCAATAAATTGCACGTATGTTTGAACTTTTATTTTTATTTTTTTTATAGAATTTCTCCTATATTCCAGAAAACCAATTAGAAGTACTACATGCATAAACAGATAGAAAAATGTACTCTGTACTTTCCAAGTGACAATGACTAATCCTGGGTTACGCAAACATCTATTAAGTTTCTTTAAAAAAAATAAATTAAATAAATTTAAAAAGTTCCAATGCTTCACTTCTTTAGTAAACAACTGAGTAGGACAACAGATTTGTGGTTATTTTTGATCATAAATACTTGACTTGAGCAACACTTAGTTTTGGCTGGTTACTCCAAATCAAATTCCTTTTAATCCACACCCAAACAAATAGATGTCTGGGATTTCCCTGTGAAGTCTTATTTAACTTCTAATACTCCACAGGTACACCCGGAGGATTGACTCATCCAGGTATGGATTTAAAAGAATTTTTGCAAAGGTCTTATAAACACCATGTGGTTTAAACTTGCTTCAACAATGTGTGAGAAAGTGAAACAAACTATTCCTTTGAGATATTGAAATTCTGTAACAGTGATATTACCATTTGCTCCTGAACACTTCTTTTTGCTGCAGAAAAGGCTTGCTGTAATTCACTAAGCTGTGTTTCAGACTCCTGAGCTCGGAGCACCAGGGTAGAGATCTGTCAGGACAGATACAACATTATAACACATCTCTACAAAATTGCCACAGAATGACAGCTCCTAAAACAGATTTTTGCAATTTTCATTTATCCTTACAAGAAATGAATGATGGCCCACCTGAGCGCTGGTATCATCTGTACTCTGTTTCATGTATTCCTCTAGCTCCTGTTTATCCTTTAAAGTCTTCTCCAACTGGTCATTTGCTTGCCTGAGCATTACTTGCAGCTTTTTAACCTGAAATCCATACCAAACATTGAATATTCCACTTAACACTGAAATCACAACACAAATATATAATTGATATATTAACATTCCACGCTGTCTTACGGTGTTTAGAAACCAAGGTGTGATAGCAGCATGAAATGTCATTGGTCTCTAAAAAGGGAACATGGGCCTACAAATCCATATGTAGTAAAACCTAGGCCATTACGAATAGTCCTATCATAGTTACAAACATAAATCAGGTCTTTCCCTTGTGAGATTATCCAGTGCCATGCAAAGCATGATATTTTAAATAGAGCAGTAAATCTATGAGACAGAGTGGAGTTGGAAATCTCTAATTGCACAGATGCCATAGTATTACACTACCTCTGAGTTACAGCAGAGAGTTTTAAGGTTAAAGCCCTCACTTGATCTCTGGTTTCTGCCTCCTGGGTCTGGATTCCTTGCAGCTGCTTCTCATAGTTGGAACACATGTCACAGCGTCTGCCCAGCTTATTCCCAGCCGTTTGCACCTGAAAAATGCCCCAGATGAGAGATACCGATGAATTGTGATAAACAGTACATTGCTGCCTTACCTTTAATTAGGCCAGGTTGACTGGGAACATTTTATTAGCATTCTCAGTTAACATAAAACAATTTTTACTAAAAAAAATAACTGCACTGATACCTCCATAAATCTCATAAGATTTGCATATATCCCTACTGACGTTACTCATAAAAAGTGAAGCCAAAAAAGAAATAAGAACAAAGTAGGACTAAAACTGCACAGACTGAGATAATTCTTTATGACAAATAAGCTTAACTTTCTGTACTGCATTGCATATAGGATGTATGAGAAAAATTTAAAAGATGGCTATGTATAAAGAGTATTTTGGGACAGTAGTTGCAATAGCATGCAGGTGACTGATAAATAGGCTTAGTGAGGCAATGTGCAATTCACCTCCTTCTGTAATAAATCCCACTCAGATTCGCTCACTATGCGATAGCCAGAGGGTGGAACATATGCACATTCCACCTGAGTAACACTTGAGAGAAGAGAGGCTGTCTCCTCTTGCTCAGGAGTCATGGCTTTTATTGCTTTCTCTTGATCTTTGGTCAACATGAATCCACTTGGCATTTGTAATGACCCAATAGAAGAAGTGTCAAAGTTCTCTGAAGTAGAATCTGCTCCAACCAGAGGCCCAAAATCAGATTCATCAAGGTTTCCAGCTGATTTTGCTTTAGTATTAAATCCCAGTGTTTTTGTCTGTAATGGACCAGAGGTCCCAAGGCTGTCTGTTGACTGCGCCCGTCGAAGTCCATCTTTAAACAAATCTTCCTGTTTAAAAGAGTCCCCTTCGTTCAGCACCATGTCCACATCCAAGGAACGAATTGAGCCATATGTACTATTCGTCAGTTCCTAAAATATAAAATTAGCAACAGTGTCATTCATGTGCAAACGCACCATATGCAAGTCTATAAATAAATGGGTGGCAGGGGTTTAAGATTCGTTCGTATTTGGTAGTTGCAAGGGTAACTGGTTGTCCCTATTTACCAGCTATGCCTTTTTTCTTTAATGCAGGGCTTTCAATTTCTACTCAAAGACGGTCAAGAAAAAAATTCAGCCCCGGAGAGTAGAAGTTTATCCTAAGTTAGTGTGCCCTCCAGGATTGCAGTGGAAAGTAACATTTATGCCTGACTAGAAGCAGAAAACTTTTAGCCATGGATATAATCTAAAATTATATCACTATGACCGAGTGTCATTGTTGCCTAGGGCATTGCGAGGCAGCCATGCCAACACCGAACGCAAGCATTACAACACTGGTGCACTTTTTGAAACTAGATATTCAAGTCATGGCAACCACGTCAAACAAAAGTCAGGCACTGCAGTCATGGACAGATTTATAGACAGAGACAGATATTTCTCCCTATATAAAATGTATCTACAGATTTAAAATAAATAAATAAATAAATAAAAATACCCTCTCCCACAATCAAGGTCATCAATGCACTTTCTACAAAAACTTGTAGAAAGCTAACAACTAAAACAACCCTGCAGAATGACAATGTTTTCAGTGGTGGAGTAAAACAGCAGGAGAAGATCGAACACAGCCTTTTTGCCCATACCCCAGAAATGATTATTATTTTTGTTGCATTTAATTCACTCATATTCCATGCGGTGCGATAGGATTGTGAATGATCTGCACCCAGAGGTTTAAATATTTAACTTTTTGACTATCTCTTGAATGCATATCTTACTACTCATGTTATCCATACTGGATTTGTTTATTCAAGCATATTAAGCTTGTCAACTTTATACATGTCAACTCATGCATCTCTAGCCTGACCTCTATTTCTTGTTTAAAACTTTAAAAAAGTGTGCAAATTATCCTGACATGTGTTACATTCATATTCCTATACTCTAATCCAAACAGTAACGTGTCATTGTTATCCTGTGTACTGATATTGCACTCCAAAAATAAAGTATTAAAAAAAACAAAAAAAAACTGGAGCATGGCACCCAGAACTTTTCATTGAGATGAAGTGGTCTGGGTACCTATAATGTTAATGTAATTCAATGTGAATTTCAAATGTTAGTCCAAAAGTGCCAAATTTGAAGAATTCTCCAAGTCTGTAGTGGTTCTAGTGTAGGAGGTCCCTGGAGCTCTAACCCACAACTGTCTGACAATTTACCTGGGGTATGCCAAGCACAGCCCACCTTCACGGAGAACCAGAAGCTCCAGCTCTGATCTGAGATAAGCCCTGCCGGACCAGGTTATTGGCTGTGAGTGTTAGCTGATCGCCAAGCCCTGTACATTAGAGCAAATTAATTATATGCCACCCCATATCTCTGGCAACACCAATGAAAATTATGGCCCACCTAATTCCCATGTTTCAACATAAGACATGGGAGGAACATGGACTCACCAATTTGCACATCTATAAAGGTACTGAACTACTATCTTTCGATGACATACGTACCCAATTTGATCTGCCTAGCAGGGCACTATTTTCCTATCTACAGCTGAAATCTTATATGACAAAGGTTGGGATAACACAGGGGACCCAAGTGATCCAAGACAAACGGTCATCATTTGAGCAAACTTGCTTGAAACTCAAACCCCTGAGAAAGATGATCTCCCTCAGCTATTCATTATTAATGAAAAAACAGGAATCCCCACTGAGCCCTGTATTGGATTCGTAGACGAGGGACCTGGGTTATGACTTGGGGAAAAATAAATCAGACAAGGCTTTGTCGATACATAAAGGTACAAAATCCTATTTAAATGGTATATGGTGCTGGCTCGGCTTCACTGTATATGGCCAATCACGTCTGGTTTGTGCTGCAGAAGAGGGCACTTCTGGGAGGCGGTCTCCCTGATAATAAATTCAACTATACTGCTCCAGCTAATTCTGACTCCTGAGTTGTGCCTCTTGTTCACATCCCCTGATAGTATGTGGTATAGTAACGCCTGGTTGCATTTGGGTAGTCTAATTTCTGCACTCCTGGTGATTTCCAGACTGCGGAAACATGGAAACACACGCACCCACCAGACAAACCAACACTGATAAAACAAATAAACCTGGACATATGAAAACATGAAAATTACACTTTTTTTTTTTAGAACAAAAAGTGCTGGGGCCAGACCAACACCCTTTATATGTCCAGTGTTATTTATATGTCCAGTGTTACCACCCCTTTCTCCTCCCCATTTCCCTTATCTCTCCTATTGTTTTTACTTCCTAGATTGTACTCTCCACTACTCCTATATGGTAAAAAAAAATGTGCAAGTATTTGAGATGAGATGATGGAGCAGGTATCTGACTAACTGGTTTCTGATTATGGCAAAGAACAATGTAGACACTGTTGTGCATGTATTGCTCTCCTGAAATTCGCTATAACTGCATCTACTATACAATGTGCCTGGAACCTCCTATGTAGGATATTGCTTCCTCATGTACATGCAATAAAAATTGTCAAATTTAAATAAATAAAAAGGTAACAAAAAACTAACCTCTTGGTTTAAAAGATTTGGAAGGGATTCATCTTGGGAAGCCACTTCAAATGCTTTTGCCTCTTCGTCCTCCCTTTTTTGTTTTCTTTCTTTTCGTCTTCTCATTCTTTGCTCATCTTCTTGCTAAAATGAGTTGAAGATATAGAAAAGTATATTAAATTGCAAGGTTAATGTCCACCTCCCACATTGCAAGTTCCTCTTCCACTGAAATGTCTGATGGGTATCTGTATTCACTTGTGATTTTGACTGTACATACAATGTTCTTTACTCTGTATATCTGAACCACAGTAAATAATTATAACATAAGCACATATTAAACATGTATTTTTCTTCACAGGAAGAATAATAGTTATTTTTAAGTAAACACTAGCATTTTAAGAAACCATTCTTTTGAAAGTAATTCTCAATTCTTCTACTCTGCCTGACAAACTAATTGAGAGAGTCGTCATTGGGAGGCTGTGAAACAACGGAGATTACTTGGAGGCACTGTTTTTGGATATAGAGAGTGGATAATTGTAAATGACTTGGGTCTAGGCTGCTCAACATTGGGCACAATAATAGTACATGGTGCAACTGTAAAATAGGGGCTTAATATATTTAGTAAAGATGTAAATCATATTTCCTTCTATGCCCACACCTCACATCTGGTCGTCAATGAAAAACAAAAATGAGTAATTTAACAGTAAATAAAAGTATTGTTTCAAAGTATATTAAAAATACTTTTAGCAAAAGTTTCCAAGTGTAATGTTTGTGGTGTATTATGCCGTTTGGTAAATATTAGAGCTGGTCAATTTTCTCACAATAATAATCAATGTGTCTACGAACCTGGTCTTTCTTCTTCCTTTCTTCTACTTGTCGAAGTTGTTCGGAGGTCAAGACTACTTCCATGCGCTTCATATCTTGCATCATCAATCTCTGGGACTCAAGAAACTGATCATTTGCTTTTTGCCATGTATGTTTCAGTTGATTGTGCTGCTGCCTCTCTTGCTCTAGCAAGTGGCAGACTACATAAAAATAAAGAAATACATAAAAAAAAAATAAAAAAAAATCATTACAGATCTCGCCAAATGGGCAATTAGACCAAAAATTCTTAGAAACATAGAATATGACGGCAGATAAAAACCATTCAGCCCATTTAGTCTGCCCAATTTTCTAAATACTGTCACTAGTCCCTGGACTTATGCCTATCCCACGCATGCGTAAACTCCTTTACTGTGTTAACCTCCACCACTTCAGCTGGCAGATTATTCCATGCATTCACTACCCTCTCAGTAAAGTAATACTTCCTGATATTTTTAAACCTTTGTCCCTCTAATTTAAGACTATGTCCTCTTGTTGTGGTAGTTTTTCTTCTTTTAAATATAGTCACCTCCTTTACTGTGTTGATTCCCTTTATGTATTTAAATGTTTCTATCATATCCCCCCTGTCTCGTCTTTCCTCCAAGCTATACACGTTAAGATCCTTTAACCTTTCCTGGTAAGTTTTATCCTGTAATTCATGAACCAGTTCAGTAGCCCTTCTCTGATTAAGTATCAATATCCTTCTGGAGATACGGTCTCCAGTACTGCGTACAATACGCCAAGTGAGCTCTCACCAGTGTTCTGTACAATGGCATGAGCACTTCCCTCTTTCTACTGCTAATACCTCTTCCTATAAAACCAAGCATTCTGCTAGCATGTCCTGCTGCTCTGTTACATTGTCTGCCTACCTTTAAGTCGTCTGAAATAATCACCCCATAATCCCTTTCCTCAGATTATTATTATTGGTATTTAGAGCACCAACTAATTACGCAGTGCTATACAATATTATAAAGGTGGGGTGGGGGGGGAGGGTAAAATGTACAATAATTTATACAATTACATCATGACACAGGAACAATAGGTAGACGAGGGCCCTGCTCAAACAAGCTCACATGTTGAGGTTAGTACTGTATCAAATATTCTATACTCTGCCCTTGGGTTTATACGTCCAAGATTCATTATCTTGCACTTATCCACATTAAATGTCAGTTGCCACAGCTCTGACCATTTTTCTAGTTTACCTAAATTACATATCTTTGTATCATCAGCAAAAAGACATACCTTACCATCAAGGCCTTCTGCAATATCACTAATAAAAATATTAAAGAGAATGAGTCCTATGTGCAACAGTGTCAAAAAGCCTTACTTATTTAGATTCCCATTCTGTGACAAAAATGATTATATAACTTAGGGTGAAACCGGTGCCCATATCATATATTTTTTAGCTTTTGTAGAATAATATATTTACACTGAACTGGATATTTATATCTACTTGTAGATACTTGTAGGTTTTAATTGTTCATATAATTGTTTATTTTTTTATTTTATGTTTAGTGATCCTTAGAAATCTTTAAATAGCTTTTTTTTTATTTGATATTCATTATCTTATTACTGATTTTTAAAAATGTTTTATTTAAATTATGAGATTAATATGTGTCAATATTTCATAATTTTTTTTTTCAATGTACATGAATAGATTAGAGCTATCAGGAACATTTTATGAAAAGGAAGGGAAAAAACAAACAAAAAGCAAAAAAAATAAATCACAAACTTATTTTCTAATTTAATTATATTTTATGGAAATATGGAGTTTTTTTTTATCAATTAATTATTGATGGGCATTTGTTGATTTTATCGGGATTTGGTGCAATTCATTTGATATGTCAGATACTACTATACAACATGTTAGCTGGGTCACAAAACAGTTTATTTGTACCAGATAATAACAATGTAACTATATTTGTTTATATGGCTCAGCTCTTACACTCCTGCAAGCTCAGACCATCGGATCTCCTAAAAGCTTTTAAGTTTCAAGGGCTAAGTGGTGGGGCTATACTGCCTTTTTAGGCAGAGAGCATTTTTGCACATTTATTGTGCCAATACATTTTGGAGTGTAAAACTCCAAATTGCTCACTCCATCTAATGCGTGCCTCCATCTTGGTACCGTTTCACTCCTCCATATATGCTGTGCCTTTTGCATCAGGCAATTAGTATAGAAAAAGCATAGAGAGATATAATGAAACAATGATTCTGTTTCTTCCCCTCCAATGTCTCTCGCTGGCTTGGACAGTGATATCAACTGCTATATCTTTAAAGGGTTAACTATAAATACCATAACCACTTCAGTGGTGTTAGGTAGTCATGGTACCTGGAGTTTGTCTGTGCAGGGTTTCATTATGAAGTGTTGCACATACATAGTTTACTGCCGGAAATGTACCTCTACCTCCAGCAGCATTACTGGTGCGTCATTAGCCCAAAAGAACAAGAGTTCCAAGCTTGCTGATGTCAACTCTGTGACTTCTACAAAGTTGCACGCAGTTAGCCTGCCTGTAGAGAAGACCCGGTGCCTAGCAGGACCCCAATAAGAAAGCAAACCACTGCAATATAGTTTGCCCCATTACCAAGAAATGGATTCAAGGCACTCTTGGCATCATAACCACTACACGTCTTGGAGTATCCCTTTAATATATATTTAAAACAAAAAGACGCAAAAAAGATTTTAAAAAATTTTAACAAGTTACATTATTTTAAATTTTCTGTTCAATTGTGTAATTTACATAAAAGTGATAGTTCATTTTAAGTGGTATACAGGCACTAAGGGACAGTTGTAGATTGCCTGACTCAAAACAGGCTCTAAATCAAGTAACACAATCTGGTATTTGTAAGGAAGCATAGCAGTAATCACTACCTTCATGGAGCTCTTTTCTCAGCTTTTCAGCATCCTCTTGGAGCACAGATTTTTGTGTATTGAGAACAGCAACATACATTTCCAGGTCAGTTCGACAAGACTTCTCAGCTTCGAGATAATGATTCATCTCTTTCGACTGTCAAAAAAAAGACAAGAGAAGTGAGTATACAAGAAGTAAAAAAATTTAAAAAAAAAATAAAAGTTGCAAGAAGCATTGAAGTTAAAGGGGCACTGTAACATCTTCATCTTATTAAAGTGATTATGGCATTTTTAATGTTTTAAAGGGATCCTATAGTGCCAGGAAAACAAACCCGCTTTCCTTGCACTATTGGATTGTGGGGTGCCTTTCTCCCGTGGGGCTGAAGGGGTTAAAACCCCTTCAGCCACTTAGCTGAATCCAGCACCGATGTCCCTTGGCGCTGGGTGAGGCTCCGCCCACACTCGTGCTTTAGACCTCCCCATAGGAAAGCATTATTCAATCAGCGTCAGATAACGCACCAAAAGTCTGTTACGATTTTGGAAGCCCTCTAGTGACTGTCTGTTAGACAGCCACAGAGGGCAGACATAGTGCTGCAATGTAAACATTGTAGTTCTCTGGAACTGTAATGTTTTACATTGCAGCACCAAGTGCAAAAGGGTCACAGCATCCAGACTACTTCAATGAGCTGAAGTGGTCTGGGTGCCTACAGTGTCCCTTTAATGCTAAACAAATATGCCCAGTAGCCCATCCCCACTGCAAGATGTTTCCTTTCACATGTATTAACCAGCATATACCAAAATGACTTCCAGAAATAAATATATGACATCATCTCACCAGTGATCTGCAAAATAGCATCTAAGTTCCTTGTTCTATGTTAAAACTACCCATTGAAAGGACACTATGGAACATACAATTGAAATACAATGAGTAACTGCAAATCATCTGATATTTGCAAGAATCAGAATATAATTTTAATATCCAACCTTAGATGCCTCCAGTTCCTTTATTTTATCCTCTGCTCCTGTCAGTTTCTCTTTTAATATTCCAATCTCTTTTTCCATGGGCATTACAACTGAACGCAGCTTTTCCGCATCCTCTTGAGCCTGAAACAAAAATACTTATAATGGTAAGGATGTATAAGTGACAGGCAGTTTTCGCATTTTAACTGCTCCATGTTGAGCAATTGCCTTGTTAGTAAAACAGTTCAGAATGTCACAGTCCTGAAAAGAAAAACAAAAATAAACCATAACTATACTTTGACATTACTTCTGAATCACCTAGTTTAAACAAGCACACTTTTTTTTAATTTTACTACGCTGTAAAAAAAAAAAAAAAATGGTAACCACTATCCTTCCTCTCCACCCCTTTCAAACAAATAAATGAAAAACAATTAAATTCAATTTTAGAATAGTTTTCAGCTGCTGCGCCTATTGTGAGATACTTAATACTGATGATCATGGAGAAACACTAGGAACCTATGGCTAAAGAATTACTCAGTTTTTAATGCCGGATGAGAAGAATTGCTGGCAAATACTGAATTGGTTGTTTTACAGATCTTAATATTGCATAAAAATATAGCGACATAATACTATATTGAAGGAAACATACATCACATCCAGAGAACTGATTTAGCATACCTTCTTCATGTCGTTTTCTAGATTTTCCTCTTGTTGTCCTTCAGATAGCCGCCTCCTGAGCTCTGTAATCTCTCTTTCTACCGATTCCCGGTACTGACCCCACTGAGCACGTTCTTGCTCCAGTCTGTGATGGAACTGCAGCTCATACTCACGCACTGTCTCTGGAAATTCATTGGGGGAGAAAGAGGAAAGTGAGCACATTCAGGCCATACCAAAAGCAGGGGGTATTCAAGAACTATGAATATTAGCCTACTTAAATATAATACATGCAAATGAACTGAGATACATATTTTTTTTAATAGGCAGCTAAGATAATGGGGCTTCTGTCCTGAAAACACTATTTAACAAATTAATAATTTTAATATATTGTATCTTGGCAAATGGCAGCAGCTGACACATTGTGCTAATCAATGCAGTTCAAATTTTCTCATTTGGAAGAAATTGCTAATGTAGAAGTATAGCAAATAGTAAGCAAGGGGGCAGACGGAAAGGCAACCAAGGGGGTATGTATTGGCCTCTGATGAAGTACTAACAGTATGTACAAAATAGATTAGGATGTCTTGCCCCTACCCATTTGCACATAGCTCAATAAATACATTTTTCGAAACACAATTCCAGGTGCAGGCTTTGGTGTCCACCTGTTTGGGGCCTGATATATTAAGCTGAAGGCACTTGGGGATACTCTGTGTTAAACTGCATGAAAATTGTCTGACACAGAACCTGGAGAACGATAGTACTAAAACTACAATAGGCTGACATCTCACATCTGTTTCTGACCATGTCTGGGATTTTCTGGGGTTGACTATAAGACTCTGAAATGTACTTTAAAAACTATTGCTAAACCAGAAAACCCACTGATGTTTATATAAATAAATAAAAAAATCAAAGAAAACAACGGAGAATAACCACCTTTCATGATTGCTTGAAGAGATACAACTTCTTCTTGCCATTGCTTCTTCACTTCATCTATGGCTTCCTGTTTGGTGTTCTCAGACACAGTGGCTATAGCCCTGATATGCTCCATGTCTGCTTGAGCTTGTGTTAACTGAAGACTGAGCTGAGCAATCTCTTCCTGAGCAGCCTGTACAGCAGCATGTTGCCGCTTAAGATCCTCTGCAAGAAAAGTAGTCAGATACAGGTAAAGAAAAAATTGAAGCGGTAATGCAGAATATTTTATGATCATCAAAACAGAATCTCAGCCAAGACAAATCCCTGGAGAAACTATCTCCATGATGCTCATCTCTGTTCCAATCCAATGCATCTTGTTAGGGGAATCTAATGCACATTGTATCAATGCTTTCCCTGTGGGGCTACCAGGTCACATGACAGTTTTATTAAAGGACCACTATAGTGCCAGGAAAACATACTCGTTTTCCTGGCACTATAGTGCCCTGAGGGTGCCCCCACCCTCACGGTCCCCCTCCCGCCCGGCTCTGGAAGGGGGAAAGGGGTAAAAACTTACCTTTTTCCAGCGCTGGGCGGAGAGCTCTCCTCCTTCTCCGTTCCGCCCTGTCGACTGGCTGCGCGCATTCAGCCGGTCGCATAGGAAAGCATTCATAATGCTTTCCTATGGACGCTGGCGTGCTCTCACTGTGAAAATCACAGTGAGAAGCACGCAAGCGCCTCTAGTGGCTGTCAATGAGAAAGCCACTAGAGGATTAGGGGGAAGGCTTAACCCATTCATAAACATAGCAGTTTCTCTGAAACTGCTATGTTTATAAAAAAATGGGTTAACCCTAGAAGGACCTGGCACCCAGACCACTTCATTAAGCTGAAGTGGTCTGGGTGCCTAGAGTGGTCCTTTAAGTCAGTGCTGTGTAATAGTCTCTAGTGACAGTCAATGTTTTACAGTGTATGTATATGGGGACAGGGACACTGCACCCAAATCACTTCAATGAGATGAAGTGGTCTGGGTGACTAGAGCCTTTTAAAAGGGAGCAAGCTGTCTATGCCGGTTCCATTTCATGTCAAAATCAACAACGCTCAACCTCATTTTTGATTTATTTTTTTAAATTTTTTTATTTGGCATACTGAAAGGGCCACCTGGTGTATAAGTCTATGCAACTTTGCTGGTCCATATCTTCTATATTTACAAAGTTATAAAGGTGCAATATTTGCAATTTTTTTTTTTTTTTTTTAAAGCACTGGTTAACATTCAATATTTCGGTAAACAGGGCACCTCGAGAAGTGATTTAGTTTGGAAAGGTCTTTAAGAGCTTTTTGTTCCCCAGAGAGATCAGGAGCCATGTTATATTCAGAAACATAGGATTTTCAAAGGATTTTCCTTACTCCCAGCAAGTTTAAACCTGTTCTGTCTTACATGTCATATCACAAATTTAAATTCCGTTGTGATCTTTGCAGAGTGAAGATTGCTCAAATGCACCTTGAAGTCAATTGAAGAGATATAAGGACTTTATTAGCGTTCAAATATGTGCAAGTGATGCAGAAATTAGTACATTTTCTAGTATATGTTGCAAGGCATTAAAGGGACACTATAGTCATCAGAACAACTACAGCTTATTGAATTTGTTCTGGTGTGTAGAATCATTACCTTCAGGCTTTTTGCTGTAAACACGGTCTTTTCAGAGAAAATGCAGTGTTTACATTACAGCCTAGTGATAACTTCACTGGCCACTCCTCAGATGGCTGGTAGAGATCCTTCCTGGGTCATGGCTGCCTAAAATGCATCCAAACATTCAGTGTCTCCTCCCTCTGCATGCAGACACTGAACTTTCCTCATAGAGATTCATTGATTCAATTCATCTCTATGAGGAAATGCTGATTGGCCAGGGGTGTGTTTGAATCATGCTGTCTCTGCCCCGATCTGCCTCTTTGTCAGTCTCAGCCAACCCTATGGGGAAGCATTGTGATTGGATCAGGCTACCACTTCTGATGTCAGCAGACTGCTTTTTATTCTGAGTCAAACAGCATGGAGAGTTATAACTTCAGTCTTGAATACAGTAAGATTTTGCTATTTTTAGGGAGGCATGAGGGGCCCAGGTGGTGGTTTTAACACTATAGGGTCAGGAATACATGTTTGTGTTCCTGACCCTATAATGATGCTTTAAGTAGTACAGGACATGGGAATGTAAAATTAATATTTTTTTGCAATTTAGTTACTCCGAACTCGTGCTGAATTGAACCTAAATCCAAGTTTTAGGTAACACAGAGTACATGGACCCATTAGCTTCATCTGATGTCATGTAAACTTTTCTTTCAGCTGTTTTGTCACCCCACTCTATGCACTGACTGACACTGGAGATACTTCACTTCTCACATAAGAATAAACTGTCCTCTGAATAGTTTCATTTACTTTCTGCAGTGTCTTTTCACACTGGTTAGATTTTTTAAATATTTTTCTTGACTGGCATTCCACCCAAACTACGTTTACTATCATTTAACAATTTCATAGCTGTAGGTCTATCAACTGTTAAAACCGGTCTTCATAAAAACAAGTGTTCTCTTCAGACTGTTCCTTATTATGCATCACACAAAGCAACTTAAAGGCACATTATAGTGTCCACCAATATATTGTAAAACTAAGTTCCCAGCCCCACTCCGGCCACAGTAAAAAGGTGTTTAAACTTACCATTTTCACCACGCTGCTCTGGTCTCGCAGTGGCTGGCCCCACCTCCATGGCGGAGATATTCAATCTTGATGATCTCAGCCAATCCAATGCTTTCCCATAGGAAAGCATTGGGAAGCTATTGTGCATGCACGGCAAAAAGCTGCACCAATCAGCACCTCCTCATTGAGATGCATTGAATCAATCCATCCCTATGGGTAGCATTCAGCGTCTCCATGCAGCATTGTACTAAGAAGCACCTCTAGTGGCTGTCTGAGGGAATGTAAACACTGCCTTTTCTCTGGAAAGAGTGTTTACAGTGCTCAGCCTGCAGTTACAGGCTATAGACACCAGCTTCTGGTGGTTATGGTGACAATAGTGTCCCTGTAAGGCACTTTTTACAAATGTTTGCATGTTCATGTAATTCTGGGAAAAGTTCTGATCTGTGATGTAATAAATCTAGGATTCTTTCTCAGTATTGTCTTGTATCTTGTTTTTTTCTCTCCTCCAGTTTAAAGTTTAATCCATACATGGACCTCACACTCACTGTGCTTAGAAGGGTATCAGCTATACCTCAATAATGAGGCCTAACAAGGCCAAAATTATCATCTGGGCTGGCTGTATCTCCCGTGGAGAAACAGACAACCTGCATTTTGGATCTGGTCCTCCTTTTTGATTGAATCAGTCTGGCATGAATATGGCCTAGGTTGACTTTGAAATAGCACAAGAGGAGTTAAAACCAGCTTGAGATTTGAGCGAGGACCCACCAAAAGGCAAGCTACTTGAGCTGTTGTAGTTCTCATTCTCTTGCACCCTGCGTCTGTGGTAAGGAAATTACTGTAATTGGGGATATCAGTTTTACTGAATCTACTATAACTCTTGATCCCTTGGTCACTGAAATAATGAGATACATTTAAAAATAGAGACCACACATTTTTCACTCCTATAACTTCATAAATAGATAACATATGAACAAGTAACTTTGCATAGGCTCTTACCTCATGTGACATTTCAGTATGCCAAGTTTAAAAACAGAATGCAATGTTTAATTCATATGAAATGCCCCTGTTCTGGCATGAATTCATTACGCATCTGCATGGTATCCCGACTCAACACCAGAGGAAGTGACCCAATGGCATGGTCATCTTCCTGATATGGTTTCTGCTTCTGCGCAAATATTAGAAAACTTTCTTTAGAACTAGTACAGAATTCCACAGATGAGGGCTTGATGGAGCACTCCAAGCACAATAGCCACAACAGCTCAACATTGTGCTTTAAGTCTATAGGTACTATACCATGTCAAATGAGTTTGGGTGTTTGTCAAAAACTCAAGTTCTCCCGGGCACCTGAAGCTTGTTCCTTTTCTGCTACACGGATAATGCAGGAAACCACGCTTCCACTTTCTGGGTGGCAAGTAGGCTGGGAGAAGGTTAGCTCATGCTTTCAGCTTATAATTAGAAAGGACATAATGAGGCTTCATAATTAAACCCTTACGGTTACATGACGGAAATATTCCATCATGATTCCCTTTTATTACAGAAGTTGTGTCCTTAAGGGGTTAAGAACTACTTTTAATATACTTGTGCATTATGAGTGTGGCTGAAGAGCGGTGCACCATTGTTAAGAGTACTGGTTATTGGGAAATTTCTTGTTTAGACATGGAGCTACAGCCCTATAAAAACTACAATGGCTGTTGTGGCTTTACTGTCAGTGTCCCTTTAAAACATGAATGTGCCACAGAGCTAGTTAAAGGGTCACAAGAAATTTATATTAAAGGGACACTCCATTGCCCAAATAAAAAAAATGTAAAAAAAGAAAAAAAAAAAAAAAAATGCTTTAATAATAATTTAAAAAAAAAGACATTAAAAAATTTAAATTAAAAAAACCAAAAAATTCACATTTAGGCGTTTTTCATTTGGAATATATCTAAAAAAACCAAACAACAAACGTATCACAAAAGAAGCAAATCCCCAGACTTTCTGTAGCAGTCTAATCACAGACTTCCCAATGCAGTTCAATGAGATGAGAAGTCTTTGCAAGGTAGGTGATCTGAAGAATTGCAAATTCTTGAGTTTTGCTTCACTAAGCTAAACAACCAGGAAGTAACAGAAACAGCTGTCGGAAAGCCAGGGGATGTAACCAGGTTACTTTATAAATGGATCATTCTATATTGAAATCTGTACTTTTTGTAAAATGAAAAAAACAAAAAAAAAACAAAAAAAAACAAAACACAATATATAGCACTTCAGCAACCCAAAGTGCTCTAGTGGTCTGAAAAGTTAAATTGCTTTTCTGAAACACATTCTATACTGCTCAAAATTGAAAAAGAAAAAAAAAGTAAAATGTACACTTTGTACTTGAAAATACACATTACCAACACATCTTTCAATGCAGACAGAATTAAACACAAGTGGAAGGACACAAGAATTCAATAGAAACAGGCAATATAAAAATTAACCAGACACCTGACAACTAGAAGATGTCCAGTGTGTAACTGAACAGTCTGGCAACTCTGTTCACGGCTGTTTTCCCACTAATGTAGGGTGCCTGAGCAGAGTCGGTGGGAGGGGGGTAGGGAGCACAGCTACGGTGTGTAATGGGCACAGGAACATAATAGAATGGCATATCCCTGTATCTGTGCACAAGTTACATTAGGTTTGAGACTCCGGTTCTAAATCATTCAGCTTTTACCTTTAATTTGAGTAAATTGTGACTGGAAATAAGTTAACCCTGTGAATGCAGAAAGCTCTCTTATTAGGTAAACAGGATGTGACAGTTCCAAATGAAATTCAATCTTCATTTTCTCTGACTTGCAAGTTGTTATCTGCTAGAGGAAGCTACCACAGACATTTATCAGAGTCAGCTCTATTTTAATTATTGTCATCTTAAAGTGAAGAAAAACCTTTTTCAAAGCCAGGATGGAAGAGGGGGGGAAGAAAAGGAGGAGAATGCAGGGTTTTCACTTTACAGGGAGCAAAAGATTTGAAAACCCTTCCATATCAGTAGCATTTATATTTTTTTTAGTAATATAGATGCATGTGATTGTTGCATATATGTTACAAGGTGAGGGTATGCAGGATAAATAACGGTTCAGGCACTCCGAATAACAGAAATAGAAGTTTTATTGGAGCAAAAACAGCAATGTTTCAACCCAACCGGGTCTTTATCAAGCTTGATAAAGACCCATTCTGCTTTTGCCCCAATAAAGCTGCTATTTCTGTTTTCCAGGAGTGCCTGACCTGTTATTTATTCTGCATATCTTGGAAGGGAGGCCTGGCCAGCCCTGGCTTCAGAGCACCTGGGTTATTTGGTGAGTGCGGTATCCAGTATGTTTCTACTAGCTGACGGTATGGCCTCTCTCGTAGCTTTTTGACAAGACTCAAACATTCCTTGCTTGATAGCAATGATTTTGTAATTTAACTTTTTTGGACCAGTCATATAATGGATCAATGACAAAAGTAGATCAAAAGTGAAATATATACAAGCTATATAAGCCATGTGTTCCTAAAAGATTCCGGGTACACACCTTGCAAATTCAAAGTGTTGAGAGAAAGAATAGGTGTGCATGTTTTAGCTACCAGGTGATGGTGTGTAGTGTGCACTGAATATGAACAGATACTATATTACATCCCTTGACACCATAAATTGTTTCTGGACTACATTTCCCATGATGCTCAGCTAGCATTTAGACTCTAAACGCTAGCTAAGTGTAGCAAACTCACCCTTTTAAGGGAGTTTGCCATGAGTTTTTGGAGGGGCCTGCTTGCCAGCCTCCTGCCCTGTGACAATGGCCCCTGGGAGATTGGACACTTTAAAAACAGCATTGGGGCTTATGGACTTGTATTGGACCGTGCTGGCCCTTTAAGAACCGTCTGGGGACATATTGAGACTTTGTGTGACAATGCCCCTTTAAGACTATGTCCCCAGACCTTTAAAATCCTTTGTGCATGGCTTTCTCCCACTTGGTTCAGTAAATGGGGCTTACTGAACCAAGTACCACACAGGCGGACCACCCAGAAGTGGAAGTGTGCGTCTAATTTACCTCCCAGGCTGGGAGGCTGCTGTAGGTAAATTACCGACTGCTGGGGGGCCGCCGTTCGTACAAACGAACATGTGGCGGCGGCCATCTTTATTCAGGGGAACAAGGTCAGCGGTGTGTGCAGTCAAATTAATGGAACTGAAATCGGCTACACATTTAGCCGAACACTGCTGACCCTTACCTTCTCCTCCACTGAGTTTTCAGCCACAGAGACTAAGTCTAGTTCGGCGATTCGAACGCTCATTCGAATGGGACTTAGTCATTTTTTCAGTATGAAATTGACCGACCGCACAGCCCAAATCTATGGAACTGTTTTGGGCAGGAAAATGTGCTTGCGGTCAGTCACAAATAACTTCCGTCTAACTTTTTATCTACTGGAGAGATTTGTATGATTTTTGAGAGTGTTTATATTTAAAATATGCTGATTATGTAATTTTTATGAAGATTGAATGTATAGTTTTAAAATTACAGTACATATATAAAAAGTATATTTTTCCTGCCTGTGATAATTACATTAACCCATTGTGTTCAGTAATTATATCACAGGCAGAGGGGAGGATTTGGTGGGAATGAATGGGAGTGTTTTACTATATTGTACGTGTTGGATTGTTGTTCTTCAAAACCCGGTGGGCGGTACTATGTGTGTAAAATGTGCATAAAAGCAGAATGTTTCATTAAAACTTCAGTGCTACTTCACCCTCAATTTGGAGTGCCGTCTCTTAAGGGAATATGCTACAAGGGATTGCTATGCTAGTCATACTCTCTTGCTATATCACTACTAAGCTCTTGTAAGAGCTTGTTCCTGTCTAGCTCTCTGAAGGAGTCTACGGTGGTTATGGTGTCAGCTGGAGTGCTTGGAGCCCTCAGGAAGCGCTAGGAGCATCCATGAACGGAGGTACCCAGTTTGGGGGCCAGGTGGTCCGTTACACTAATCATGGAAAATGTAGTCCAGAAACAATTTATAGTGTCAAAGTTAGCCATCTGCTCTATGCACTATTGAACACTGGATCTGACACTAGGCCAACAAGGCCTGACTGGAAGACTAATCCTCGTATAATATATTTTTTTTTTAAATGGATTTCTCTTGTTCAGCCAACTGCAGTAAGCAGGACAGGTGGGCGGCCAAATGTACTGGGAAACAAACTCACTCACAGACACAGACAGACAGACCCGAGCAGACATATACACAGACATACTGACTGAAACAAACTGACACATTCTATGAAACACTGTGCATTCTCTCTTATCTTTATTGCACATTGCTCTTCAATCCAGTCTTCTTTAATGCGCCCGGTGGCCAACACTTTTTCCCCAAGCCCCATTTCCCGTTTTTCTCCCGCCCCCTTGTTCCCACGTACAGGGCAAGGGGTGGGAGCGAGTAAATTACACGCCCTTCCGCTGTTTGACTGGGAGAGGGATCCTGACTTAGCCGGCTGTGGTGAATGCAGGACCAACGTTCTACAAAGCGCTATTCTACAAGTAAGTGCTCCCTAGCACCTGGTAACGCGACCTGCTATATATATATATATATATATATATATTCAATCCCACTTGATAGGGGGGCGGCCAGACAAGCAGTAAAGCCACTGCCTGTGCCCCCCCTCCACCCACACCAAGTAGGCGCCCAAGGCCGCCACCTACTTAGCCTATAGGACGCGCCGGCCCTGCTTGCTCATAACTATTCAGATAATTTTTTTATAAAACATGACATAGCCTAATTAAAAACTTTACTTACCTTCTTTTGCCAAATACAGCTCTTTGAATTTTGCCCTCTTTTGATTAAATTCCTGCTCAAGTTGCTGTTTAGTGCGTAGAAATTCTGCATTGTTTTTCTCTAGTTCTGCTACCCGTTCAAGGAGAGAAGCTGCTAAATGAAAGATAAACAAAACAAAAAAATAAATAAAATTTAAGGGGAATTGCATGTGGATCCATTACTTGCAATAAATCACATTTTCTTCCTACACACACACTATATACACTTGTAACGTGTTAACACTTTAAAGGACCAAAAGTTACAGTTTTGAATTAATTGTATTGGAGGTCAGAAGGTTTACATGCTAAATTCCTCTTTGAAGCTGCTACCCCAACAAAACTACTCTGCAAGGTATGAAAGCCCACACATGAGCTGCCTGTATGTCTAGTTCCAATGTAAACTGACTTCGACCACATAGCCTGAAACTTAATTGATCTGTTAATAACCATTAGCCTTCAAGAAAACCCTTGTGTTCCAGTACCATATCCAAAAGAAACATAATACTTACCCACAGATTAATAATTAAGCCTCATTTTTATTATATTTAGAATGGGACAAGCACAACCTTCTAATAAAGCCTAAACATGATTGGCGTAACTTAAGATATATGGGAAGGGATTGAGATGTCCGCTATAATTGGGTCACAAGTAAGAAGAGTGAAATATCTTTGGAATGGAAAAATGGAAAATATATTATTTCGGTGGCAAGTACAAAAGAGGATATAGGACCAAACGTTTCCATTTGGATTGATGGTGGCCTGGAACACAGGGTATATAACCACTGAAATTTAAATGTGTATAGTACTTGCTTGGGGACAAAATCTAATTTTGAATGAGTCACCATCTGGGTTGGAATATCAGTGATATTCCAACACAGTCAATAGGATTCAGAATGATTCTATCTTTACGAAATACTAATTTTGCAGGTGGGGGAAATGGCAGTGCCACACTGACTGTATGCAAACATAGAATGTTTGCTTATTCAGATTCAGTAGCTGCATGCAGCCCTGCAATTACTTGAATGTCCATTTCAGAACAGTATGCATAAAGAAGTATAGACCGGGAGTGGGTAATTGGTAAATCCCCATATGTTCAAGAACTGCAACATCCACCATCCTTTTAACATAATCTAAAGGCTCACTCTTGGGTTAATCTTTCTTCCGCACATCCATCCTGAGCTCACATCACTATTGTACTCCTGTGCAAGAGTAAGCACAAAGGTCTATGGACAATCTTGTAAGTGATCCTCCTGATATCTAATCTTGCAATTTGTGAAAATATGCCTCTTTTCAACAACCGACTAAATTTGACAGCGGAAGCTCCTACCTTTAGTCAACCTCATCTTTTACTCTGTATTACGCTTTTACTGCATTGGAACTTAATTGAAATTCCAACATAAAAGTAGATATTGAAGTAGACTGGCTACTCATTAGTCAGGAGGTACTTTTGAATGAGCCACATTTAATAATTTAAACTTTACTGAAAATTTCCAAAAATGAAATAAACATAAAACACAAAAGCAAAACACTTGTCTGATACTGAACACAAGTATCCAGAAAGCATGTATCAGGATAAATATGTATGGATCAGAACAATTAATATGTATTTGCACAGGATATATAAACAAATGTATAATATATAAAGGGCATCACATACATTTCTAATGTCAGTCCTCAAATCCACATTTTAGCAATTTAAAAAGCACATGTGGCCAATTAGTCTTATAATCTCACATACACACCATGCGTTTAACTAAACTTGCACTGTTGTTTTTAAATCAATACTCTAACCAGGGATCAGTAAGTAGCTGTCAGGCTTTGGTGGATCAGTATATCACATGAACCTCAATGCAATAATCATAAATTAAATGGAGTATGTATACGGCGGGTTACAAATTTTAATTCTGCAGATACCACAGATCTAAACAACTGACTATTCAATGAATCTGTTATGTCATTGTGAAAAGCACCCAACACCTGAACACCAATATATTTATATTACCTAATGGAGCCTGAAGACAACCTGCCCTATATTAGGTGTGAATCGCTAGCCATACACCTGTTATACAATAGATTGCTTGACTCATAGCTTACACCTCCAAATGCAGGACACACCCGAACACACAAATGAAACTTAAGTTTAATATAATTAAGGAAATGTTGAACGTCAGTGCTCCCGAAAGCACCTCTAGTGGCCATCTGAGTGACTGCCACTAGAGGTGTTATTAGGCAGTACAGGTGGTCCTCACTTAATGACCTACTTGCTTTACGACGTGTCACACATATCACCAGCTCTCTAGCATTGGGATTCAAGGAATTCCCCATGTTAGAGAGCTGGATCGTTTGACTACGTAAATTTCCCTGAACATAAAAAAAAAACAAAAAACAAAAAACAAACAAAAAAAACGCACCAGAGCAGGGAATCCCTCTAATCCAGGGGTGGGCAATCTACTGCCTGCCAGATGTTTTGGACTACATCTCCCACAATGCTCCTAGGGCCATAATGCTAGCAAAGCATCAAAGGAGATGTAGTCCAAAACATCTGGAGGGCCACAGATTGCCCACCCCTGCTCTAATCTATGTTCAGGGAATGTTCCCAGAGTATAACTTGTATAACAAGGTATACCCCTAAATGGCAGAAGATTGAGCTGTGAGACTGCAGGGGCATGGCCTATACACCAAAATTACTACATTAAGGCAAGGTTGTTTTGGTGCTTAGAGTATCCCTTTAATGATTTGGCTATCAATGCCACAATATAATTCAATGCTGACACAGCCAAGGCACACTTTGCAAGGGAACACATATACTATATGCATTGATAAAAAAAGACCCATATATAATAGATAAGGATTGGCGAGGTTAGCACTTGAAATTCTTAATATCTGCCACCTTAAATGCGTATTAACAGCAAGGAAAAGTTGGCAAATGGCAACATCATCCCCTACTCATTTCTCCGTATATTGCTTTCACCCTTTTTTCTCAACCTGTCACTGTGTACTCATTACTGTCCCAATTTCCATAGCCATCTCTTTCCACGTTTTAATATTTTATGAGGCCTTTCCTGCTCGTTTACCTTTGTCAGCTGTTGGTAGCATCATTTCTGGTGTCACATGTTATGAAGCAGTCATATATTGTGCTGTTCTTTAACTAATACTAATCAGCACAGTTCTCCAGCAACTTACTCTGCAGGGATGCATGCCAAAACATCCTGCATCACTGCAGTTTGACCTGCATGGGAGCTGTGTTGATTTCTGCCAGCTAAAGAACATCATGCAGCTGTGCTTTGTATGGCTGTTAGAGGCTATAGCCGTGGAATCACTAGTAGGGTTATTCACTAAAGTTAGAGCCGTCAGGAATTAGGTGAATTTCAAATTTAAGGCAGAAGCAGCCAAACTAGAAGTATAGTGGACTTTGAGCTCTCAGTTTAGCTATTTTGGCCTTAGATTTGAAATAAATTTTGCATTCGATTCTTACTTTAGTAAATGACTCGGTAGGAGTTTGAGAAAGCTGCTGCATGAAAAAATAAAAAAGTAAATTACAAATTTGAAAATTATTTTTATGCAAGTGAATAAACATAGGTTGGATTGAAAGGAGAACGTTTTTTAAAGTCACAATTACCATGGTTTATTATAATTTACAATCCACAGCCAAAGCTGATTATAAATTGAGATTAAGTCTGAGAATGAAAGCTATGTTAAATACCAGCAGGGAACACTAACTGTGACAAAATACAGAGGTCTTTGTGTTTTACGTGTCTTAGCGGTGGTAACATTAATGTGTAAAATGAAGAAGGTATGTACTTCTCTTCCGATATGAAAAACAGCATTAATCATACTCTTTCATTAGAGGTTTAAAGTGTACCAGTTATGACACACACTGCTTAGGATTAGATTAAAATACATTACATTTCATCTATACAGGTGCTAGCTGAAATCTAACTGAAATTTATATATTTAATGTACTACTACTTTAAAAAAAATTGGACAATCCGGCACGTCACTCAATCCTAAGTATAGACCTCTCTTTGCTAGCGGCACGAGACGAGGATTGACTGACTGGAAGAGCTGGAGAATGCCGTAGATCCTAAAATTATAATCTGCTTACCAAGTTAGTTTGCGACAGGAGCACATTCATCGCAAAACAGGTCACATGCTACATGCTTCTTCTTCTTTAACCCTTTATGGGAATCATGACATGTCATACATGTCATGTGTCCTTAAGGGGTTAAAGCGGCACTGTCATGCCAAACTTACCTTTCTTCCTCTCTCAGAATATAGGGAGCCACCTACTAAAAGGTTCTAAGTACAGATTGCTTAGTATTAGTAATTAAGGGAGATTAAAATCTCCCTTTTGCCTTGTGACACTGTCTGGCTGTCAGACAACTGCTTTTGTTACTTCCTGGAAGTTTAGCTCCAGTTTCCTGCTGGAGATCATCAAGTTATACGTGGATGCCTATAGGACCATTCTAAAAATTGTTTTGAGATGACTATGGCCAGTTGGCTGTAGTTGTTATGGTGTTTAGAGTGTCCGTTTTATGATTAGAGCATTGAAAAGTAGCAGAATTGGTTTGGCTAATCCTGTATTTATAAAAAGTGCTCTGTATCAATTGAGGCAAAAACAGTCTATTTCAGTGTGTGTATATATGTATATATTTCATTAATTCATTGTACAGAGGCTATGCACACACACACACACATAGATATATAGAGAGAGAGTTTTAATGAGCAGTATACTTTCATCTAACTTGTACGTATCATTACGTATGCAGTTTTTTTTTCCCGTTATAGCAGACTGCTTTCCAAGGTCTGAATCTAAGGTTTGTTCATGAAAGGCTGCATCTGTACTTGTAGAAATAAAAGATCTGCTGCTCTCAAGCTGGCCTTGTATAAACTAGCCAAAAAAAGAAAAGTATTAAAAGTAATAAATAAATTTTTTTTAAAAGTTACAATTTGTGCATTTAAACTTTTTCTCTCTTTTTAAATTTTTTTATTTTGCAGTGCATATATAATAAAGATATTACCACAAGAACAAGCATGCTATGAAAAGTTGGCAGTACATGTCAAGATTACACCACCTTTTTATTAGAATTGTAGCAACATCTAAAATTAGAGGTACGTGGCCTAAAAGAAACAGAAGTCAGAGTTCTCAAGAATATAAAATGATGCAATTATTATTCACAGTATAGTACTACGCTGACCTCTAGCAATGAAGTAATAGAATATAAAAGGATAATTATGTGTATATGAGTGGTATATTAAAATAAGCAAACCGAGCTAAGTATCTGCACAACATTTGCTATAGAGTTGAATATTAATTTATGAATGGGGTATTAAAGTAAGCAGAGTGTGGTAGTGTGGTATCTGCACACTATGAAGTTATGTGGACAAGGGTATGCGTAAATATAAGCTTGATAGACAAGTATTAAAGGACCCCTATAGTCACCCAGACCACTTTAGCTCAATTAAGTGGTCTAGGTGCCAGGTCCCCCAGGTTTTAACCCTTCAGATGTAAACATAGCAGTTTCAGAGAAACTGCTATGTTTACATTGCAGTGTTAATCCAGCCTCTAGTGGCTGTCTTTCTGATGCTTTCCTATGGGCGTTTTTAATGCGTGCGCAGCTATGGCCGTGCATGCACATTCCACTCCACTCGAGAGCTGAGGTCACCAATGCCGAGGGAGCGTGGCACTGGATTAAAGTCAGAAGCTGAAGGGCCTTCAGCCCAGCGGGAGGGGGGGGACCTAAGGGTTATATAGTGTCAGGAAAACGAGTTTGTTTTCCTGACACTATTGTGATCCTTTAAAGAAACATACAGTGTCAGGGATACTAAAAGTGTATTCTTCACACTACAGTGTTCAAAACATTTATGTAGCCAGTCCACTTTTCCCCTGTGAAAAGGTAATACAAATGTACCTTTATTCCAGCAGTGCACGGGTCTGCCATGGCTGGCCTCGTCCCCGCTCTGCCTCCTTGGCTGAGAACATCAAAAAGATCTCAGCCAATCCAATGCTTTACAGTAGAAAAGCATTGGGAGGCTGATGCGCTGCGCCAATCAGAATCTCCTCATAGAGATGTATTGAATCAATGCATCGCTATGAGAAACATTCTGCGCTGCACATTGTGAAGTTACATCTGATGTTACTACTGCAAGGGATTCTGGATGGGTATATGCAAATTAGTTAAACAAAGCCGCAAGACAGTAACCAACCTCATGCTGGCGAGTTGCATTTATAAAGAAACAGCTGTCCATGAGTGGTTCACTGGCTTTGCATCTCTTCATGAGTTGTTTCAAAGCTGTTGTATACAGAAAACACAAACTCCAAGGAATTAATGTTTAAAATGGAATATTGAGGCAAAGATTTGATTCTTTGTTGAACTCATTTGCATATGCCCACCCAAAATCTCTTAGAGTAGTAACATCACTGCAGATTTGAGCTTTCTGTGGGAAAAGCAAGTCTTATGGCTTTACTGGTATGCAGATCTGTGTTTAACATTGACAGAGAGGTGCAGGAACCATATAGATTCTGCTGAAGAGACCCTTTGTCATACTAATGGCAGCATAACCACTATACTGAGCTGTTAGTAGTTATGTTGTGGAGACTCTCCCTTTAAAATCGATTTTGTGTGTGGAAAAAGGTGCACCAAAAGCCTTTACAAAAGTACCAGCTTATATATAAAAATAAAGAAAATTAGGCTTTCCCTTGAATATTTAAGATAAAAACAGTTGCACTTTTGAAATATATTTTCATTTGACTTAAGGTTTCAATATTTTTGTGCATGTACATTTTGTAAATGTACATTAGGGCTGCAGAAGCTAACACAACCAGTGAAACGTATGCAAATCTGTAAGAATTTATATATAAGAAAACATACAACATAGGTTAATACATCCACATGGACATTATACATGTATAAGTTCTGATCAAATTTAAATCGAGAATTTGATCTATATATATTTGTTCAACCATTACTTTCCTCTTTCATATTAAGTGCACTCACACTTATTATATAGCATCTTGTTTAGGAGAAACATGGCTTTCATTTCTCATCATAAATGTATATATTAAACAATTTAATATGGATAAAATCTTAAAAAGTAAAGAAAAAAGTGAAAAAATAAGATTTTATATTCCTAGTTCAGCATGGCTTAACTGTAAATGTCATAATGTTGAATGTTCGTACTGCAATAAAACATAGTTGTGTTCAGTCATGTCTCACAAGTACAACAGCACCCCCATGTCTAGTATAGGGTTTTCCCCTTTTCAGTTTTTACACATTGAAATTTGCCAGATTTGGTTATGTTGCCTTTGAGACCGTATGGCAGCCCAGGAATGAGAATTACCCCCCTCGTGGCATACCATTTGCAAAAGTAGACAGCCCATGCATTCAAACTGGGGTATGTCTTTTTTTTTTTTTTTTTTTTAAGTAGCCACTGAGTCACAAACACCTCACCAAAGTTAGGGTTCAGATTTGTTTTTTTGCATTTTTCACACCAAGTGCACCTTTACTGATGAGATCATCGCCGTGATAAGTTTTACTGTTTTGAAACAAACACTCATTTGTATTCTGCAGTCTCCGGAGTACAACAGTACCCCCCCATGTACAGGTTTTATGGCGTCTTGAAAGGTTACAGGGCTAAATATAGGGCTTGCAAATTTATTTCTCTGGGCTTTGTCAGTTAGGTCCCTCAAACTGTAATTTATGAAAAGAAATCACACAATTATGTAAAAGTTTAACATGAATATACACATCAAATTTAAATTTAAGTCCACTTAGTATAGGACGGCATTGTATGCGCACCAGCTGAAAGGGGTTAAGGAACAGCAATAATTGTTCTTGGAATGTTGTTATACAAGTCCTTAACTGTGAAGGCAACATTCAACATATTGCAACATTCTTAGAAAGGTAAAGCTTCCAGCTCCTTGAAGAAACTTGAGCAGTTCAAAACATAAAAACATAGTTTACACTCTGTGCTCCAAAATGTTATACAAAATGTTCAATTAATTTTAGATCTGGTAACTCCATCCTAACATTCATTAACCCCTTACTGTCCTTAAAGGGACACTCCAGACACCTAAAGCATTATAGCTTACTGAAATGTTTTATGTGTGAAAAGTTTATCCTCTTTTGCATTTTATAAATAGTGCTGATTTCAAAAGAAATTGGCACTTTTATAAATGAACATTGTTACACTGAGCTGGCTTTCAATCATACAACTGGTCCTGTTACTTCCTAGCTTGTTTAGCTCTGTGAACCTAAACTAAGAGTCAGCAAATGTTGAGAGCACGTTCTTTGCAAATATTTGCAATTGGACCGCCGCAGTGGGACATACGTGGCTAGTGAAATTCCCCAGGAAAATGAAACAGGGACGGGAAAACAAAAAACTAAAAATTCTAAAAATATATGCATTTATTCAGTGAAATAATGACTACAAGTGTGGATGAAACTAGGATTTAAAGACGAAGAAAAAAAAAAAGATTTTAATTGGATATTTTTTATTTTAGTCAATTATATTTTAATGAAAAGCTTTTGGAGAATTTTTTTTTCAAGAGTTTCATTTTTAGAATTCAATACATTATAATTCAAAAGGTTATTCAGAATGAAATAGAGCTATGCAATATAGGACTGCACATTCATGCAATATTAACATTTTTGGTAACTAATCTAAGTTATTCAAGCTAAGATAACATGCACTTTAACATGCAAGTAAAAATAACAAAATAAACAAAAAGTTCAGGAAAAGACCTTAAACCCATTGTTCAAACAATGAACACATTACCTTAAGTACTAGGTTTCAAGATTGTTTGGAGTGAAATGCATCTGTACCAGGATGTAAGTGTAAGGAGGGAGGGGCAAGCAGTAGAATGAAACTTAAACCTGAGCAGCTTACAAACTTTGGGATCTTGGTTCACATAGGTTTAGGTGCTTTATTTCCTCCCTTGAGGAGCAAAATGGCAGCAGGCCATAAGAGACACAGCTTGTGATTATTTTAATGATGTTCCTCTAAATATGGGTAAAGCACATAAATGCAAGGCCTGGTGGCCCCAATGAAACATCATTAGAAGTGCTGTGAAGGCTTTATTTTATTTGACAGTAAACAATTGAACTGTTTTTATATTAAATATATATATATATATATATATATATATATATCCATTACTGTTACTGCATTTGTTCTTGTAGACAGTGACTGTGCAGTTTTTTCTAAAACTGCAGTACCAAGTGCAGTGGGGAATCTGCACCCAGACCACTTCAATGAGTGAAAGTTGTCTGGGTGCCTAGAGTGTACTGGTAAAATTTATAACTACCATTAAAAATTAGTCTGCACTTTTCAAAATCATGATTTAAATAGAGTCTTATGGATTAGTGATATAAAGCGACATGATTTAAATCAAATCCACCTTGCTGAATGGGGTGCTAGTGATAGGTTTAGAGTGTCGGCTCGCATTCTCCTCCTGTCAGTAGGCTTCTTGATTGACGCCTGACCAACAAAGGAAACAGCTGGGCACCATCTTCAAAAATTTGGTGTTTGTTCATTAACTGATCAATATTCTTAGGTACGAAGGTAAGTGGCACCTCATCACACCTTAAAACTTCACTGGGTTGAAGTGGTTATAGTGCCTGGGATATCCTTTTAAGAAACAAGTTAACGTGTAACTGTAACCAATGACTGAAATAACACTCTAGTCCCCCATACTTTCAAGCGCTATGAGATAATGCATTACAAAAAGGGGAGGGGGATGAAATGTGCAGTTTCTGTGAGAACAGGAAGTAAAGATTTTCACAACTCACTGCTTTTTGCTTTCCATTCAGATTTCTGTTCCTATATTCCCAGCAGAGAAAGAAACAACAAATGTTTGTACCTTAAAACCCATTTCTGTAGGAAAGCTTATGGCCTCCCAGACTAACCTCTACCTCACATACCTGTCTCTTGCTCTCTCTTATAGGGCAGCACTCTACGCTCTCCTCCAGCATTGCTTCACACCCACCTTATTTGATTGCTATTTCCTGTCCCAATATGTTTTATACCCCACCTCCTATCTACTGTAAGCTTGTTTGAGCAGGGCCCGCTTCAACCTATCGTTTCTGTAAGTTTTCTTGTAATTGTCCTATTTATAGTAAAATCCCCTCTCTCATAATATTGTAAAGCGCTACAGAATCTGTTGGTGCTATATAAATGGCAATAATAATAATAATAATAATAATATTTGCGCAGATATGTGCAATCAGTTGATCCTAGGTATGAACATATTGGTGCAGTTATAATAACTAGGAGAAAGAGTTTCACCATAGCCTATGCAAGAAACATAGGGAATCAAGGTGCTTGGAGTGTCTTTGATTTAAGAAAACAATGATATTAGTAAATAAAATTTCCTAAATGTTTCCAGTGCATTCTCAGCCACTCAAAGTAATATGCGGGTGTATATGGAAAACGTACATCAAGAAATTTCTGTAGAAATGAGATTGCAAGCCGGATACTCAAAATCTCCCTTGTAGATTAGTGTCAATCAGATAAAAGGTTCACCAAGCACAATAACTTTGAATCATTGAAAACGTTTTGGTGCAGAGTCGTCCTACTCCTGCGTAGAGCACACAGTGGCTTATAAATGCAGCTTATTGAAGAAGATCTATCTTTTTTTAGTATATTATAAAGATACATTCTTTATGAAATACTCATCAAGACTGCACTGGTATTTAACAGAAATGCCAACGCAATCCAAAGATACCATGAGAGAAAGCAGGGACTACCTTGTCTTATGGTAAATTATGAGGTTGCCAAAATGCGAAGCTCTGTCGTCAACTTCTTTTCCCATCCCAACATTACAGATGTGTGATTCAGGTATCGATTTATGAAGGATACCAGTCTTACAGGATCATCAGACCTAAGTGTCTTACTCTCATGCGTGAGTGAGAATACAGTACTAATGCGGCTCCTGGTAACTAAAGAGAGCTAGGTGCTGAAGAGGACTTGCAAGACAAAGATTGTGGAGGCCACAAGGGACAGCTTCAGGCAGGTAAAACTTACCTTTACCTGCACCCCACAGTCACCAGGCTGAATCTTACTTTCAGGCATCTATGCAAAATATGGCTGGTTCTATGACCTTAAAGAAGGAATTTTATTTTCTACACAGACACCCACGATCCATCCAAAATGTGTGTGGACATCTCACTCCCTGGCTCTGAAGATAGACCCACCCATTTATATGTGCAGTCAGATTCTCAGGCACTCTCTACATACAGACAAAACCAAAGCATACTGTGAATAAACAGCCACAGCCCTCGTTCTGCAGTGCCACTCATCTAGTTATTGAAAACAAATAACCTCACCCCCAACATAGAACAGAATGAGAGAATCATGATAGGTGGAGTTTGAAATGGTCTGTGCAAGTGCTGCAATTTCAGGAGTACGAAAGACAATTTTTCATCATTTTTTATTTTAATACCATATTTTTTATAATGCATTAAATTCTGGGGGTCACATCCCACATGCGGTGTTCCTGTTCACAGGCCAAATGTTCCCATGGCTTTCTGATTAATGAGTCAATCCACCCAATATAATATAAACATCACACAAAGACTTATAAGTAGTTTAAAATGTTCATTGAGTGGATTGGTCGACCCGTTCCCTCCTGAAACCCCACACACGGCCGATGTACCAGTAGGAAGTGAAGGGATCCGTAATTTACTATGCAGTAATGTAAACACTGCCTTCTCTTTGAAAAGGCAGACTTTACATTGACAAGCCAGCAGAGATAGGCTATAGACACCAAGCTAATACATTAAGCTGTAGTAGTTCTGGTGACTAATGTTCCTTTAAGAATTGTCGTTGGGGGGGGGGGGGGGGGGGAAGCCAACTTTTTTTTTTACCTGGCTCCTAGATTGAAAGCAAATTTGCAAGCCCTGCATTAGGGATTTTAAAGCATCTGAAGCTGTCGAACAACCTTGCGGGCTCAAGCATAATTCATTTAGCAACAATTCCGATTGCATTTGGAGGATTTTGCTTGGGGCTGACCTGCTGACTAAATGTGGCCTATCCTTCCACTTTAACTTCTCTGAAATCTGCAAAATACAAAATTATCCCTGTATTCCCTCCTGTGGGTAAGGGTTATCCAGGCACTTACTGCTAAGTTTTACAGTGACTCACAAATAGCATTGGCGAGCAAACTACAAAACTCCCATCTTCTCTAAAATAATGGATGTCATGTGCCCAACCGACTGCCAAGACAAGCCGTCCCTTATGTTGGCTTAGTTGTTTTAGGAATTCTGGTTCAAGCTCAGAAATCACCAGCAAGCCTCTGTGGATGTGCTGCAGATACCTACCCTACCGCCGCCTCTATAGTTGTGTGTTCCTCACATTCAGAAAAGGCACGTGATTAACACGGCCCAAGAATCTGTGAGCTTCAGACATCGCGGTATTGTCCACAAAAGCGGGTCAGGTACCAGCATTGCTAGCTACCACTTTTATCATGGGTGTCTGGGCCTTAGACTGGCTCCTTGATGAAACGGATGACGTAGCAGTTTGTGGGACTCCTTTATGGTCTTTCATTACCTGGGACTCCGTCACCTCTTAAGCTTCTGGTCCTTTGAACACTAAGTAAATTTTGGGACTGTATTCTGCCCTCAGAGGGCATAGGTTGACCTAGGATCCATTATTTGGCCTGCTTAATCATGCCATTAACACGTTCTTCACTTATGATAGTCTACCATAGTCTCTTAACCTAGTTAAGTTGATGTTTGCTCTTACAATATTAAAACAAAGTGCAATTTACTTAGATTTTATGTTATGAAACCACTAAAGCAGCATAGGCGTGGAACACAAGTATACCCTGAATGTTCATTTTCTGCAGTATAATCCCTAGCTCTGACCTTTCTCCATTGACATCCCCCTAACCAGCCAGACTACAAACACAGAAACTGTGCTATCCAAAGTGTAAAACATCTTTCACAAATACCAACTCATTAATAAAATGTCATCAGCAGTAAATCTATTTTACTCCAAAGAGTCTAATAAACTGAACTTAAAAAAAAAAAAAAAAATTGGGGGCGGAGCCTGACTAGAGAACAGAGCAGACGTGTTCTGAATCAGCTCCTGTGCACCGAGCATAAAAACGGCGAATAACTCAAGCCGCACTGCGCTCACCCTTCTACAAGTGGGCCTACTGGACTTGGGAAACCGACACGAACCCAAGGACACCACACTCGAGGTCCGGTGTAAGCGGGCACCGCATCGGCAGACTGGGGCCTACAGAGGGAGGTGGCGGAGAAAGGCAGCCGCTTTCCCGCCAAACGCACACGGCTAACAGTAAGCTTGTAGCACAACCTCCCCCCCCCCCTATGGACCGGTGGGGGTCATCCCGGTCCCCCCTGGATAACGGGGGCAACTCGACACAGACTCACAGGAATAAGTTTGTAAAGCAAAGGAGAAACCTGGCGGACGAAGCCCCTAAAATGGCGGCGGTAGCGTACACCTTCACCTTCCCAAGCGAGAGCCAGAGGGGGAGAGCCGAATAGACAGGGCCTTCCAAATATTCTGGGAGCGACTGGAAGCTCTACTGTCCCCAGGGATGGGGCCCAACGCCCGAAAACACACTCAATTAAGCAAAACCACACGGAGGAAGGCACAGTCACCCCAGGCACCGAATCGCCCAGCGGGACAGAGGCTGCGAGAAACTAACAGACAAAAAGTAACCGGAGACCCGAAAGGCGACAAAAAAAGCAAGGCGGCAACCTTCGGGAGCCGGCAAGTAAAGATGCAGAAGCACTCTGGTCGGTCACTCCACATACCTGATGGTGGTGTTCCGACACTGAGAGGAACGCACAGAAGAAACACACGCACCGCACCAGACCCGACAGGCAGTAAACAAGGCAGCGCGACCTTACCCGTTACAGTCCACGCTGCACCTCGAGTAGCTGAGAGACTGCACTCATTGTGGGTCACAACTGGAATGGATCCCAGACAAGGGGGCATCTTTGTACAGCCCTACCACAGCTTTCCGACCCTGGGCATAGGCTGAATGTTTATTTGCATGGCTGCGCAGAACCACCATGTGCACCATGGACATGCCGGCCTGCGGCCGCAGACACCTGGCACTATATAGATTACATCATTAATGAACATTTTGTACTGCCGCATATGTCTAGGTTTGTTTTTTCTCCTCTTTTGTCTTTTCGGGTATACCAGCCTAAGTCATTACAGTCTTGAGAATTGCTCGTAACGCCTTTAACATGTAAAACGCATTAGGCTCTGAGTAAAGGAGATACAAGAGGGTTATGCTATGCTATTCTGTGCAGCACTGTAAACTAGAACATGGCTTGCTTAATACCATACTACAGCCGGTTATGATAAAGCACTATGCCATATGTTTCACCCTCCCCTCTTGTGTATAGTGCACATCACGCTTGGTATTTAGCATTGATCCAATCGAGTTGCCGAGGGCGCTAGCATACTACTCATTAGTATATACAGCATACAATATATGTTTAAGCTTCACCATACTGTTTAGTCATACAAGTTGGTTTAACCCTTCGCATGTTTCCTATCTTAAATATAAAAACTGTGCAATGTCTTTCAATGCCATAACTATGTTACTATATGTTTCCATATCTGCTTGCACTAGCTATCGTGGCAGTGTAAACATGAATGTTCACGCTATGCACAAATAAAATAAAGAATTAAAAAAAAAAAAAAAAAATTTAGATACAGCGCTATCTTGTGGGACAGCAAACACTGATGACTGGGATTCCCTCAAACCCCAACAGATGGCAAAATTCACAATATAAAAAACAGAAAATATACAACACTTGACAATGTATGAAAATGTTAATATATAGTTTAGGAAAAAAAACAAAAACATATTACAGTATTTTTATAACAGTCCCAAAAGGTCTTTATGAAGAGAAAGTTCCCTATAAGATGGACAGTTCCAGTAGCAGTTTGATATCTTCAACGGGCCAGCAAATGGGATATGTAACAAAAATAAACACAAAATAGGCCTATGATAGTATTGTATTTTCAAAAGTGGTGAGGTAATATAAAAGGAAGTGGAAAAACACTCACAAAAAAGAAGCCATCAACTAGCTTACGATCAACATGTGGTGGTATAATCCTGATCAAGGACGTAGCAAGTGGGTAAATATGCAGGACGTGCAACAAGTGTGGATGTAGTCTCAACCAAAGTCTGACGGAGCACCTCATACGTGATATGTGAACATACGCATATAAAAGATATCAATAGTGTAGTATTTTTTTGTTTCAGGTAACAAACATCAAACACATTTATAAGCACAGAGCTTCACAATCAGCTCTAAGCAAACAGCATGGGATGGTAAAACCCCCACTCTGAGATATAGGTAGACAGTTTTCTTCAAAAATAGTCAGAAGAACAGAAGTTGCAAACCTAAAAGGAGAAAACTACATGGGGCTTTCCGCTTATACCAATGTGTAGGAAAAATTTTTTTAAATATACGTAGGGTTTTTGGAGCAATTTTATTTGCTCTATGAAATCAGCTTGGGTGATGTAATCCCACTTAGGATATATGAAGATAGAACCAGGTGTAATGCTGGAGGAATTGTCAATATAGTATGTGATGCCAGAAGAGACTAAATATTGTAAATCCACAGACGGTATAGCAGCAAACACTGGTATTTTCTATGGGCAAAATAGACATAAAACAATAACATTAAAATCAAAAGGTTCCACAAATTGACAACGCGTTTCGCCAAATAGGCTTTTTAAAGTGAAGAAACAGGAGGTCCTGAGGGGGAATGAAAATTTATAGGGCATCTAAAATTAAAAAAAATAAAATAAATTAAAATAAAAAAAAACATGGTCAGTGACGTCAATAACTAATAAGTATCTCATGATACATACAACCTTATTGACACATGAAAAATATTTTAAAAAGCCTAAAAAAAAAAAAAATTGTGTTAATTTTGGGGGAAGAAATTAGATTTTAACCAGTCATATATGAGAAATTTTTAATATTTTGTCCTGAGAACTATTTCCGATACAAAAAAAACGCATTGTCCATGATGAGCAGTCGAAACTGTGATTATAGGACTACGATACAATTAAAAAAGATTCTGTAGACAAAACTCATTGTGAATTTACTGATCCTTTTGATTTTAATGTTCTTATTCCTTTATGTCTACTATATTTAAACATATTAAATACTAGTGTTCACTAGTATACCTCATGTGGTTATCGTCATTCCTACAATTTAAATTTCCTCTGCTGGTACTGAAGTCTCTTCTGGCATTACATATTGAGGTTTCCACTGGCATTACATCATCTAGTACTATCTTCAAGTATCCTAGGTGGGGATTATACTACCCATGCTAATTTCACAGGGCAAGTAAAATCCTCCAAATAACATAAGAATTGTACCACTCCCTGCAGTTTTCTTTGAGCGGATTGTGAAGCTCTGCGTTTTTAAGTGATTTTGACTGTTCTCATTTAGACCACCTGAAACACACAAAAAGTACACTATTGATATTTTGTATATGCTTCACATTTAACATGTGAGATGCTCCATCAGACTGACTACAACCATACACGTTGCATGTTTACTTATCTGCTACATCCTTGACAAGGATTATGCCACCACATGAAGGTTGATTTCGCACTAGCCTTTTTAGAGTGTAGTTCCTCCTCCTTTTATATTAATGCTCCACTTTTGAAAATACTACACTATCACAGGCCTATTTTGTGTTACATATCACATTCGCTGAACCGTTGAGGATATCAGACTGTTACTGGAACGGTCCATCCTATAGGGAACTTTCTCTTCATAAGGACCTATTTGAGACCATTATAAATAAGACATACATTTTTTTCAAGTCGTATTTAAATTTTCCCTAAATTGTCTAGTGTTGTATACCATTTATTATGTGCAACTTTTTTTTACATTACGAATACAGTTCATTCATACATTATGTGAACATCATGCAGACTCCATGTAATAAGTACAGCTATTCTAACACAGTTTGACTGCTTAGATAGGGAGGGGGTGGCACAGGACCTACAGCACCATAACCTCTACGTGAGCTGGATTGATTAGAGTGTTTCTTTTAAGGGAAGCTTTTTTTTTTTTTTTTAAATCTAGTCGATATGTAATGGACTAATGCTAATCACAGATTAAAAAAATAAATAAAAAAACACAACCCTGAAATTTAGAACACTTATAACATAGGTACACATGTACCAATAACGTACCATTGCACCCCATACTGCTAAAGAATGACAGCATACAAATTCATGTGTGCAACAACGCACGCCAGATGACAATTACCATAGCTATAATTATTAACACATAATATTATGTGTATTATTAACTACATGCCAATCTTGCCACAAACCACCCTAGGTGTGATAGCTCACACAGCTTTTGAATTAGACAGGTTTAGCCTGCCTGGAATACTTTTATGGTCAGCCAAAAATACTTTGACAATTAGTGATGTATTATATCAACTGGTTTTAGCATCAAGTTAATGTAGCTGTACAGTAAGATTGGACCAATCATTCAGGAAGTCTATTGATAATTCAATATTTACTGAAAAAGCTTACTGTCTTCCTCATATATTTACTTGTTCTTGGCCTTAGGATACACGCATCATTTGTCAGGAAGCCTTTAATAAATTATCACCTACTTTTACTCCCTTCTACAGTTTCCACTATTGCAATAGCAGTCACACAAAAACAATCAGTGGCTAGATCTATTCATATTTAAAAAGACACTAGTGTATAACATCCCGTGTGATGATTTTAAGGAGACAAAGATCTGTTATGGGCAAATGCTAATATTACAAGTTTTAGAATGAAATGTTGTATTTCTTAAACTGTGTACTTTGTCTTTAAGAGATATTGCAAACTGACAAGGTGTTAGAAATGGAACATATTGTTTTTCATAACTGTTTCTTTAAACAATAACCTCAGTGCATAATATGTTTGCGCCATTTTGTCCCAGACGAATTACAATAACAATAATGCATAAACAAGCTTCAAGGCTATACTACGACACTTGCAGTACACAATATACCGTGGTAACCCCAAGTTAATGGAACTTCCCCAAATCCGGGAATCTCCCACGACTGTACACTTACGACTTAGTATAAACAACAGATAACCTATTCAGACTTTAAGATGCCATCTTGAACTAAGTCAGGAAAATTTCCATGACGTATACACCCTTTAGTTATGGCCTTGTATGTTTGCCAAGTTAAGGGAGGTCCTAAATTGAATAAAGTAAAAGAAGTGTTACTTTTTCATATTTGAACTACTGTAACCTAAAATGGAGACACCTAAGGTATAAATAGGTGTACTTTTAAATGTTAAGATACAGAGGAGAGACTTGGAGACAGACGCTGCTCCATCTTAAAATGACAGAGAGGCTGACATGATGACATGTTCAGAAGGGTATGTTAACCTATTAATGATATTTGCAAGCATGTAATTTAATCTTATAAACTCTGCTATAATGGATTTTATATTTTTATATAATAAATATCCAAAAAGACAATCTTGCTTCCAAGACAATCCTTATTTTATATTGTATTCTCAATTATTTATATATGTTAAATAGAGGATCTCTTACACTATATAAAATTATGGCTAAGATATCTGTATGGTTAGCCCTACTAAGTTCTATGCTTTAAGACATTATAGTGGTAAATAAGGGAACCACACACGGTTACAATTGGCGACCACGAAGGGACTTTGTACTTGGAAGCTTTAAATATAAAATAAATACCTAGGTAACCTCTTATACGTAAGAGAAGACACAGTACTTTGTCATGGCACAAGTCTTGAAATATCAAGAATCTATTGAGCTACTTGTAGCCCAGACTCAGGGAGAGATCATTAGAGATGATTTTAATGTGAACAAGGCACTGTGAGTTTAGGTGCCAGGTACAACGTAATTAGCATACAATGCTGAAATTGTGGATCTTAACTAATATCATAATAGAACAAATGCCTAATACACCAGCATAGCATGGCCCGTTAGTTCCAGGACAGTGGATTGCAGACAGGGGGATATGTTCTCTTTGTAGCTGCTTAGTATGCATGCGCAGGAAAAAGATTAATGCAAAATGTTGTCAAAAGAAAAGTGATGAGACAGAGCGATGAAATTTGAAGTCTAATTCCAAGAATGCAAAGAAAAATGCATTATGGCTTAATGAAAACATTCATGCAACAGACAGACAGGATTTTTAATTATTGCATTACTGCGTTCTGGATTCTAATGTCCACTATATAAGAAAGGTTTTAGAAAACAGTGATATTTTCCATATTGTCAGTTAGGCTAGCTGTTGATTGAAAATCAGGAATTATAACAGCATAACTATGTTTGGAGTCTGGAATTTCCAGCCAAGGTTGCGGAGATAGAGACATGTAAACATTCCAAGGAATTGAGAAGTCGTTTTATATTCCAAATTATGAACAACATTATTACATACAGCCATAAAGAAAAATACATGGCTTTTAAATACATTCAATGCAGTATATATTTTATATAACATATGCTAACTAGCTCATATTTTTTCCTAAACAGAGTTGAAATTATACTACCCTCCTAGAAAAAAGGGCAACAGGTGGTTATACATCCTTTGCTTCTCTAAATTCTCTGCATAAATAAATATTGATAAAATGATTACAAATAATATATACGTAAGATAAAGCGGGGCAAAATAAAATTGTAACTATACAGGATCTCTGATAACTTTTAAACTGAAATTATTAAAGGCTTATTTAAATAAAATGTTAAATACATTTACAGCTTTAACTGTGACCAAAAGATACTAAATGATGTGTTAATTAGCCAGCCCAATTCACTAGAATAGCATAAGTATTCTACTATTTAAAGTGCACAATTCCTGCACATAATGACTTTGCTTACTTAGGTACAGTATTTAGTCTATTGCAATGGCAGTAAAGTCCACCAATTTTAAAAGGGAAAGCTTACTTAAATCATTGGTACTATCCCTCCGTACTAGCAGTAAGGAAATTAGAACAATTATATTGTACTACTGACTGTAATCAGATCAGACACATGTAATCTCAGTGAATTTCATAAACTAGGTTTTTATAAAATACGATTAAATAAATAAAAGTATATAGACTAGGCAATAACAGCAGTTACATGCATTCAGCAGCCTGCTCTCTCAGAGCCAGAAACGGATTAAAATAAATAAATAAATATAAAGAGTAGGTTTTAAAAAGTCCACAGTCAACCACACATGAAGGGTGAAATAATTGCTTCTTTAAAAGCTATATGCTGCTGCAATTATGTATATAAATACTGATTAGGGCACAGAGTAGAAATAAAAATACAGTTTCAAATCTCATATATGGGGATTCAGTTCCACCACATATTCTACAATTCTGAAAGAGGCTAATTTTAATAATATGTTGTAAGGGCATTGTGAATATATATAATGCAAAATTAATTTGATATTGCAAAGCCTGCAATATTCTAAACAGACATTAAAATAAAAAAAAAGAAAAGAAAAATAATAATGCATAAAGAATAATGCATAAAAAAATGCAGTGTCAATTAAAGTGATAATACTCTGATATATTAAATCACATTGCATATCACATATCTGCTAAATGAAAAGTATAATTAAAGTGACATTACTGTCCAAAGCCCCCTCACATCTATTTTATAGAATCTATACTTTTCAGTGGTCACCTCCAAAGAAGCCTCTGAAATTGGGGGGCTCAGAGGGGTGCTCATCCCAAAAGAAATCAGATTCCAGACTTAAATTTTTTTTAAAATAAATAAATGATAGAAAAGGAATCACGGGAACACCCAGAACATGCATTTTTATATATAATCTTAATTTGCAGATATTTTATGCCTTAAAGACATATACAGGATATTTTATTAAATATGCAGGTATCTTTAAAAATTAAACAATGTTAAAAAAAAAAATAAATAATAATAATAAAAAAAAAAAATTTACACCAAAATATAAACAGCTTTGTTAAACAGATTTAAGTACAAGTACTTATGTCAAGAAATATACAGAATACGTTTACAACAGGCAGGTTTAGCATAAATGCAAAGTTGTTGTTTTGGGGGATTTATTATTGCCCAAGAAATCTCTGAACATATTCAGAATTTTTGAGAGCAGCAAGTATAGACAGCAGATTGCAATGGACACCATTACAATATTGCTTTGCCGATTGAGGTCAGAGGTTTAAAGAATAAATAAATAAATGTTCTATAGCTCACTAGACCACTAGCTTTTAATGAATAGTTTGCACAACACTTATAAATAGTTTGTAATACTGCACATTATAGCTGTGACAACATAATACACAGGGTAGCAATGCTATGTCACTGTTTAATAGACTTACCCAGTATTTAAGGACGACATGTTTCTTGCAAAGTCATCGGGACTTTGAGGGAGGTTCTAACTACGTTTAATTAATTAATTTACTAAAGAAAAAGAAAAAAGAAGGTTTTGTTTTTCCCCTGCAAGTGAGTTTTCAGCGCAAGGTCATCTTGTGTTCACAGACTATTCAGTTTTAAAAAGCTGTTCTTTATCTCACATTATGAACGGCCTTGTAATTCCTATGCACACTAAAAGTTGGCTTTTAAATGTTATTGTTTTAACTTTAATATTTCATAGTTAATACAGAGGATAAAGTAATTTAAAGAAAGTATATTAATTGATAGGATTTCATTTATCTATTTTGGTCCACTGTTCACTGATCTCGTATCTCAGTCTGGTGTTCAAACAGTTTTTCTTACGATACATCGTGAGTTTATATCCACAACTGCATTTTACTTTGTGGAAACAAATTGAAAGCCTGGCATTGTAATATGTGTATGGACATGCTTATAACAAAGCATGGTCCCTCTCCTCATGTAGTTGGTCATTAACAGGCACTTTGATGCAATGTGTCTACCAACGCTTTTCTGTGGTCACTGGATCACATCGCATACCCTATCTCTCAGTCATGATGCAGAGTTTATGCTTGCAAGGATATCCAGACCTTATCCACCTGGTATCCGTATAAATACTCCTATCATTTAGAGGGGTTAATTACATAATAACCATTGAAGGTAATATGTTGGTTGTTCTTCCTATAGAGGAAAGATAGACTTGCCCTAAAAGCTTTTTCATGGCTAGGACAAGCTCTTATAGAGAGAGATAATGTACTTCTGACTCCTGAAAAGGAATATTGGTGGTCACAATATGGGAAATACTGTAATTCATGTGTTTAGTAATCATAAGCATTTGCTTATTGCTACATTACTGATGTACTGTTTATTGAAAAATTAATATCTAACATACTTTTTGAATTACTATATATTGAAAGTTTGCCAACATCTCATGGTTATAAATATGTTTTTGTATATGTTAATGCATGTACCAGGTTTACTTGGATATATCCTGTGCGAAGTGCAACCTCTGATGCCACGTTTTCTAGTCTCACTTCCTTAGTATGCATTTGATAATCCCAGGACCATCTATTCGGATGGTGGTCCTGCAGTTACTGCAAAGGAAACCTAAAACTGGGCAACCACATTTGGGTTACTTTGGGATTTCAGTGCCCCAACCACCCCCAAAGAAGTGGAGTTGTGGTCTGGGAGAATGCTGAGGTTAAATGATTATTAACCAAGTTACTAGTTGCTTGCCCCACACAGTGGTATCTATTTATTCCTATGGTACAGATAAGCATTCACAACATACCTGATGATACAAGTGGTGAGACACCATATGAAATGTTACATGTTTTTTCACTGACAATCATATTTCTGCACCAGGGAGAGCTTAGAACCATTGGTTCTATTAGAGAAATTCAGGGAATTATTTTTTCCAGCCCACCTCGCCTTGCACCACCAACTTTTTCTTACTGTTGGCTAGTTTGTCCTGGAGAGGGTGACTCAGAGAACTTTTACTACAGAGAACAATCAGAGCCAACAGAGAACAGTAAGTTTTGATATTTTACAACCTGCTAAATACTAACAGGACGTTCACAGAACCACTGACTGACACAATGGATGCTGTTAAAGATGACAAGATAAAACAAACAGAGGACGACAGAAAAGCCATCAGAATCACAGCCACGTAACAGATTGAATCATGATCTGACATCTGTACCTGCAAATGTGAAGGAGAAGGATGAACAGACAGACGTGATACATTCACAGTTAACATGGAATGTATAAAAAATGAATCATCAACATCATTATAAGAAAGACTCTGGAGAAAACAGACTGAACATGAATTATCTTATACAGTAAGAAAGAAATGCAAAGATGGAAGCAAAAGGATGCTAGAAAATTGGTTATGGTGTCGCCTTCTTACAGTCTGCAGCATTATCATAACATCAACCCTAACTGCATTGGGATTATGTTAACAAGCAGGAAACACCTGAACTGAATTGGACTGCACACTATACAAGTTCTGTGATCGTGAGGACTACCTCCAAGAACTATCTCAAAAGGAGAGACACAGCTCACAGTGAAATGATTGCTTATGTGACCTACACTGGTATTTCACAAGGAACCTATTGAGATCATTCCAAAAAAAACGATTATACATGAGAAAGATGTGATTGGACTATTACAAATCCTAATAATGGACTCAACAATGATGACAAAGCATGCTGAAATCTGAAAAAGATGGGACAGATGTTTGTGAAAGACTTTGGATGCACCTGTGAAGGTGATGCAAGAAAATACTTTGCCATATAGTTTATCATTAAGTGACTACTGCAAACAGCCTTCTTATGCTGAAAAGAAGTGCTATGCTAATTCTGGACATTGTTATTATGTCTCCAGACAGAAGATGACCGGAAAAAGAAATAAAGGCTGATAACTGTCAACACCCAGCTGTTTTTCAAGATGGAACATGGTACTGACAAAACCAGATTGACTATCAAAGCACCTCACAGTACAAGACACAGATTGTTAACTACAACTCAGAAAAAGTGGTTGATAGGAAGGATCAGAAGAAGAGGAATATAGATTTCCTACTAGAGAGAAAAACCATCCTGGAACAATATTCTGTAACATTGAACTTTACAATGACATTTGGTGGCATATGAATTTGAATTTGGAAGAAACACATCAATTAACGAAAGAAACCTTGATGCAATTAATAAATAATAACAATACCGGCCTACTAAGAGCAGATGCCCTGCCAAGAGAATGGAATATAAAAAGACCAGCAAAATCTTTCAGAAACCTGACATCATGGGACACTTGTACTAAAGCACGATTTGCAGCTTTTCTTAAACTCTACATATTATGTACATACCTGCAAAGCAAGGACCTCCTGTAAACATAAAGACAGAGACATTGATACAACAAGGAATCTGTAATGGTTCTGTTGCAGATGTGATCTACCGTCGTACTCCTTGCTCTTTTGGTATAACTATACCAATGAAACGTTAAATGGCTCCATAGAATCAAACGACAACGGATTATTGCTATATTCTGGACTTCCAGGAATGTGGTGCATGGACAGAAAATTATAATTACTAAAGCAATCATGCTATTTTTGTCCCTGTATCAGAAATGTGTCAGTGACGATGTGTAATATAATACAGATACTATAATTAATGGTATAAAATAAACACATTATGTGTTAATTACAAAGGTGGATAGACTTTGTGAATATCTGAAACGCAATTGAAGATTATTGCTAAAATGCCATATGCAGCTGCAGTCTGGCCTACAAACAAATATATTAAACTTGCGTATAAGAGCATAACAGCTAATTACCCAGATGAATAATTGAATCATGATAGTTAAAGATCATATGATTGCAATAACAACTGCAATAATGAATAAGGTTTAAACCTTAAAAGAAAATGTGAAATGTTTTTATTAAAACAGAAACTACTCGATATTCGTTTAAGTTTGCAGAGTGGTATAATTAATATAAGTGAAATACTTCAACAGTTAAAATTTAACTGAAAGACAGGCAGAAACTTTACTTCAACTATCACAAAGTTTATTTATAATGATAAAATATTCAGTCTGCCAGAGCCAAGGCCAGTCAATGGAAAGTAAAAGAGTATTAGGGATTAACCCATCCAGGTGATATACATGATGAATTTGGAAATTGATCATTTAGGTCACCTATTGCAAACTGGTGAAAAGATGTCAAAGATATAAATTCAACATCCATACCACTCTATGTATATATATATATATTAAAATACACGTAATCAAATATTTTATCAGTTTTTTAAATACAAAGAAAATGTTATTTGGTTTGTGATGGTTAAAGGTACATAAAACCACCTATACAAAGGTAGTGTTAAAATATAAACACCTTCAATATTGTATCGGAGTGCTTTCTTAACTCACTTTTAGAAATAATAATACATTCTAACCATCTTAAGCTACACCCAACAGCCACTGAAAAATATACTTAAACAATTAAGATTCTCATTGTTGAGCATCCAATCTCACGAATGTAACTTTCCACAATGGCTGTCAGATCTTGGTTAAAAAAAAAAAAAATGGTTTGAAGACAATTTTGGGGTGTTTCTGGTATTTTAAGCCACTAATAACTGTAGTTATTATATTTACTAATTATAACTTAGGGAATAAGTTGTCTTCTCCCTAACAGGACAAAGAAAGATGAATAATGTCATATTTCCAATTAGCAACTATTTTAAATATATTGAGAGATTTTGAATAAAGGAGTATTTTTAACATTTAAAGAGAATGTAATTTTACATACCATTGTGAACAAAGACGGTAAATACTTTGCTGCTTCAAATTATCCTTATATATCTAAATCATATACAAGGGTGTTTATCTTTAAAACAAAACACTAGAAAGATTAACTATGTTACTATTTCATCTATCATTATTATACAAACTATAACAAATGTACAGATTTTTCCACAGATTTTACCTGTTAACATTTTTAGCACAACAGCACCTGATGTCAGTGAGATGTCTATCACTGAGATGTTACAAAGATTCCAATACAGCAAAAAGAGGCGTTCTTGAGAATCCACTTCGATTGCTGTATCAACATAACACTTACTATAATGGGATCCATGTCACTTAAGACAATGTCTTGGAAATGCTGTCAATTAATTTATTCCGTAAAAGAATATCGGAGAGTATCCAATCTATACACATCATAAACTGTGTAAAAATGTTTCATGAAAAAAACAGAAAGCAAACAAGCAAAGACAAATACCAACGCCATCACCACGGTGATAACAGATGATGCTGATTCAATATCTGCAACCACTTCTATCCAAATACTTGGAAAGCTGGACTCTACAACCTATACTCTACAACAAATACCCGGGTATTCTACAAACACAACCTCCAGCAATGTATCTAAGGAATGTAAACTTCTACAGGCCTTTAAAGACTTTGGATTACAAATACAATTACTACTTTTAACTTTGGATTACAATTCGTATCCGGATCTATCCAAGAATATCTTACTCTGGAACTTGGTGTTCTTTTCAATTCTTTCCCAGACAAAAGCTTTGCTCATTTTAATCAACCACCTTTACAGGCAAAGATCACATTATGGATATTTTACTGTTAAAACAATGATCTAAGATGCTGGGAGCATAAAAAACCTAAAGACAGTTGGAGAACTTTGGTTTACTAATTTAAGGAAGAAATGCGCTACAATGCCCACAGTTTAATGGAGAGGGTGTTATGGGCAAATGCTAATATTACAAGTTTTAGAATGAAATGTTGTATTTCTTAAACTGTGTACTTTGTCTTTAAGAGATATTGCAAACTGACAAGGTGTTAGAAATGGAACATATTGTTTTTCATAACTGTTTCTTTAAGCAATAACCTCAGTGCATAATATGTTTGCGCCATTTTGTCCCAGACGAATTACAATAACAATAATGCATAAACAAGCTTCAAGGCTATACTACGACTCTTGCAGTACACAATATACTGTGGTAACCCCAAGTTAATGGAACTTCCCCAAATCCGGGAATCTCCCACGACTGTACACTTACGACTTAGTATAAACAACAGATAACCTATTCAGACTTTAAGATGCCATCTTGAACTAAGTCAGGAAAATTTCCATGACGTATACACCCTTTAGTTATGGCCTTGTATGTTTGCCAAATTAAGGGAGGTCCTAAATTGAATAAAGTAAAAGAAGTGTTACTTTTTCATATTTGAACTACAGTAACCTAAAATGGAGACACCTAAGGTATAAATAGGTGTACTTTTAAATGTTAAGATACAGAGGAGAGACTTGGAGACAGACGCTGCTCCATCTTAAAATGACAGAGAGGCTGACATGATGACATGTTCAGAAGGGTATGTTAACCTATTAATGATATTTGCAAGCATGTAATTTAATCTTATAAACTCTGCTATAATGGATTTTATATTTTTATATAATAAATATCCAAAAGACAATCTTGCTTCCAAGACAATCCTTATTTTATATTGTATTCTCAATTATTTATATATGTTAAATAGAGGATCTCTTACACTATATAAAATTATGGCTAAGATATCTGTATGGTTAGCCCTACTAAGTTCTATGCTTTAAGACATTATAGTGGTAAATAAGGGAACCACACACGGTTACAGATCTGAGTGTGGTTATATATAGGGTACGTATAAAAAGGTAGAGACGCAGCAGTTATAAAAATTACAATACCTACAAGGTTATGTCAGCCTTATAGGAACACTACAAGCGCTACAACCACTACAGCACTCTTTAAGGGTTATACTGCCTTTAGTGCCCTGGCGACGTTCCACTATAAGACGCCAAACAGTTTTAGCACCGTTTGACAACTAACCTTGGTACTGCTGGCCGTCTGTGCAGCATGAGCCACCTCTGGTCTTATACAGCAAGGGAAGGGTTTGTGTTTTAACCCTTTCAAATAAAACTCTCCTAGAAAAAAGGCTTCATTTTTATTTACATATAACTTTATAAAAAAAAATAAAAAAAAATCCCAGTCCAATATGGCAACATTTGTTTCTAAAAGAAAACAAGAATAGAATATTAAATTTAATCTGTAATGCAACTATATATATATATATATATATATATATATATAAATAATAATCACAAAATAAATTTATTGTTAAAAAGAAGAATTGAAGAAGCCAAGTCAAGCATCATGACACTTAATGAGCCCAATCCCCAGCACACACACACACACAGGGCGCTGTGTCCCAGGCTCACCTGGTCTCCCACATACAGGTGTGAGGGCGTATCTCCAGGTCTCCATGTATCGCAGTCAGGGAGCCCCCACTCTACCCATATTATTATCATTATTATTAATTAATTATTATTAGTGGAGCAGGAGGTAGGTACACAGAGCGGGTGCGTTCAGGCCGCACCGTTATCAGACTCTCCCCGCTGGCAGGGGAGCCATTGAGGAACACTAAGGACTCACCGTCCATGGGGGCAGCTTGCTCCGGGTCCGCCATCCCACGGGCACGGGCGGCTCGGTCGGATTCGGGGAGCTACACCACCGAACACGGCCTCGGCATCCTCCAACACCGCGTCATCCTGACAGCGTGACAGCCCAGCGCGGTGACGGGCCTGCGCGTGACGCCGCAGGAGGGAATAGGCAGCGAGGCGGCCATGTTTGTATCTGGCAATGCAGACTCGGTTCAGCCTTCACCCCCAGAGTGTAGCATTCCCTGTATGTGTGTCCTACCTGGTTATACATGGTCATACATGGTTATACATGGTTATACATGGTCATATCGGCTGCTGTGGAGTGTGTCAGCATGGACAACTGGGAATTGCTTTAAAAAAACCAACAAATAAATGCATAATAATAATTGGTGAATAATGGGAAAGATGTGATACCAATAGTAACACTGGTTTGTTATAAATTACAGTAGAAGCCATGGTTCCATAAAAGCTATAATATAAGACTTTTCCAAGTAAAAGCCACTTACATGACTACTAGTACCTCATTGCTCTATTCATGTTTATTACATAAAATGAGAATTTTTAAGGGAATTGCAAATATGAGAAATGCTTTCCTATGAACTGGTAGAATGCGAGCGTGGCTCTTGCCGCGCATGTGCATGGGATGAGGGGAGTAGGTAGGGGTTATTTTTTGGGGGGCAGTGAGGTGACTAAGGGTTTAAATTTTTCTTTAGGGCCCCCACCCGCCGCTCAGCGGTGGGAGCTGAGGGGCAGGACAGTAGGTCCCCCTCCCTTATTGTTATTTAGGACCCCCACCCACGCAGGGATGGGGGTAGAGGGGAGGACAGTAGGTCCCCCCCTCCACATTCTTATTTAGGGCCCCCACCCATCGCACAGGGGTGGGGGCAATAGGTGTTTTTTGTTTTGTTTTTTACAGTGAGCAGTCACTGGCTGCTCACTGTTTACTAGACACGCCCCTACTCGCGGTATAGCTTAGTAAATTTGTCTGAAAGACCAATTTAGGTATTTCAGTCTTTTGGTAGATAGCTCCCTAATACCGTGGGAATTAGGGAGATATCTACTAAGGGGCTGCTTATTTTATGTATTTTATGTTATTTTAAGTGATTTCCCTATCCACATTTGTTTGCAGGGCACTTGTCCTACACTTACCCCCATTTTACTTCCTTTTGCAGCCCTCTAGCCCTTCCCAGGACTTTTTAGAGGCATATTTGTGCCCAAAAGTTCGGATCCCCATTGACTTCAATGGGGTTCGGGTTCGGGGTCAAGTTCAAGCACGAACCTGGACTTTTTTTCAAAGTTCGGCTGAACCCGCCAGACCCGAACATCCAGGTGTCCGCTCAACTCTAATCATCAGCAAAAAGACATACCTTACCATCAAGACCTTCTGCAATATCACTAATAAAAATATTAAAGAGAATGGGTCCAAGTACAGATCCCTGAGGTACCCCACTGGTGACAAGCCTGTGCTTCGAATATACTCCATTGACTACAACCCTCTGTTGCCTGTCACTCAGCCTTTCACATTCCTATGCAATTTACATTACCCCTTCTGTCATCTGATCTCTACCAAGTGGTCAATTCATATATGGACTACACAAATTACATTAAACGGCAATATTCTATTGTGCAACAATGATTTATGCACCCTTGGCATGACAATGACCATCTTGATGACATTAACACCTTTACCAAACAAAAAAGGCCCACATAATGACCTACAGAAAAAATACAGTAGTGCAATCTAAGCATATATTAAAAAACAACTAATTAAGATCAAAAGTAATTTAAAACTAAACAAAAAATAATTTGAAAGCTTAAAACACATGAACCTGGAAAACCTACAAAACAGTGGGGTGTTCTTTACAATATAATGGATGAGTCTCTCATCTCAGTGACAGGAGTGATCTCATAACAAAGTTCTGTCCACAACAAGAGGACATAGTCTTAAATTAGAGGGGCAAAGGTTTAAAAATAATATCTGGAAGTATTACTTTACTGAGAGGGTAGTGGATGCATGAAATAGCCTTCCAGCGGAATTGGTAGAGGTTAACACAGTAAAGGAGTTTAAGCATGCGTGGGCTAGGCATAAGGCTATCCTAAGTATAAGATAAGGCCAGGGACAAATTAAAGTATTTAGAAAATTGGGCAGACTAGATGGGCTGAATGGTTCTTATCTGCCATCATATTCTATGTTTCTATAAATATATAACTCCTGATTTTTTAATGAAATTTTTTTACAAATTGCAAAGAAAATGCAGAAAAAAACCAACACATTTTCCCACAGTTTCCCCATCAATAGTATGTACATTAACCCCTTAAGGACGGAGCCAAATGTACATGTTGTGAACGAAACAAAATGTAAACAAAACCTGGCATTTGCGCTACATGTCTGTCCAACCGTAATTCAACTCTTTCATAGTAAATGCACACACCCTTATTATATATCATTTTATTCAGGGGAAACAGGGCTTTCATTTAATATCAAATATTTAGCTATGAAACATAATTTAATATGAAAAAAATGGGAGAAAATAAGATTTTCTTTGATTTTTTTTAGTTCTACATGACATTTTTTTTTTTAAATTCTTTTCATTGTGCAGGTGGGTACATGTCAGTTTCCAACGCCACAACAACGTATTTACATATGTCTATACATGCTTAACAGTGGCAAGAGTACGTGCACATTTTTGAAATATATAAGCAAGAACAATATAACAGGCTGGACCATAGTGGAATGCTACTGCAGTGTAGATTCTGGTGTGTGTAAGGTAAGTTGCATTGCGGTGTACTACTGCAGTGTTAGAAGTGCTGGGACAAGCTAGTCTGCTTGAGAGTCTAGGCAGGTGCTTTAAACATGAGGAACAGCAGATCTAAGGGGTTGTAGTGAAGTATATTAAGTAAATGAGCGGGTGGGTAGGCTACTCTGGATGGTTAATTCAGATAGCCCCTTTGTTCATAACTACGTTGTACATATCGACACAGGACTCCTAGCTTCAGCATCCTTAGAGTCATTGTGGAAGTCAAAGGGGAAGGTCTAGAAAATAATTACAGCGCAAGAGGAATCACTGAGCTCTCTGAGAGCTCTGTCTAGATGTATGTAGGTGTCAGGGCAATGGCGACCTGATCAGAGACAGGTTTAATATCAATCACTACGTGACCTGCCTGTGTGGCATTAAGTCGTCTAACGGTGAGTGGGTGCTGCGTGCTGAGTGGCCAGGCTAGATATCATGCGCTGCCTCTCTATACGTGCGACATGCAAAGAACAATTCTGAACAAACTAACCAAAACTAAAAATTAAACACACTTGTAACATGAGCCGTAAGGTTTCTGGAATTGTAGTTATAGATACGTCTATACATGTTAGTCTAGCGACACACTGCGGTATATAAATCTACATTTATCATGGCAACAGACGTGATATACATGGCAGAGTGTTAGTGGTAAGTGATCACGATCTAGTCCAGACAGGCAAAAACCGGATGCTCCGCTGAGTTATCGTGGGAGATACAAAAAGGCAAACAATAGAAAAAGGAAAGGGAAAAGGAAGAGTCTCTCTTAACAAAAGCTTGTGGACGTCGGCTATTCCCCCCTTCCCTTCCTTGCGGTCATCCGACCTTTATCTCGGCTGGGCTATAGGCCTGCATGTGCAGATAGTTCGTGCCGTGTTGCCAGTGTTCTGTCGGGTGTCAGGTGCAGCGTAAACCGGCACAGTCCCAAAGTTTGCCAGGGATGTCCAACAAACTGAGCCTTGAGTGCAAGGTTGCCCATGTGTGTTGGATTTGGTTGTCCAATGATATCATCCGTCTGAAGACCTCTGACTAGTCCGCTAGTGTGTGTCTGCGGGAGTCAGTCATGTTGATGAGGGTAGTTGCTATCCAGACTGGCCGTGGTGATGAGCGTGAGTCGCTGCAATCTGGGGCTACAAATAACGTGTGGTATAAGTGTCTCAGAAGTGTCTACATGACATTTTAACTGTCAATGTCATAATACGGTTTGCTTTTACTGCAATAGAATACACATATTTGTATTCAGCAAAGTCTCACGTGTAAAACAGTACCCCCTATGTACATGTTTTATGGCGTTTTGGGAAGTTACAGGGTCAAATATAGCATGTTACATTTGAAATTGAAATTTGCCAGATTGGTTACGTTGCCTTTGGGACTTTATAGTAGTCCCGGAATGAAATTTACACCCATAATGGCATACCATTTGCAATAGTAGACAACCCAAGGTATTGCAAATGGGGTATGTCCAGTCTTTTTAGTAGCCATTTGGTCACAAACACTGGCCAAAGTTAGCATTAGTATTTGTTTGTGTGTGAAAAATGCAAAAAACGCCAATTTTGGCCAGTGTTTGTGACTAAGTGGCTACTAAAAAAGACTGGACATACCCCGTTTGCAATACCTTGGGTTGTCTACTATTGCAAATGGTATGCCATCATAGGGGTAATTTTCATTCTTGGGCAACCATAGGGTCTCAAAGGCAACGTAACCAATCTGGCGAATTTTAATGTGAAAAAAATGAAACACAAGCCTTATATTTGATGCTGTAACTTTTGAAAACACCATAAAACCTGTACATGAGGGGTACTGTTGTACTCGGGAGACTTCGCTGAACACAAATATTTGTGTTTCAAAACAGCAAAAAGTATCACAGCAATAATATCGTCTGTCTGTGGAAAGTTATAGGGTTAAATATAGTGCTAGCAAATTAAATTCCCTTTACTTTCGGCATGGGTTGTCAGGCAGGTCCCGCTAATTGTAATTAATTAAGATACCTAATTATGTAAAAATATTACATAAATATGTATGTAGAATTAATATATGCATATATATATATATATGTATGTGAATCTATATGTGTATATATATATATATATATAATTTTTTAAAAATATTTTTATTTATATATAGGTATATATATAGTGATATATACGTATATATTTATGTATATAGATATATATATTATTTCGTTCTACGTGTATTTTGATATAAATACAAAATAACACACTTCTATATATTTTTTTATTATTTTTTTTAAATTATTTTTTAACGTATTTACATATTTAATTTTTTTATATTCTATATAAATATATATAACAATAATTATATATATATTTAATCAGTATCAGTCTACGTGTAATTTGATATTAATATATATAATTATATA